TGTTAGGAGGAGTATGGGTATTGCAATTTCCATCTGAATTTCAATGGGACACCAAGGTTGATTTTGCCAGATTGGGGCGATCAGAATGATTTCTGCTTGATCCCTCTTTACTTTTTCCAATACTCTGCCTAGCATACAGTCTGATTGATCTTTGAACACTCTGGATGCTGTGTTCACTATTACATTAGATTTCATCCTCGAGGAACTCTGCTATCAGAGTGATCTTCCTGGTGAGGCAAAAGTCGAATATTGTTCTGGTCAATTCGACAAGGGCTTTTGATCTGGTACCCCCCAATTTGTTCACATGGCTCATTGCTGTCATGGTGTTGTTTCTGATTAGGATGTGTATTCATGTTGGTAGTAATTACAAAGTATATTGCTTTCAGTTCTCGATAGTTATATGACATGCTTTCTCTTGAGGGTTCCATTGGCCTTATACAACCTCCACTTCGAGGTGGCCCACCCTGTTAAGGAACTCTCTGTTGTTATTATTAGATCTGGTAGTTTTAGTTTTATTGACCTCCCATTCCAATGACCTAGTTGGGTTATACACCATGTGAGTTCTTCTTTTGCTTCTGAAGTAAGGTGAACTTTTGCAGAGTATGATTTGCTTGGAGTTCTTCAGATCCTGGTACTAATAATATTGCCAAGACTGTTAAAGAAAGTTTGCCTATCATTTGGGCAACCTTTGAGAGTGTGGTTTGTTTCTGAAGATAGTTCCATTCCATGCATTTGATTTTGATTTTCAATGATTTCTTTATTGTTGGTAGAATGAGTGTCAGATTTTGGGCGTTGATGATGAAGCCTAGGTATTCTATTGTTTGTGTGGGTGTTAGAATTGATTTCTCCCAATTTATCAAGAACCTTAGATTCTGTCATTAGTAACTTGCTGTTTGTGCTTGGATTTAGGTTTTAGTGCTTTAGGGTGTATGTTAGTATAATCAGATCATCAAGATAAATAGTGCATTTTACCCCCAGTTTCCTTATTATTGACATAGGGACTTTAGGAATGCTTGAGAATATCCTTGGGCTGGACCCTAGGCTGAATGGGAGTGTTTCGTTTGGTAATTTACACTTTCCCGTTGAAATTTGAGGTATCAACGATGTTGTTTTGCTATCGGAATGGTACAGAATGCATCCCTCAAATCGATTTTTTATCATGAAGTTGTTTTGTTCTATCATGTTTTAGCATTGATATGTTTTTACGAGGTTTGAGATTTATTATTTGTTCTTTTTGATCCATCTCATCATCTCATTTTTAGGAAGAGATCAATAAGATCTTTTGATGGATCTTTATTTCCAATAATTTTGTATCTCTTTTGACATCTCTTGACTCCATTGCACTGAAGTAGGGCCAGTAAGGCTGCAGTAAGGGGTGTTCATTTGGATGGGGTCCTGCATAAACTTTAGAATGTAACTGTTGACTATACTTAAAATGTTTGAATTTGAGGACACTTTCTTTCAATACTTTGAAAAGAATTTGTTTTCAATGTACCTAGATTTTCCTCCTCTGGAGGATGTATTCCCTCTAGTACCATCCCTGGAGTTTCCTCTGGTTGTGGAACCTCTTACCGATCCCCCGGATGAATGATCATATTTCACCCCCCGACTCCTTGAAGTTGAGGGCCCCTGGAGAAAGGCCTTAGAGGGCTTGTTGTAGTTTCTGGAGAAGCTTTTCTTTATTTTTTTCCATTTCTTGTTTCTCTGAACTTTCTTGAGAGATTTGCAAAGTTATTTGTTCATAAGAGATTTCTTGCATTTATTAATTTCTTTCTTATTTTCTTTCTTATTTTCTTTTAGAAAGTTGTTTGCTTGATTCTTTTGAAAGCCAAAGATGTGGACGAGAATTTCCAGTCTTCTGTTGAAGCTTTGCCCTATTACCAAGTTTGCTTTGTCTAATAAGTTTCTCACAAGTCGTATCTCTCTAGTCTCTCTAGTCTCTCGTTTGAGTGAGATAGCTTCCAGAGGCTCCCTAGGGGTCCCATGACGTCTTACATTTTGTGCTGTATTGTTTTGAGATTGTTGTCAGTTTTCTTCTGATTTTGTTTGACATTTTGTCAAGGTGTTCCCTATTTTGGGGGATGATGAATTTTGAATCTGGCTTTGGTGACTAAACAAGCATGTTATCGACATCATTTTGGTTTAAGAGCTCTTCGGCAGGACTTAGATTCCACTGTCCTGATTTTAGCTCATGGAATTGATCAAAATGTGAAGATTTCTTTTTGTTTGTTACTTTTGCTCTTTTCTTATGTTTAGTACGTTTGTTACGATATGAATTATATTCATTGCTATCCGAAAACCTTGAAGAATCTATTGATTCTGAACTACTAGTGTTGAATGACCTTTTTCTTTGGTATGTACACATGGAGTTTACCTTATGCCTTTTAGGCTGTGGAGACTCATTACCAGATTCTAAATCTGACTCCTTCGTTGAAGTCCTATTTCCACTAGACAGTGTAAAATTATGAGTTGCGTTTACCTGTGTTTTTCATGACTAACCCTATCTGAATATCAGTTTGTTTGGAACTCATTTTATGTTAGATGTATATATCTACAATTTGTACACTTGTGATTCAGCTTATTGAGACGAATGATAGTTAACTGCAGATATAATGTCCATGTGGCTAAATTCCTATTTTCGGTTCCGTATTGCAGTATTGTTGGGTTGAGAGCGAAGAGCAAATAGCCAGAGACAAAATATTTTTATAATTGTTTTTTTCATTGTAAAAATAACTTATTTCACTGAAACAACACATCTTACTGAGAGTACATACAAGTGTTACCTACAATGTAAAAGAATATTTACAGCTGAGGAATATTCCTTTAAGTACTGGTCATTAGACTCCAATGTCTTTGATTTTTGCTCATGGAATGGATCAAAAAGTGAAGATTTCCTTTTGTTTGTGACTTTTGCTCTTTTCTTATGTTTAGTATGTTAATATTGCTACTACGTGACTTATAGGCACTGCTATCTGAATAGCTTGAATCTAAGTTTGAATATGAGCTTGAGGAATCTGTTGATTCTGAACTACTAGTGTTGATTGATCAATCTTTGGTATGTGTGAAGTTTTCCTTATTATCAGATTCAGAATCTGACTTCTTCATTGAAGTCATGTTTCCATGAGACAGTGTAAAATCATGAGTTGCGTTGTTTACCTGTGTTTTTGTGACTAACCCCGGTTTATCTTGGCGATGAGCCCTAGACATATCGTCCGAATAATGGCAATTAGCCCTGTCAGTATTGTCAATATTTCCCCCGTTTTTTTTCTCGTTAGAACATTCTTTTTAGACATCACTTTAGTCTTGATTTGACTCACGCTCTTCTCTTAAATTTGAAGGAATATCAGTTTGTTTGGTACTCATTTTATGTTACCCTGCGTGCAGAGTCTAGTTAAACTACACTCTGCCTAGTAGAGACCATATTACAGTTTAGAAGCCCCGCCCCCACGACGGGTACCGGTGACAGTTTGGGTAATAAATCACTTTTGACCTACGCGCTGACCTTTCTTTCACCAATCACCGAGCTTGAAGAAACATACGCCAAATGTGGTCTAATTAAATATGCGCATGTCATTGGTCAATTCTGGGCTCATTGATGACGTCAGAAGGAATGACCATATATAGAACGTCGGTCAAATTTGGCCGACGAACACTGATTGGCGCGGTGAGTTCACAGGTTTATTTTAGTTTGAAAGAGTGAAGACGAAGCTCTCTTTTAAGAAGTGAAGTCAAACGAATGCAAAGGGTAATTTTATAGTATATACAGTAATACCTATAATATGTACACTTGTGATTCAGCTTATTGAGACGGATGATAGTAAATTGCACATATCTTGGTATATTTGAAGTCCCAAAACGGCTTAGTTTCAGAAATATCCCAATTTTAAATTCAAAAATGACCGTTAGCTCCGCACCCTCCGCTCATTTGCGCCGCACCCAATATTTCCTACAGGCTCTGTCTGCATAGGGTGGGTTTAGAGAGCATAAATGTAAAAACAATTTATAGCACATTAATAATGCTTTAAGTGTAGATATTTAAGATCCACATGGCAGCCATCTTGAAAAATGGTGGCCTTTACAAGCTATTTTATGAATTTTGCTGTAACTTGAAAAGCAGTAAAGAGATTTTGTTTATATTTATGTACATATTCGTATACAGAAAAACTTGTGTAAAGTGAACACCTGTGGAGCCACAATAAAGTGTTCATTGTTTGTAGGTCCTCACTACAGAGAGTGAACTTTCAGGGTTTCACTTGAATTTCTCACAACAGGTTAAAAAAATGAAAACAACAGGCAAAAATAATGGAAATCATAGATTTATAGATGGAAAAGTTGAAAAGTCCCTAAAAACATAGGGAACTTTGTGAAAACAACTGGTGAAAGTCGTCTGTTGCCTGCTGCTAACGAAACCCCTGACTTTTGAGTCAATGTAAAATGTGTCTTGAAGTGGTGTTTACCAAGTACAGGTGACTCACTAGAAGGAGGTGTTCACTAAGACAAATTTTATTTTACTTAAAGAGAGAATCAGAGATAGCGAGCAGGCTAAACAAAAAATTGTTTCAATTTTAGAATATTTTTGGCTCATGTCATTCCTTGTCATGTCTATTTTCTAAAAATCACAAAATTGCATACTTTATTCAAGGAAAACAAAAGATTTTTACAATAATGTATTATTTTTCTATAAGAATGGTTACCATTCTTATTATTTGGGAGAATTTAAACATTTTTCACCCATTTTTGCGCTTTAAATCATTAATAACTTCACCAATTTATAACATATTGTGAATCTTTTGGGAGACATTGTATTTGATATTGTAAGGAATAGATTGGTAGGTTAATTATGCATGTTGCTTGTAATTTTGTCACCCCCTATAGATCTGATTCTGCCTTTAAACTTACAACCCTTCCCTCTCCTCATAATGTGGATGTCACATTAATATTCATCCTAAATACATGAGGTGAAATACAATATATAATCTTGCTTGTTATTTATTATTCAGACACCTCAGCCAACCAAGAAAGCAAAGAAATCGGCTAAGAAAACACCAAAATCTGCACCTGCGGTATCTAAAAAATCAAAATTGATTGAAGTGAAACCATTTGATGATAGCGATGATGAATCTCTGGAGGTTAGTGAAAATCTACATGCAATTAAGGTTCAACACAAGCGGACCTTAATATGACATCCATTGAGAACATGCAATTAAGGTTCAACATAAACGGGTCTTTATATGACATTCATTGAGGACATGCAATTAAGGTTCAACACAAGCGGACCTTAATGTGACATCCATTGAGAACATGCAATTAAGGTGGAACACAAATGGGTCTTTATATGACATCCATTGACTGGATGTCCTAATTGGATGGCATATTAAAGCGGCCTGATTATGTTTAAATCTTAATTTTGCTGAACAAAATTTTTAATCAAAAATTGCCACAGACAGAGAGGCTATTTAATTTGGAATTCAATGAAAAAATTCTAAAAAGAGCATTTTTCCATGAACTTATTGAACGACCTGGTACATGCACTTTACTTGCAACCAAATTCTAATCTATGATAGCATCATACTCTGCTTGATTGCTAGATATATAACTATAACCAATTAACTAGTACTATTTACTAGACCGTGTATGATAAGAGAAGCTGCAATAGCTGACAAGTGTTGCATAATCAGTTCTGTTTTTAGCAAAATGGAATAGGGGCAGTTGATATGGACTTTGAGGGAGATTCATCTAATGATGAGGGAGAGAGTAGTGGTGATGAGGGAGATGCAATAGACTCTGACATGCTGGCATCAGATGAAGACAGTGATATGGAAGGTACATTATCTGCTCTTAAGTATGAAGTAAAAATTTTGAAGTATTGAAAACAGTTTTGAAAAAATAAAATTCAATCAAAGATTATGCAGAGTGAGAAAAATAAGTGAAAAATTGTTTTTAACGAGAAGTAGAAACAATGTTGAACATTTGTACAGGAGTTGTATACAAGTATTAATATGTGTTTATTTGATTTATATTTTTACGTTATACATTCACAATTTTATTTTTAATTGTAGAATTTATTACTCCACCTACTAAAAAAGTAAAGACCAAAGGGGACAAAAAGATTAAGCAGACACCACAAAAAGATGGTGAGTACTGGACACTTTGAGCAGTTTTGCAAATAATATGAAGCTTCATAGCTTACATTGATTTATATTTGCTAAGTTAATTATAATAGTAGAATGGAAACTAGCAAGCAGCTGCTCCAAACTGTTGTGTAACAAAACAAAGAACACATTAATGATGTTTTAGGGGTCAGTTTTTGGGGTCAATTTATGACATATCTATTCTCAGTTATATCCTGAAACTGAGGATTTATCTTATCCCAGCAGATTAATCGTAACATTAAAGAGTAAAGTATTTAATAATCATCATCCATTTTTAAATTGCTGCTCAAGGACTTATGTGTTGAGTATCTGCTCGTACATTGACTGTGAAATTAATTTACTGCATTGATAAAGAGTAATTCAAAAGGAAGACACACCCTATGATTTGATTTCAAACAAGTTGGTGTTTCTAACTTATTCCAAATGATATTTTGTTTTTTCCAGAAATGGAAGTAAAATCTAAAAAGGAAAAAAAACAAAAAACACCAAAGGCTGCAAAAACCCCTAAAAAAGATGCAGAAACTCCAAAAGTAGAAAAATCTGTAAAGAAGAAAGAAAAGAACTCTAAACAGAATTCATCTCAAGAGATGGATGAGTCCCAAGACTCTGGAGGTACGAAATAAAAAATACAAACATGTAATATTTAAAACAAAGTAAACCAATCTGAGTGCTTTTATTGAGAATAACTTCCTTTTTTATTATGTCACCACCAAAAGTGGTGACATATTGTTATGGTCTCCGTTTTTTTTTATGTCACCACCAAAAGTGGTGACATATGTTATGGTCTCCGTTTTTTTGCGACGGCGGTTGGTGGTTGGCGTCCGGCGGTTGGCGTCCGGCGTCTGTAACAATTTCTTACAACTTCCTATAACTTAACAAATACTGTTTAGACTGACTTTTTTTCTAAATCATCTAAATGTTCTCAGAAGTTCAAATCTGACTTTAGATTTGACATTTGACCTTCAATGACCTTCTCAAGGTCAAAAAGGTCTTTTTTTTCAACTTGCTTCACATTGACTAAATTTTTTTTCAAAATCATCTACATGTTCTCAGAAATTCAAATCTGACTTTAGATTTGACATTTGACCTTCAAATCTGACTTTAGATTTGACATTTGACCTTCAATGACCTTCTCAAGGTCAAAAAAGGTAAAAAAGGTCTGTTTTCAACTTGCTTCAAATTGACTAAATTTTTTTTTCAAAATCATCTACGTGTTCTCAGAAATTCAAATCTGACTTTAGATTTGACTTAAGATTTGACTTAAGATTTGACATTTGACCTTCAATGACCTTCTCAAAGTCAAAAAAGGTCAAAAAGGTCTTTTTTTAACTTGCTTTAAATTGACTAAATTTTTTTTTCAAAATCATTTACATGTTCTCAGGAATTCAAATCTGACTTTAGATTTGACATTTGACCTTCAATGACCTTCTCAAGGTCAAAAAAGGTCAAAAAGGTATTTTTTCATCTTGCTTCAAATTGACTAAATATTTTTTTCAAAATCATCTACATGTTCTCAGAAATTCAAATATGACTTTAGATTTGACATTTGACCTTCAATGACCTTCTCAAGGTCAAAAAAGGTCAAAAAGGTCTTTTTTCAACTTGCTTCAAATTGACTAATTTTTTTTTTCAAAATCATCTACATGTTCTCAGAAATTCAAATCTGACTTTAGATTTGACATTTGACCTTTAATGACCTTCTCAAGGTCAAAAAGGTCTGTTTTCAACTTGCTTTGAATTGACTAAAAAAAAATTTCAAAATCATCTACGTGTTCTCAGAAATTCAAATCTGACTTTAGATTTGACTTGAGATTTGACATTTGACCTTCAATGACCTTCTCAAAGTCAAAGAAGGTCAAAAAGGTCTTTTTTCAACTTGCTTCAAATTGACTAAATTTTTTTTCAAAATCATCTACGTGTTCTCAGAAATTCAAATCTGACTTTAGATTTGACATTTGACCTTCAATGACCTTCTCAATGTCAAAAAAGGTCAAAAAGGTATTTTTTCATCTTGCTTCGAATTGACTAAAAAAAATTTCATAATCATCTACATGTTCTCAGAAATTCAAATATGACTTTAGATTTGACTTTTGATTTGACCTTCAATGACCTTCTCAAGGTCAAAAAAGGTCAAAAAGGTATTTTTTCAACTTGCTTCAAATTGACTAATTTTTTTTTCAAAATCATCTACATGTTCTCAGAAATTCAAATCTGACTTTAGATTTGACATTTGACCTTTAATGACCTTCTCAAGGTCAAAAAAGGTCAAAAAGGTCTGTTTTCAACTTGCTTCAAATTGACCAAATTTTTTTTTCAAAATCATCTACATCTTTTCAGAAGTTCAAATTTGACTTTACAAGTTTTCAGAAATTCAAATCTGACTAGAGTTTGAACTCATAATATTGTGAGCAACTAGGTGGTGACATTTTGTCATGTTAATGCCTTGTTATCAAATACAACTGTTAAAGGATCCACCACTCACCAGTTCTGATACAGGCTCTTTCACACTTAAGATTCTTATATTCTGGAAACACTAATGCATTGTTTTATATTTTTAGTTGGTTCACAAGATGCTCTTAAACAAGATAATGTCAGACAAGGTAAAGTTTAATTATTAGATGTTCTTGTCATATATGTGAAGCGATATCGACACTGTACCCGATTGCTTGCTTTCACTACTTAAAACCAGTACACATATTTATACGAAAGAAAATTAAATAACTTTGCAGAAAACCTTACAGATTTGTATGGTGTCTATTAGCAAATAAAAGTACCATTTAAAATTCAGAACCTGACTTTATAAAGCTATGTACTTGAATACTAATCCATGATGTACTGTCGTGATGCATTCTCACATGTCTTCAAAGTTTTCTGTAAAATGGCACAATTTAGAGAAACGATTTTGTCATGTTGTCATGTCATGTTGGGTTATTTATAATTTGGTATTTTATGTGCTACAAACTACACAGAAACATTTATGAAAATACAAACATCGAGTTTAAAGCAGTGATCTACATTTAGAATAACATATTTTTAAAAATATATGACAAGGAATGGCATGAGCATGACTCCCAATCTGTTTTACAGAATTGTTGATGATATATGTTCTCAGTGAAATGGTTAAAATATTAAGCACTTGATTTTGTAATTTTACAGCGGACCAAGAAAAAAAGATGTTATTTCTGAAATCTTTACCTCGTCACACTACAGAAGAAGATGTCAGACAGCTCATCAAGGACCCTGTTGTTATTCGTGTCAAGTGGGGTGGGCGTGGCAAAGAACATCAACAATTTGTAAGGTAGGTTAACAAGAGGAGTTTCTGATCCTGGAGTTTGCCACAGTCAGTTATGATAAACCACTTTTATGTCACCACATATAGTCCAACCTTTTGTGGCCAATGTTCAGTGTCTGTAACAGTGTTCAGTGGTCGGTGTCTGTAACAAATGGAAGGTAGTGACATTTTGCATATTAATGCCTTGTATACGAGTTGCATTATAAGAGTAGAAATATTTACTGCATAATTTTCAATGTTTTAAACTCAGTGAAATATTTCATAACATTATGGCCAATGAAAGGAAATTAGACGTCAGTAAAATTAAATTCCAGCCATTAAATCAAATCTTGAAAATGGATTAATTCAGTGTTTGGTACCCATGAAATTTAAGGTGTTTCTCGACATGGTTATCTGGGAAAATAGTCCAGAGTGATCCATAACTCATCTACATATGCTTGTATATCTGTGTATTGTCAGTGAATATGAAAACGGGGTCTCTAATGTAAGGAGTTCACTTGGTCTTCCAGTACAAAGCAAAGCAGCTATGGATTCTTTTTGATAAATTTGAATGTCCAAACGAATTGGATTATATGTTATTATATATTATTCTAATATGATACGTAATGTCACAATAGCTAGAACAATTGATTACTGGTCTATATTAGAGTATGTATGACCGCTAAAATTCCTAAATCCAAATAGTTGTGTTTGTTTATCATAGGTGTGTCCTTTAATCATGTTAGAATCATAACAAAGACCTCGATGTTATGATTTATGTCAAATATATGACTTCAAATTTTATTCTGGCCATTGCCAAAGACCCCAATCACTAATCGATTTCGGTCTTTAAACAATGAACAGAATAAAATTTTCGGTCACATATTACGCCATAAATCATAAAATCGAGGTCTTTGTTATGATTCTAACATGATAAACAGTCAAGAAACACAACCATTTGCACTTATGAATTTTAGCGGTCATACATACTCCAATATAGACCAGTAAATCAATTGTTCTTGCTATTCACGTATCATATTAGAATGTAAATTAATTAAATTCAAAGGTGATTGTATAATTATATCCTATGTGTTTTATAGATGGGTTCACCTTGAGTTCAAATCTGAAGCAATGGCTGACAAACACCATAACCTCCTGAAGGGAAAACTGTTGAAAGGGAAGCCGCTCCTTGTAGATTATGTCGGCTCTAAAAGTGAGAAACCAAAAATGCCACAACAATCTACTAACAAGTCTCAAGCTCAGGAAAAAAGTAAGGGTGAGTTACCAGCATTGAAGTAAGTGCGGACTGCACTTGGAAATTGGCAGGCACCCAATTCAAAATCCATTTTAATGTCAGCGGTTGGTGTTCAGTGGTCAGTATCTGTATAACAAATGGCAGGTGGTGACATTTTGCATGTTAATTCCTTGTCAACCACTTGAAAATAGTGTATTATCAAAATTTTCAAATTTTTTTTACCAACTTGCTTAGAACTGAAAAAATAGAATTTTGCACCCATCTGAAAAAATGTATTTCCCTCAGCTTACTATATAGCACATTCTGATATGATGTTTCTACTTGTTTTTCTGAAATCATATATTATGATTTTATTTCAATTACAGAACTAGATTTTTCAATTACAGAACTAGATTTGACGCGTCTCTACATTAGTGGTTTTGGCCAAAATTGCTCAGCAGAAGATATAAAACAGAACTTTAAAAAAGCAGTCGCTGTTAATTTCCCGTTAGCCAAAAAGTCATCTCTGCCAAAAGGGTAAGTAGAATTTGATTTTTCTGTATGTGATGATTCAGAAAAATCTGTCATGTGGAATACCTATGTAAGTGGATCACCTTTGTAAGTGGAACATTTGCCACAGTCTGTGAATTGTATTAATGTTAATCAGGAATACCTATGTTAGTGGATCACCTTTGTAAGCGGAACATCTGTCAAAGTATGTGAATTGTGATAATAATAATGAAACCTCTATAAATAGAACAGAAACACTTTTTATGTCACCAAAGGAAGTGACTTATTGTTGTAGTCTCCAACTTTTTTGTTGACGGTGTTCAGGGTTCGGCGTCTGTAACACGACGTCTGTAGCAAATCATGGCATCTGTAACAAATGGGATGTGGTGTCATTTTTTTGCATATTAATCCCTTGTTATTTTTGGAATTAACACAGTAACAGTACACTGTTTGAGTACAAGGGTCGTTGCTCCTTTATTTCTAGATTTGGGGAGTTACATTCTCATATTATATTTAAAATATAAAGCACATATTTTCTGAATTTCAGCTACGCATTCGTACAGTTTAATGATGAGTCTAGTGCCAAAGCTGCACATGAGGAAATGCAGGGCAAGAAACTTAAAAATGGTGTTCTTCTGATAAAATATGCCTTCAAACGACCTGACCTTGACACAAAACCAACTGCGACAAAAGGGGAGAAGAGAAAGAAAGAGAAAGTCGAGGAAGGTATGTAAGCTACATGTACAGTAGTTTGGAAAATTATGTTAAATTTTGTTACAAATAAAGTAACTCACCTCATCAATATATTATAAACAGCAGATAGACCAATACTTTTTGAAGTGGATCCCTAGAATATTATGTCAGGTCTTTTTGCATGTAATGCAAATGAATTGTTGTGTGCTTTTAACAACTACTCTGTGTGTTTCATAACAATTAAATTCACTAGGACAACAATCCTTCAATGATTTCTTTGGTTTTCCTTTATTTCATTTCACATTGATGACTCTAAATTGTGATCTGGTAGTCAACATGTATGGAAGCCTACTTACATTACTAGCTTGACATTTAATATATATTATTAACTGCATTCTCCCTTTCAGAGCCTGTAGAAAAGAAGCCTAAAAAACAGAAAAAGAAGAAAGTTAAGAAAACTAAAAAGAACATTAAAGCAGAAAGTGATGAAGAATCTGATGATTAAATTTGATATAAATAAACAATGTTGAACAGAAGATGGATAGAATGTCTGATGAAAACAATGTTTTTATTATTTAAAGGGATCATTATTTTAGTTCATCATGGGACCAATGGCAGCATGTTTACAGTACATTTACAATATGTAGCTAGGATACTCTTATTTCATTGGACATTATGTATTGTTTAATATATGTTATTAAACAACTTGAAATGTATTGTATGTTTTTTTAGTATTCTTGTTGTACAGTGTATTATATTTTACATATATAGACACCAGCTTGAAAGAAAGATGGCAGTAAATGTCCAAGCTGTAGACTGAAGAATCACTCCTGATGTCTTCTATTCAACCTAGTGAATGTACTATACAATGTGTGTTATATGAGTATGTATTTGAATCTATATCAGCATGACATTTTGTATAAATATCAGGTCTACATACAAATGTAAAATTGTGTATTTTGTTACTTGGGTTAATAGATTATGATCAGCATACACATATGTTGTTTATTGTTAACCTCTTAGTAGTATCAACAAAGAAATAAATGTGAAATAAAGAAATAAACTAAATGTGCTTTAATAAATACATAAGAGAAACTTTACCCTTGTTGTACTGCATTGTTTGAAAACAGGAATTGAATAATTTATTGGAGGTTTGATAGTTTTTTCTGAAAAATTTGAGAAAATACAAATGGAGGTAGTGCAGAAGAGGAGGGAAAACCCCATGATTCAATTGATGACATACAATTTCCTGCTTCGCGCACCTCCTTTCCCGGAAGTACGTATATTTGTTTACAAAATGGTGACTTTCATATTCTGACCTAGTTTTAGAACAATCAACGATGGACTCGCTAAACCAAACAGTGACGATGTCATCTCAATACAGATTTACTTTATAAGCGTATGTCATCTTTGAACCCTGGGGTTTCTCCCCCTCTTGTAGTGCAGGGTGAAACTTGATTTTTATGTCACCTCCATGACATAGTGACATTTAAAGCCTCCAACTTTTTTGTCAACATCTTTCCATGGTGGTAGGGCATTAATCATGTGTAGCAAGTGTTCCACATTTGTAACAATTTGCAATAACTTTAGAAGTGATGTTCAATTGACTTGAAATCTTTACTGGGAACACATATAGGGACTTATAGTTTTCAACAGATTTTTGGCTATATTTGTTGCCATTGTAATGAATCAGGCTTCTTTAGACATGCAACATTTTGTGACTTTGTATTTACTAAAGAAGTAATGGCTAGTAATAAGCTGAAGAAACTGAATGCCTGCAGAGATGTTTCTAATCATTCTGAAATCATTCAGTACCTAATTTTGGGTAATATCTGTTACCATAGCAAGATAGAACTTAAAACATTTTTAACATTGTTAGTTGTTGCTTTGAAAGTTTATTCTTTTATAGATCACAATTTTAACGTTAAATTACAATCTACACATCAATAAGGTCATCTGCTTCTATGTCCATGTTTTTTTATATTAATCTATTTAGAAATATTCAAGAAATTGAGTGACTTTAATAAGTTTTTCCGATTTGAATAGCTGAGGTACTAAATTCATAACGAGTGGAAATATACAGTGTATTTAGGGAGCTATCGCCATGGTGTGTATTATAAATGTTAATACCAATTCATTAATATGCTCCAGCAATATATGAGTGTGAAAATTTCACTTACTTAAAAACTATTTTTTTAGATGGAGAAAACACATACCATAAAACATTTTTGAATTTTGGAACTTAATGAACTTAACGTACCTAGAACCTCAGTAGGTATGGAATACATTTGTTATGTACGGTCGGTTTTGGATACAGGGTTTACCCCTTCACTCCAAAATGTGTCGTCTATTCCTTTTCTCACACAACTGGATCTTACACAAAAAATGACACCCACCTTTTGTAACATAGTTTTGGAAAATAAGTTATAATGATTTTATCAAAGACAACTACATTATTTTGTGTTTAATTGAATGGACTACACTTCCCTGAAAGTAAAAGCTGAAATCATTAATTTTTATAAAGTAACAAAAGCTGGGTGTCATTTTTTGAGTAGAATCCATGTGTATCTGCAAAGGAATGGATGACATTTGGAGCAAATGTTGTAACTCATAAATTTGACCCTCTTTAGCTACACATCTGAAATTTTTGGAGGTGCTTTCGCATTGCGTCTACTTTAAATTTGCTGAAGGACAAGTCTGTATGTTGATAGACAAACAAGTTATGCAATGGAAGGTGTGTGTCGCTTTTTGTGTCACCCTGTATATAGCAAATGGTTAATTGAATCCTGTATATGCAGAGCAAATGTTTTTGAAATCTATGGCAATGAAAAAGTATCAAAATGAAAAAATGGATATTTTTGGCATACCCTGTATACAATGGTAATTCCAGAATTTGGAGATGTCAATAAAAGATATGTCCTCATGTCAACGTCATGTGTAGTTTCATAGATGATATTGATGTGTTTCATGTCAGAGGGGATGTCTTACGCATTCTTTGTTATAAAAACAGGCTTTAATAATTAACACATTGAAGTTGAGGGACATTTTATTTCATGATGATAATTAAATAAAGCGTGTATCAGGATATAAAACAGAGAACAGAGTGAAAACGCGTTATTATCAGTATCTTCTCGTCTTATGAGATCTAGACTTATTCTTCAATCTACAAACAATGGGTTGCGCAACAGGAAAATATCAGATAAGGCCTCAGGATAACATATCTCATCTCAGAATAAGCATCAAAACAACAACTTCAATAGAAAGTGTGTATAGTCCGGCCAAGTTATTGTCAGAGTTGATCCATCCAAGGACTATGTTCTCACACCCGGACTTTACTCATGAGCCAGCATGGGACGGGAAAACATGCAATATGTATAGTCGACTGAGTCCACGACAAGATGTCCCATTTTGGCGACCACCGAGGATGAGTCAAGATATTGAATTTTTTCCTAGGAGTAATCGCCATCCACAAACTGCATACAACATCCAAGCTCAAAAACAATCTACTGCTTATTCTCCAAGAACTGGACTGCAAAAGCGACCACCGAGGATGAGTCAAGATATTGAAATTTTTCCTAGTAGTAAACGCCATCCACAAACTGCATACAACATCCAAGCTCAAAAACAATCTACTGCTTATTCTCCAAGAACTGGACTGCAAAAGCATACCCCATTGAGGAGGGCTCCTAAATGCCAGATTAATACAGTATACCACTTGCAAAATCCGACATCACAGATTTTAATGATGAATCACACGATAGCTTCAACCAGGACTCGCAGGACCGCAATGCATAGTGTTTCTAACAACTTTTCTTTACCAAGTGTAGAAATAAATGAAAGCCTTCAACAAATATCTACAAACTCTTAGCCAGGATACCCAAAAAGATCAAAATACATTCACCAAAATTGTTCAACAAAAACAATGACACAACAAAAATAAACAGTTACTATAAGTACTCTAAAAATGTCCACAACATCTATTAAAAAGACAATACAATGGGCGAATTACTTTTCCATAGTCTTATAGTCTAACTTCCAAGAGGTGTGATAGCAGTAAATCCAATGTGAAGGATGGAGTAAAACACTACAGTATCATTAATAGACGGATACATTAATTAATGCCCAATACAATAACAACAATAATCAACTTCATTTAATTATAAAAAATAATAATAATGAACCATGTTATTTTGGAAATATATAAGCGATAAATCTTCATTTGCTTATCGTTATATGTCTAATATGAGAATGCAGGGGGTGAATCCAATCACATGGACATTAACACCTGTGTATGCATGAATGAATTACTGATATTTCATTGAACCATGGTTTGTAAAAACATGCAAACTCAAATAAATAAAGTTTCTTTAAGTTATAGTGATCAATGTAACATTACATCATTATTCTATGTTTTATATATTTTATTTTAGCAACAAATAGTTCCTAATCACATTTTATTGTACATATGTAATGCCATCTAAGGTCATAAATGTGGCACATAAAAAAGCACAGGCTAAGACAAGGTGCCTATAAAAAAGAAATAAAATTTTGGACGGTACAATTATAAGACTTTACATGACTGTTATATTTTTATGACAAAATATAATTTAGAAATACAGTAAAAATAATCAAAATAATACAAATCTTCCTTGTTGACTGGTATGATTTTTATGTCATTGTTAGGAATCAGGATTTCTTTTCATGTAAAACTGATGCCATAGACACACCAATATATAAAACTAACATCTTATGTGGTGTCTGTGAGGGTGGGGAGGAAAGAAAGATTTTGTTTGTGATTTAGATTTCATCACTCTTCATATCACCCACATTAGGATATTGGAGTTCCATTTTTGTTCAAGTTATATCATATTCAGTTCTGTTTTATTTGAAAGGAGAGAGTGCACTGAACAAAAACCTAACTTAGTTTTCCTGTGAATGTCAACTTTTGGCTTAAGAGGCCCAGTTTCTCTACAAAAGCTAAACATTTCAAACCATCACTGTCATCACTTTGGCATCTGGGGTATTTGATTACGTAAAAAATCATACATTAAATACATGACTCAAATGTGGTCCCCCAGCAACTCAGTGCTATATCAGAGGCTCCCTCAGACCCTAATTTAATAAGACACTGTTAGGGGATGCGTTACGACCCTGGATAGCAAGTTGCTACTACAGCCCAGCTGTAGCGCTTTGGTTACTCGCAAAACAACAACTCCCAGAGTGCCAAATCCTACCAAACAAAACATATCTAATTGTTTATCAAATTCCTTTGTCAGATACCTTCTGGAGTAGAGGGCCAATGAAACCAGATCTGTCTGGTATTTGATTTCTTGCCTGGACCGACAGATGAATAGATAGATGAGACGACTACTCTATATTCCTACTCAAACTTTAAATGAGAATTTGTGAATGCCATAACATAATTTGGCAATAATACTTGTCGGTATTACTCATCGTTGAAACAATTATCTTTGGAGATTCTAATCAATACTAAGTATCTTGTCAGAGGACCAAGGAATCACAATATAGGCTCATCATTTAACCTGTTAAATCGTGACCTACCTTTTTGTGAATTCTTAGGCAAAATATTTGGCAAAATTAGCAATTTCTGACCTAAATCGCCAATTTTGGCCTTTCTTTGTGAACATTTAAAAAAATTTTGACTGTTGTTTCACTTTAATTACCCTGTTGTGAGAAATTCTAATGAAACCCCTGTCATGATTACAAAATGTAGTATTCTGAACATTCTCTGAACACAGGCCTCCAGAACTCGTACCTCCTTCTGGAACAAGAGAGGAACATAATGGATGATGTCTGGAGCAGTGTGTTCGGGGGATGCATTCTGAATATCCAGGGTAATCTAAATATATGAACAGCACATGTCATTTGTGCCATATATGAATGAATCTCCTAATTATAGGTGGCATTATATTTAGTCCATCAAGTTAACTGTCATGTATAATTTGTATTGTTTCTTGAACTAGAGCAACTTGCCGAACACCTAGCACATATTTGCAGACGGCATAATAATGTATGGTGGCTCCAACTATTACAAAGCAATGCCAGATTGCGTGTGCAAATGGAACAATTCCATCTAATTTAAAAAACATTGTTCCAATAATGTAAATTATGCCTCCTAGTGCCAGTTCATGTAATCCTGAGGATTCCTTCTGAAAAACATAAAAACATGAATAAGTTAAAAGGCACTAGGAAAACGATGAAACAAACATTTGTGTCTAACTATGGCAAAACTATCAATGGCTACATTTAGGTGTCTGTGTCTTACTATGGAAAAAGCTATCAATGGCTATATTTAGGTGTCTGTGTCTTACTTTGGAAAAAATTATCAATGGCTACACTTAGGTGTCTGTGTCTTACTAGGGAAACAACTATCAATGGCTACATTTAGGTGTCTGTGTCTTACTTTGGAAAAAAAACTATCAATGGCTCATTTAGGTGTCTGTGTCTTACTATGGAAAAAAACTAGCAATGGCTACATTTAGGTGTCTGTGTCTTACTATGGAAAAAACTATCAATGGCTATATTTAGGTGTCTGTGTCTTACTTTGGAAAAAACTATCAATGGCTATATTTAGGTGTCTGTGTATTACTATGGAAAAAACTATCAATGGCTACATTGAGGTGTCTGTGTCTTACTTTGGAAAAAAATATCAATGGCAAGATTTAGGTGTCTGTGTCTTACTTTGGAAAAAACTATCAATGGCTACATTTAGGTGTCTGTGTCTTACTATGGAAAAACTATCAATGGCTACATTTAGGTGTCTGTGTCTTACTTTGGAAAAAAATATCAATGGCAAGATTTAGGTGTCTGTGTCTTACTTTGGAAAAAAACTATCAATGGCTACATTTAGGTGTCTGTGTCTTACTATGGAAAAACTGTCAATGGCTACATTTAGGTGTCTGTGTCTTACTTTGGAAAAAACTATCAATGGCTACATTTAGGTGTCTGTGTCTTACTATGGAAATACTATCAATGGCTACATTTAGGTGTCTGTGTCTTACTTTGTAAAAAACTATCAACGGCAACATTAAAGTGTCTGTGTCTTACTATGGAAAAACTAGCAATGGCTACATTTAGGCATCTGTGTGTTACTATGAAAAAACTATCAATGGCTACATTTAGGCGTCTGTGTGTTACTATGGAAAAAACTATCAATGGCTACATTTAGGTGTCTGTGTCTTACTATGGAAAAAGCTATCAATGGCTACATTTAGATGTCTGTGTCTTACTATGGAAAAAGCTATCAATGGCTCATTTAGGTGTCTGTGTGTTACTATGGAAAAACTATCAATGGCTACATTTAGGTGTCTGTGTCTTACTATGGAAAAAAAATATCAATGGCAAGATTTAGGTGTCTGTGTCTTACTTTCGAAAAAAACTATCAATGGCTACATTTAGGTGTATGTGTCTTACTATGGAAAAACTAGCAATGGCTACATTTAGGTGTCTGTGTGTTACTATGGAAAAACTATCAATGGCTACATTTAGGTGTCTGTGTCTTACTATGGAAAAACTATCAATTGCTATATTTAGGTGTCTGTGTCTTACTTTGGAAAAAACTATCAATGGCTATATTTAGGTGTCTGTGTCTTACTATGGAAAAAACTATCAATGGCTACATTTAGGTGTCTGTGTCTTACTTTGGAAAAAAATATCCATGGCAAGATTTAGGTGTCTGTGTCTTACTTTGGAAAAAAACTATCAATGGCTACATTTAGGTGTCTGTGTCTTACTATGGAAAAACTATCAATGGCTACATTTAGGTGTCTGTGTCTTACTTTGGAAAAAACTATCAATGGCTACATTTAGGTGTCTGTGTCTTGCTATTGAAAAACTATCAATGGCTACATTTAGGTGTCTGTGTCTTACTTTGTAAAAAACTATCAACGGCAACATTAAGGTGTCTGTGTCTTACTATGGAAAAACTAGCAATGGCTACATTTAGGTGTCTGTGTGTTACTATGAAAAAACTATCAATGGCTACATTTAGGCGTCTGTGTGTTACTATGAAAAAACTATCAATGGCTACATTTAGGTGTCTGTGTCTTACTATGGAAAAACTATCAATGGCTACATTTAGGTGTCTGTGTCTTACTTTGTAAAAAACTATCAACAGCAACATTAAGGTGTCTGTGTCTTACTATGGAAAAACTATCAATGGCAAGATTTAGGTGTCTGTGTGTTACTATGAAAAAACTATCAATGGCTACATTTAGGCGTCTGTGTGTTACTATGGAAAAAACTATCAATGGCTACATTTAGGTGTCTGTGTCTTACTATGTCAGACAATAATTGTCAATATTTAGGTGTCTATATCTTACCATGGCAAACACAACAATCATTGCAGGACATACACCAATGATTAGGTAAAACAGCACCTCTAATGATTTGTACCTGAAAATAAAAAAAGTATATATACCAGGTATATTTAAAGCTAGTGAACATATTTCTCTCATAAAACCTCTCTTCAGTGCTTGGTTTACACATATTTAATAAACACATCTCTTTAGTGAGTGACTAAACACATCTAATAACACCTCTCTTCAGTGCTTGTTTAAACACATTTCTAATAAACATCCCTCTTTAGTGACCCATTAAACAAATTTCTAATAAACATCTCTCTTTAGTGAGTGATTAAACACATTTCTAATAAATATCTCTCTTTAGTGAGTGATTAAACACATTTCTAATAAACACCTCTCTTTAGTGAGTGATTAAACACATTTCTAATAAATATCTCTCTTTAGTGAGTGATTAAACACATTTCTAATAAATATCTCTCTTTAGTGAGTGATTAAACACATTTCTAATAAATATCTCTCTTTAGTGAGTGATTAAACACATTTCTAATAAATATCTCTCTTTAGTGAGTGATTAAACACATTTCTAATAAATATCTCTCTTTAGTGAGTGATTAAACACATTTCTAATAAATATCTCTCTTTAGTGAGTGATTAAACACATTTCTAATAAATACCTCTCTTTAGTGAGTGATTAAACACATTTCTAATAAATATCTCTCTTTAGTGAGTGATTAAACACATTTCTAATAAATACCTCTCTTAAGTGAGTGAATAAACACATTTGTTTATTAGAAATTGAATTTTATCGCTTCACAAAAACCGTTCTTCAAACGCACGTTTTAATGATTCGAAGAAAATATTTCAGGATGTATAAATTCACCTAATTTCTAAAAGTATGATAAAATTTCATGATGATCACTTCCAGAATAAAATAGTTGTGTCCTTCTAAAAAGCTCTCCTTATTGGGAGTTCTCCTTTAACAAAAATATTGATTTTAGTCCAACAGAAAAATTGATAGGGACAAATGATCAAAAAATTAATTTAGTTATTTCAGTGGCACATAATGTTATTAGCAAATATAAAAATTAATTTAGTTATTTCAGTGGCACATAATGTTATTAGCAAATATAAAAAGGGAGACCATCCAAACTTGGGAGCTTTTATTTAACTTTGAAATATTGTTTTTAAAAATATAAGTGTTACACAACCTGTTGCTGTTGCTAGTATTGTATTATGTTATTTGTTTACTTGTATCTTTCATGAGAAAAGAAAAAAAAGAAAAAAAACAACTTGATCATGAAAATCAAGATTATTTCTCATGAGACCTATCCTACTAACTCTTGTACACAGGCAGTAATACACCCCAAGGATTAAATATATCAGACCTTGTATCAAAATGTCCATTGCATCTATATACTTTATAATCTGGTAAAAAGATATTTGTACATATTATCTACAAAAGTAAACACCTTATCTCTTAAACTCATTTACAAAAATGTATACACATATTTGAAGTTTTCAAGTTGCATATCTATGTACTTTGAATATAAATGGTGTAATGAAATACAAATCATACCTACATATGAATGTCAATGTTTTAATTACTAAAAACATTTAAATGCAATAACCATGGATGTGAAGGATGTCAATTCCATGTAAAAACTAAATAATATGATGGTTCAAAATAGTATTAGTAAAATTAAAACAAATTGATTTCATATATACCAATGCACAGTGAGTGTACAGGGTAGGGGGCAGGGTAGGGCCCTCCAGCATTTAATGTAAAACTAATTTGATGTAAATGCAATAGCTTAAGTAGCTTGGCTGAGTTGAGTTCTAAATGGAATATTAAGCCTTGACAATCATGAGTAATCAGAGGCACCAATCTAATTGATTATCACAATTTCTCATATGACGTAAATCGCCCACTTTACAGAAATGTGCAAAAAATTGTACCCAGGGCTTGTTCATTTTTTATAGTATAAACTTTAATTAAAAGTGAGGCTATATTGTTTTTTGATAATATTGTTTTCACAATAATTCTTATTTTCCCACTCAAAAAGAATTACTTCTAAATATGAAATTATAATTTCTAGATTTTACTTGATAGCCTCCATGTATATACAGACAGGTCTGTAACCAGGGTTTGAGAAGTTGGACCAAACCTCCCCTTTGCCAAAAAAGTCAGCAGTGTTTCACCATTCTAAGCGCTTTTCAAGTGATTTTGGAAAAAGTTGAAAATGACCCCCCCCCCCCCTGGCTGGCTATAGAGCTATACAGTTTTAGGCTGAGTGCCCACTGAGCTCAACAGTTTCAACTGATTTTATAATAAATTCAAAAATTTAACTCAGGCCTTACCAGGGCTCAAAGCTTCATGAGGAATAGATTTGGTATTTTTGGATAGAAATGGAAGGTATTGGTAATTTGACCATTTGCATTGGCAACTATCTTATCTGGCAGATTCAAGGCAGATATCAATCCTTTTCCTATGGAAGGTGTATTGACTAATACATTATGCCTATATTTCATTTACTTTTTATGGAAAATTGATATTGATATATTACAGGGGCGGATCTGGGAACCAACAAGGGGGGGGGCCCAAATGTCAGGTCAAAGAAAAAAAAATTGGGCCCCTAAAACCCCAAAGTGGGCCCAAATTTTGAAATTTTGAGGCCCATTTTCTTCAAAATTTGGCCTGAAATTAAAAGATAGGCCTTCAAAGGCTCAGTAATGACCAAAAAGGCCCACTTTTTGGGGCCTTAAGGCCTTTTTACGCCCCCCCCCCAGTTCCGCCAGTGTATTATACTCTTATTTAACTTGTCTTTCATTAAAGATATATTAATACATTTTGCCGATATTTCACTTACTTCCTATGGAAGATTTACTGATACATTATACCCTTATTTCACTTTTCATGGAAGGTGTACTGATACATCATGTCCATATTTACTTATCATGGATGGTGTATTGATACATTATACCCTTACATCACTTTTCAATGAAGGTGTATTGATACATTTTGCCCATATTTCACTTATTTTTCAGGGAAGGTATTATATATTGATACACATCATGCCCATATTTTACTTACTTCTCATGGAAATTGTATTGATACAGTATGCCCAAGATGGCCATGGTCCAGATTACCCATAATGCCTCTACTCTCAAGTCAAGTGACATCTCCTTGGTAACTAGCCTGAAATGGATGTGATATCATTATCATCTATTTTGAGTGAATTCATTTTTATCTAGGATGAACAGCTCAATGTATGTCAACCCTAATTTTTATTGACGAGTTGATACACAGTAATTGACAGCAAGGTTGGATGGGGCAATTGAGGTCTGTTATTGAATGCCTCATTGATAAAATGGAACATTAATATCACATCTAAAGGACATGAGTTTGAATAATTATAATGTCTTCTTACCATGGTGTATATGATGCTGCTACAAAAATATATATTGCTGCTCTGTCGCCTATATGCAAGATATTCTTCAATGTGCTAAAATAAAGAGAAAGCACAAACATAAATTGACATAACCCTGAAATAAAAAATCACTCCAAAGAAAATTGTATAAATCTATATTTATTTTAACAAACTAAGAATAAAAATGCAAAATAATTTTTGATCATTTTTTGAAAATTCAATCATCCCTCGTGCCTTCTTTCAAAAAGTAAACAAGAACGAAATGTTTTAGAAAAATATTGGAGTAATATCTTTAGTATTCCTCCTGATAAAACGTTTTATGATAAAATATATTCCTTGAAAATAACAAACATGAAATACAAAAAGTATGCTGAATTCAACTTTAAATTACTTCACAACATTTTAGCATGTGGAAGTGAGATATGTAGATGGAACCAAAATTGTTCAAAATGTAATATAATTCAAAATGCAAAACATCTTATTTCTTAATGTAAGCTAGTAGAAACACTATGGAAGGATGTGGAAAAAATATTGAAATGTAAAATACTCTGGAAACATTTTATTCTGGGTTTTTATTGCATGGAAAGTGATATTATAGCATTTAGAAATTTAATACTTACTATTATAGGTTACACAATATATTCAACATGGGTAAAATTGTCGGAAGAAAGGAATAAATATGAAAATGTCAACTTCAAATCAAAAATTGCATCCAATTTAAAGATTTACGCAAACTTTGTAAATGAAAACGAAAAAGTAAATCATTATTTAGATCAATTTATTAAAAAATTTATATCATAAATATGTTTTTTTGGGTGAAGCTCTATATATTAAAAGTTCTATGTATTTGTAGAAATTGCATGTATTTTTGTATGCTTTTGAATGTATTTGTTTTGTAAATATGTTATGTTGAAATAAATGTAAAAAAAAAATGCCTTCTTTCTAAACATCCTAAAACTTCACACATTTCATTTTAGTTATTGCCTTTATTTGCCTACTTGAATTTCCCACTAAATGAGATGGTGTGATAAGTAGTTGAGACTGTGAAGAGTGCCACCAGGGCCGCCCCATATATGACAGCAATCCAGAATTCACTGGATTCATCTGCAAGGGTCAGCATCCATCCTAATCCAAATATAGATGGCACAATGAGCAACTGGAAGCAGAAAACAAGTTTCTAAACTACAGTAAAACTATTGCACTGACACATATTTCCGCAAATAATTTTGATGATGAGTAACTCATTTAATACTGAAATATTCATTTCTTATTTTTCAGATTTTTCCTTACTTACCCCATGTGTGGCAACATTTGCTAAGTGTTCATGATTGGTTGGATTGTACGGGTTGCCAGGCAATGCACGGCAATTCATGTATCTGAAAAAAAGAGTTCTATTAATTAGTAATTAACTTCTCCAGGAGTCAAAATATATGCAACTTGTTCTGCATTTGTTTTGGGAGAAAATTCGTTTAAAACCAAGCTTTTCTACATATTCATTAAAACAATTAAAAATTTAGGTAATCCGCATCATCCTCTTTCTTATTTTACCTTTGTTTTCTTTCCAAACCTTATTTACAGTTTAAGTTCCCAAAGTTACACAGCATAACCTTGACAGTATATTTATTGTAACATGTAACAGTTAACATTCTTGGCCAACAATTCTAAGTCTCAAAGTTCTTTGTACATTATGTGTGTTATCTATGGATTAATACTACTTCTTGACCTCATAATATTAAAATTGTTATGATGATTTATCACGTGAAGTAGACCAGAATGCAGGTTGCAATGAACTTTTCACGCCTCATATTTATGTATCATATGCCTTTTTTACATCTCGATGAAAAGAAAACAATATTTTGGAGATTTGTTAAAAACATGCGACCATGCAATTCACACCGTGGGTCTATTGATCTTTTTCATGACAAGGCTCATTAAGTGCTGCGCGAGCCCCAGGGCCGTTCGCTCCAAATAATTTGGGTAGGTATGTGCAGCACGGTCAATTTTGGCTTTGAGCATAAAACATGGAACTTGGCCAATCTGAGAGGAAAAAAACATGGAAAATTGTCTTTAAGCAAGTACATTTTTAAGTCAAAATTCAGTTTTTCTACAGAAAATTATATTGAATTTGTTAAATCAGTTCCTGAGGCCTGGAACAAATTACGAACAAATTACATGTATTAGTCATGTCATGTATTAGTCTCAGAGGTATTAAACACGGAAACCTTCAATCTTGAGAGGAAATTGACATGGAAAAAATTCTCAAAAGGGGGGTCTTTGGGGCGGTACGTAGGTATTAAGAAGATTATTGGAGTGAAACCCCAGGGGCGCGAGTAAACGCACCTCATGTAGTTACAATAAAAATACAGCCGTGGTCTCTGGTGCTGTTTTCCACTTTGTGCTAACACTTGTATTTTTTACTCTACATGTACGGTTTGGAACAAAAATTCTCGGAATTACTATACTCGGATTCACTGTATCAACCTGCAATTCGTTGATTTATTTAAAACACTTGCTTTGGTTACGGAGATCATCTTGAATGAATGTGAAAAGTACAGTTTGGAACAAAAAATAATGACATTGATTTGCTGAAGTGAGGATTTCCCATGCTAAAATAAGAGAATTTTGAAGAGGTCATACATCAGTGGATGAGAGTAGAAATGTAAAATATACAAATTTTAGGGGATATGTATCTAAACAATATTTGAGACTATAGGGCTTTCAAAACACCATGGTTTGGATATGGTGATAGAAAATCTACTTGTCATTTATTTTGTTCCAAACTGTAGATCTATTTTTTAAATTTTATTTTTAGATTTCTAATCAGCTAATGCGAATGTTCAGTTATAAATTCACATTTCTAACCCGAATATTACTTTTCAGCACAGATTCAGCTGGATCTCAGACTAGAAAATATTGTGTTGACGTTTAAAACCCTTATATCAATCCCCACATTACCTTGTATAATGAAAACCGGGAAATAAGAGGACAAGCTTTTATACTTTGATCAGATGTTGTTTGTTTACTGAGGTAATCCCTTCGACAATGACATCATTTAGTCACGTGATAAGGGATTTCCACTTTCACTTTCGAAAAGGGAAAGTCCAACTGAATGAACCCTTCAATCGCCAATTACATGGACTTTCTATTGAATGCCCATGCCAATTACAAGGAGCTCACCACTTTTTGTAGATATTTAGAATGTAATGAATGAAGTAAGCATTACGGCCCTTTTCCCTTTTAGTAGCTTTCAAATGCCTTTCAAACTAAAACGGCGAAAAAGCTACTAAAAATCTTATGGGTACTACTAATTTACGTTCAAAAACTGCCCACCACTATCGCCCGGGCTCTATCTCTTAGGTCCGTGATGGAATTATTGGAATATGTATACAAAATATACCAAAAGGCTTTAAATCAACAAAAACGCAACAAAAAGAAATATCTAATAGATGGCACAACCAAATGCCAGTGCATGAACCAGTTATCAATAACAGTGGCGTAGCGTGGGTATTTTATGAGTGTACGCCACGAGTGAGCGAAGCGAACGAGCTTTTGAGGGGAGGTTCTTTCCCCCAAGAAAATTTGAAAAAATTAGATTTCATTTGAAGCGTTCTGGGGCGTTTTAGAATACGAAATTCCGACTACGAAAAAATAATATGGATTAATAAAATGTTAGGCCATTACTTCAGAATATTAAACGTGGGTCATTTCAATATCAAAAATTCACTTTTCTCTAAACGTTGAGAGTACGCTATGGCGTTTTATGCGTATATGACGCTACGCCACTGAATAAAATCCCCAAAAGCCCTGACATACAAAATACATTTACATACATGTCACCAGTGTCATGGTGAATATAGCAATAATGGTAGCAAAAGTCTGAGATATAAAAAACAAGATATAGTATTCACTAGCGATACACAAAAAAGTTCTAGATACTGCCAGCCAAGAATTGGCACTTAAAGGCTTGGTTTAGCCATGGAATTTCAAGAGAGCCCATGGTTTAGCTTAAAATCAACTCTCTCCTCTGCAAATATTAGAGTCTGCACAGTTAATTCTTCATTTATTTGATGCCTGTATAAAAAAATTACTATACAACTCAGAAATCTGGTAAACGCAGATAAGTGCAAAAAATATAAGAAAAAATTGAAAATATACAAATAACATTCTGCAGATGGATTCTTGATGTCAAACACAACTGCATAACCTTGCAATACTGAGTGAGACTGGCAGACTACCAATGTCATATCATATTCATTTGAGTGCAATTAATACTGGACGCACATAAAAATAACAGCAAATTACTCTCACACATGAAATACCAAAAATACAATCTGTGGTACAATTTCATTGCTAAGTCACTGCAAAGTATTGAAATTGATATAAATGATGTTAAACTTCCTGATTCATCCTCAAAAAATACATTCTTAAACTCTGATCAAAAACTTATTAAATGCAATGATCAGTGGAAGGTGAAAATAAGCTCTGGTAGCAAACCAAATAATAATAGTAAAATGAGAACCTATGTAAACTTAAAAAATAATATACATAAACATCTTGAAGAATATCTCAATACTGTAAATAACTTTGAAAAAACGAAATCTATTTACAAAGCTGAGACTCAGTGACCATTCATTAAAGATTGAAGCAGGAAAATACAAAAATAAAAATGTAAATGAACGCATATGTACAAAATGTTCAGATAATGTGTTGAAGATGAGCTGCACAGTGCACTTTGTTATGAGATGCAAAATCTACGAAAGTGAGCGCAATATTATTAGATAAAATTCAAACGTTAAATCGAACTCCCGTGCAGTACCGAGACACTGCATGGGAGTTCGACGTTAAATAAGGACTTTTCTAATATGACTGAGGAAAACAAGTTCCTATACATTATGTCATACAAATCAAATATAGAGGAAATCCTGCATTTCATTGAAATGTGCTTTAGAAAAGAAATCTATTACATCGCAACCATTATAACACAATATCTTTGTAGATTAATGTGACTGTATACATGTAACTGTATAAATGTAGTTTGTATAATTGTAGTCTGGCCATGCCCTCACTAGATAACACAGTGGCCGTGCCTTAATAAATTCTACAAAAACATGGTTTAACAGTAACACCCCCTTTCCTCAGCAAGACCACCAAATGAAGCTACATTTGTGATAATTAAAATCGAGACATATACATAAAAAATACATAAAATTTATATATAACGTCATAGTCGTGATAGTGTGCGATTTAAATGATAATCAGTTACCTGAAGAACGTAAGTGAAACCGGTAGTGACTGAATAACTTCTTCTGTTATTTTCAGTTTTTATAATCATTTTTATATATGTCTCTGGTATAAACACTATTAATTGTCAGATCTGAGTCGGTGTGGTTTGACGATGCATCTTTGCCATCTCAATGTAGTTGCTCCAACTAAATAACCATAAATTGGAAGTCAAAGATGAATACGATGATTTATGGTAATGAATGAATCGTTCAATAGTACAAACCTGCAAAATGATACATCAGAAGGTGCATTTGAACAGTCACCCTGTATTTCTTCTTTGCGCTCTTCCTGACGATTATTGTGGTTGTCATGGTTACCAGCTCGTTGCTTTAAAGACATGTTGATATTAGTTCCTAAGCCACATACAATAATATGACATAGATGTTGTATATCAGGTTATGCGATATATCAAGCATTTTTGTTATTCAAAGCTCCCCATGGCTTCTTATTCAGAAGAAATAATCAAAGCTGCTTTTGTGTTATAATCCATGACTCCGAATGAAATGTCTACTTTTAGAAACACCTTGTTTATCTTCTTACCAGAGCGTATGCTGGATATATAGACGCTTAGTTTAAAAATAGGTCTTGGGATAGGCAGGTAGCTCAGAACACTGGTTCAATCCAATAATCGTGGGATTCGTTTATATGGCAAAGAAGAATTCACTACTATTAGTTGCCAAGACCTTTCAATTATCAGTTAATTTTCACGATTCTCTACATATACGTATTAGTTCATTGTTTTTCCTATATGTAAAGCACATATGTAATAGTTTACAGCAGCCGAGTTATTATCCAATGCATTAAAGAAGTATGTTGATTTACCATTCATTTCTTTTGTCTCTCAGTTTTACGCTGTTGCCGCAAAGAGATCATATTATTATCCTCGAGACATTTACTCATCAATATCCTCCTTAATCAATTCGTCGCGTCATGATCATTGACATTTTTCATCCTACTGAACTTACGCCATCCCTTACTTTAGTATTTACATATACTAGTCATGGTCTGCTACACGTTATTCTTCAGGAAGACTAAATCAGTGCTCATGCGGAACTATATGCAGATACATATAGCTATATATGCTAATACTTCCATTGATTTTCCTCTCTGCTCCATCGACGCTCTACACAGACCTAGATTGCACGGAGGAGTGATTAATTGGATTAATTAACAGCCATTAATCATCCTAACCTATGCATAACTCAATTTGTCTTTGTATAGGCATACATGTATAATTTAGAGAACACCACGCTGCTGTCTGTAGTAACATTTCCAGTGGGAATATAATATATTTTCAGCATAATATATTTGGAGTGGCAAATAATCAGTTCCGTATGTGGTTTAAATCCTATGGATCTATCAATACTTTTGTAGCAGCTTAGATTTCCAGATATTGTGATTTAGCATTCGTAACAAAAGTCTATAGATCTGACGAGTAAATCCCGTGCTACTGTAAATCCAGCCTTCCAAGAAATTTCGGATATCATCTCATCCTTTGTTATCTTGATGTTGGAATTGAAATTCAAATGATGTAACATGTTAATAAGTTATTATGTATAAATGTATTTATGTGATTATTTTCAATATGAAATATTAACTAATATATTGAAAAAAATTATTTGATTGTGAATAATAAAGATTGGAGAAAGGGAACCTAAACGATTCATAACTCCGACAATAAAATCAATAGCACGAATATAATCGTACATTATGATTTTAACCCACTGCAAAATAACACGAAATTGCTTACATTAATGCATTACCATATTTAGTACAAATAGGGGAAAAATTCTTTGAACATACTAATCCTTACCCATATAGCATTGTTAACATTGGGTAATCTCGTAACCACGATCTGACGATTTTCAATAGTTTTTCTTTATTTTTCTGGATATAATGCCTGATTTTTTTGAACTTTAGTATTCCTCGTTATGGTCCTCAGATACTTTACAATGTACAGGGTGAACCAATAAAAACGAATACACAAATTAAAACTGAAAAATACATTTCAATTTCAAGTTGTGGATTGTTTTGGTCCACCCTCTATCGTTTATAATTTCTTCAAAATCAAGACGTTTGTGCAATTCACAGGGTGCTATTTACACCGTTCTATGGTTTTTATTAATTTAGTCAAGCCCCTCTTTGTGCTTATTAGTGTTAGATTATTGTAAAACTCAATGAAAAAAGTAACATAAGATGCGTCAAAGATTTAAGATGCTTCAAGGATAATAATCTGTAATAGCCTATCATCATCATAGAAGTAGAGAATCGCAATCGAGGGTTTGTTAGAAAGAATAGTACACGGTAGAGGAATTGATAAATTAGTAATACAATGAACAGAATGAGATTAATATAAAATTATAAGCTTATACACTTTATGTTATCGATAAGCTATTTCTCGGTCTCCAGTTGTATAACCACATTAAGCACTGTAGTCCCATTCACCTTGTATAATGCAGATTTACTATTTTCCAGATGGAGCTGCATAGTTATATATTGATTTTCAGGCCAGATGAGAAAGATTTGTTCTATCTCTATGCACTGCTATGTATCATCACTTTATGATTACCATAGCAACCGTTTAATAGCATCCCATTCGCGCAATGTGTGTTCAATACACTTTTGTGTAAAGTGTCAAGATTGTATGTAAATATTGCATAAATTGAAAAAGGACATCAATTAAAACGCACGTTTTTTTCAATAGAAATTCTGATATTATTGATGTCATCGTCATATAAGAATAATTGCCCTCCTCTTCTCTCTTAAAATAATTTTCATGTTCGACGACCGAAATGTGATTTTCGGCAATAGAAGACTCAGATACGACTTGGATATGCTTGGGGTACAAAACGAAGTGTAAGCCAGGTACAAATAAAGTAAAACCTGTGAATGTGGGACGCTAGTCTAGCTACAATGGTTCCTGTGACCTCTTCTACTCCATAAATACACAGGTTCTCATGGATGAGCGGTGGGCCAGGCACAAGAGCTTGTAGCTAGACTAGTGGAACGCTCTGGGTTCTGCCAAAATGTCACAAATTGCAAGTAGCTTGCAAGATGTTCCGATTTACAGAAGTAAATGTGTCAGAGGCATTTATACAACATAGAAAATTTCCTGCATCTGCTTCTGGTGGTGTCACATCGATTTTGTTTGATATTGAAGTCATTAATATTGTTGTCTTGACTCTTGGTGTATCATTGAAAGTATGGTTCTCCAGAGATGTTTTATATGTCTCTGGGTCCTCGTAACATTGAGAACCAAGTTAATATATTTTTGCAATCAATTCAGAAACAAAAAGTAAAGGGTGTTATTTAGGGTAGCATCCCACACAAACCCTCTACAGGAGGCTAATTGATAATTATTAGGCTAGTTTTTTGCCATATATCTGTGGGAGTATGTTCATTTCGATTTGGTAATTAATAATTATCACGGGAAGAAGATTTAAATCCCCCTCCCGCTCATTGTATACTATTACTGTACAACAATTTTATAGTACACAATGAGTGGGAGGGGGATTTAAATCTTCTTCCTGAGCCTGTGATAATTATCGAGTTGTGCTGTTAATTTTTCAATTAATTATGATTTTTGCAATACTGATTTGCTAATGATCAATTTGTGCTGTTGCCTCCTGCTGAGATATCTGTATGACATTAATCTGATTTGAAATGGACTGTTTCACTAACACTAGTTCGTTTTTCACAATGGCGTGTTCCACATTCAGGTTTGGGGGGTGTTCCACTTAAACAGTCTCAATTTACATTAAAACGAGGCTGAAAGTGTTGCACTTTTGAGTTTGAGGTATTCCACTTGTACAGGAATGTTCCAATTACATATACAGGGTGTTTCATATGTGTGCACCCCTCCGCCATAAACTCATACATGTAGTAATGCCAACCCTATCATGTTATATATCATTTTGTTCCTTATGGAAAGTTACATATGATCGCAAAGTTTCAGAGTCCAGGGATGTCCCCGGAAAAAGATAAAATGTATCAAAGTTTGTGGGTATGGGGTCATTTGCATGGGACTTCATACAGAAGTGATGGTTATCCGAAAATGATATATCCATTGCATGGAGTAAGTAATTTTCTTTGATATAATGAAACATATGAGTGAAAAAATAAATTGTGAAGTAGTCTTAGTGTTTTTATAAAAAAATAACACGCTCCGTCACAGCTGACAAATTTTTCGATACCAGCCTGTGAATCAATAAGAGATTACAGTTCATATTAGGACAGTATTTGTGGGACAGTAGGTGGGATGTTATGTCCCTTTAAAAAGTGAATTATCCTGATATCATTTGTATTAATGTAAATGCTTTTGAATCAGATATGGCTCAGTCATTCACACCTCCAAAAATAGGATGTACAGTGTTACCGATAATTTCATGTTCCTCAGAGACAAGTAAACTCCCTAAAACAGTGTTCTTTGTTCCCAGTAGACAGGTGTCCCATACAGAGAGTATACATTAACACGTAAGACAATGGAAGATATTTGGTTCTTTTAAAGGTGTTTCTTACAAAAGAGCGTTCCAAGACAGGTCTTTAACTATGGATTTTGTAATTATTTTATTTTACTATTTTTAAATGTTACAGGAGGGAATATCATGTATTGGCTTTTAATAAGGATTTTGTCATTGAATCATGTATATTTTTGTCATAGTATAGAATACATTTTAAAACATAACAAACTATTGAAATCAATTCATTTTATATTTCTTTTAAAAATATGTACATATGTACTGTTCTTTTAATACATGTTCTTTATATATAATACAACCCTACATATGGAAGGTACTTGTACAAAACTATACAATCTGTTTTCACAGTCTGCCAGTTTTACACAAACATAATAATAATTTCTTTCAGCACAGCCCCATTTAAATGACCCAGCAAATGACCTATATACATGAATGGAAGTTCGATATCCTGGGACTAACACTTAATTAAATGTACATAATTGAATAAATTGTATAAAATCTGAATCACATTATAAATATTTAAAGCAATCCAGTACAGATTGAGCAATTTGCATGAATTGTTGGATATTCTTATTAATTTGGCACATAATATATGATTGCAATACAATTTGTACATGTATATATTACACACACTGTAAAATTCCTGTGCAACTACGATTTGCCTAAAGTTTAATTGTGCAAAGTTCAATAGACTAGATGCAAGTAGAAATATTCTTGATTTTCATCATTTAATATTCATAATTTAGTGATATCACATCTACATGCAAAATTACATACATAACTTCGGTTTTAAATTTATTTTTCATAAAATTATGATAAATGGATACTTTTCTTTTCCTAAACAGATAATACATTTTATGATATTTCTTTTACTGAACACATTTGAAATGCCTCCCATGTGAAAAAATATCAGAAAATCGGCAATTAAGTCTATAGTTGTTGTTCATAATGTATTTTAAGTGACATCTAGCATCAAATGAATGGAATTACTCATTAGTTTATTCAGTAATGGAATATGCAGTGGCTATGTTGCAGGATAATGAGACATTGTACAGTTGAAGTGTTTTATTGGATTTGGATAGAATATTTATGTAAATTTTTTCACTCTCATCCTAACCCAAGACATTACTAGTTGTACAAGATGTGCCGTTGTGTGATCTCCACAAATGCTTTTCCTTACGAACGATCCTTATGAATGAGATAGCATAGATGACACTTAGGGAAGGGTACACATACATATATGTGTAAGCAATTCGAACATGACTGTATTCACACTTGTTATGAACTGTGAACAAAGTCAATATTTCACCCGGCATGTATTTGGCGACACTGCCCCTGGACCTGGTACTACAAGTAATGTGTGATGCCATAACAGTTGCTGTAGTAATGGGGGGCCATAATGTATATTCGAAAATTTTGGTGACTTTTCATGTTCGAATTGTAAAATAGACCTCAGAGCAGGTATTCGTATATCAATGAATTCATACCTTAGGGCTAGGCATAACAACTTTCGAACCAGAAAATGTTTGTGCCTAGCCCTGCGGTGTGTATTCATTGATATGTTATTGACACCTGCTGTGAGCTCTATATTTCTTAATTTCATTACATAAGAATCTTGAGTGGTAATTCACCTTTAAAAGCAAGAGAAATTAATTTCAATAGGTTTTTTAAAAAGTGGGAAACTTCACCATTTTATTTAACAATTCCTCATTTCACAGCACTCATACATCTGCAATATGAACATTAAACTGTACACTAAAATATAATGTAAATAAATGCACCAAATATAAAATAGTTTATATAAATAATAGATACGAGCCCTGATGTTACAATACTGCAGTTATTATGAGGGCCATTCAAATAGTACCATTCCTTCTCTAGTAAGTTTTGAAATTTTAATATGCAGCATAAGAAAATGACCCATCATACAGGTTGCACAATCCAGAATGAGTACTTGTATAATGTAGAGAAGGATTTTTAAAATTGAACAGCCCTCGTATTAACATGCATCATAATAGCACTGACACATACAGAGTTGATTATCTTTTGCACATTGTATGAATATTTGTTCTGAGTTGAATTGCACTACAGTGTATTAATATTTGAATTTCACCTACAGACTGTCAAGTCAATAATGGATAATTACAATTAACTTAAATTTTTTTCAAGATGGAGCTAGCAACCAGGATGATTGTAGATGGTAAATAAATAATAAATATCCATTACAAAATATGTCATGGTTTTGAACTTGATTATAGGTGTGTTTATTCTAAATATGATTATGACTTCAATTGAGTGAATGCTAGGTATGACCCCATTCATTAATGGCCTTCAATGATGAGTTCCACCTCATGATTTTACCATAGTACCATGCTTTCAATTGTAAATTCTGCCAGCTTCACTTCTTTTGAACATTTTTTATGGCGCCATCTATTCTTCATCTGTGATCAATTCACGACACATTGCGGAGACTTTCGGATGAATGAGGAATGATTGTGGATGCACAGTCCTATTTCTATTCACAGTAGATTTATATGACTTTTTAGTGCCCTTTAAATACTCATATTTTGTAAAAGAATGCCTGAAAAGAAACAATTTTTCATTAGCAGTTGTTATTTTTTTAATTGATATTAACAGATGGCATAAAAATGACATTTCTGTGTTTTTTGCTTTAGCATAGTAGTAGATATAACTCACTGTTCATTCTACTATGGAAAATCGAATCACACATAACACATAAACAAAAGCAATTAATTTTTAACCAAGATTTTCATTCCTACGATTATTTATTACTAGAATCACAGCTATACCTTTAAACACTTTCTTTAATATTTCAACCCCCAAACAAAAACTGATCAAGACTTTCGAGGCTCACTTGAATTTCCAACCACTAATCGAGGCAAAAAAATTAATTCAAATTTAACAAACTCGAGAAATACAACCTAAATGAAAAATTAACTGAAAACCTGATATGAAGAAACATGGAGTATGTTTATTATAAAAAGACAACTCTTACTTCAGTATGAAAGGTGGGTGGCTCATGTCCAAACAGGCCTTGAATGGAGACTCATAAAAATTCACATCAGATCGGAAGTCAATCTGTGATGCTCCACTCAGGTGGTAATTTGACTCTGCTGTAAACATTGGTGTGGCTATTGTTGTGGTGCCCTTTATAGTGAGTGCTCCACTGGAAAAATACATGAAATATTGGTGTGATCAACAGTTAAGAACATGTTCATTTAAACATTGGTGTGATTTGGTTGTGGTACCCTTTATAGTGAGAGCTCCACTGGAAAAATACACGAAATATTGGTGTGAACAACAGTTAAGAACATGTAAAATTAAACATTGGTGTGACTTTGTTGTGGTACCCTTTATAGTGAGAGCTCCAATGGAAAAATACATGAAATATTGGTATGAACAACAGTTAAGAACATGTAAAATTAAACATTGGTGTGACTTTGTTGTGGTACCCTTTATAGTGAGAGCTCCAATGGAAAAATACATGAAATATTGGTATGAACAACAGTTAAGAACATGTAAAATTAAACATTGGTGTGACTTTGTTGTGGTACCCTTTATAGTGAGAGCTCCACTGAAAAAATACACGAAATATTGATGTGAACAACAGTTAAGAACATGTAAAATTAAACATTTGCGTGACTTGGTTGTGGTACCCTTTATAGTGAGAGCTCCAATGGAAAAATACATGAAATATTGGTATGAACAACAGTTAAGAACATGTAAAATTAAACATTGGTGTGACTTTGTTGTGGTACCCTTTATAGTGAGAGCTCCACTGAAAAAATACACGAAATATTGGTGTGAACAACAGTTAAGAACATGTAAAATTAAACATTGGTGTGACTTTGTTGTGGTACCCTTTATAGTGAGAGCTCCACTAAAAAAATACACGAAATATTGATGTGAACAACAGTTAAGAAAATGTAAAATTAAACATTTGCGTGACTTGGTTGTGGTACCCTTAATAGTGAGAGCTCCAATGGAAAAATACATGAAATATTGGTATGAACAACAGTTAAGAACATGTAAAATTAAACATTGGTGTGACTTTGTTGTGGTACCCTTTAATGAGAGCTCCACTGAAAGAATACACGAAATATTGGTGTGAACAACAGTTAAGAACATGTAAAATTAAACATTTGCGTGACTTGGTTGTGGTGCCCTTTATAGCGAGAGCTCAAACTGGAAAAATACATGAAATATTGGTGTGATCAACAGTTAAGAACATGTACATTTAAACATTAGTGTACATGAAATATTGATGTGATTAATGGTGATGTTAATATACATTAAACATTGGTGTGGCTGTAGAAAGATTCTCCCAAACTTTTGAACACAAATTAGAAATATAACAGATATGCTTGTGATCAACAACTAGTCTTAAATGCTTTGAAAAGACGAACAGGACAAAAACAGTGTCTAAGTTATGATTTAAATGGACATTTTATGCACCATTTGAAAGCTTAGAAATGAATACAACATACCTGTTTGTAATAACTGACTTTGCGTATCTGTTCCAGAGGCTGATACTGATAGCACCAGAGAGATCCATACTAACGACACCCTGGATGTTAAGCTCAACAATGAGACCATTCTGAAGGTGAATCCTATGTACACGGTCATGGAGCATTATTGTAGCCTGAAACATATTATTTATTGAATTTGGTTAATAAGACGACAATGGACACTTTTGTTTTGGTGAATAAGACGACAATGGACACTTTTGTTTTGGTGAATAAGACGACAATGGACACTTTTGTTTTGGTGAATAAGACAACAATGGACACTTTTGTTTTGGTGAATAAGACGACAATGGACACTTTTGTTTTGGTGAATAAGTCGACAATGAACACTTTTGTTTTGGTGAATAAGACGACAATGGACACTTTTGTTTTGGTGAATAAGACGACAATGAACACTTTTGTTTTGGTGAATAAGACGACAATGAACACTTTTGTTTTGGTGAATAAGACGACAATGAATACTTTTGTTTTGGTGAATAAGATGACAATGGACACTCTTGTTTTGGTGAATAAGACGACAATGAACACTTTTGTTTTTGGTGAATAAGACAACAATGAACACTTTTGTTTTGGTGAATAAGACGACAATGGACACTTTTGTTTTGATGAATAAGACGACAATGGACACTTTTGTTTTGGTGAACAAGACAACAATGGACACTCTTGTTTTGGTGAATAAGACGACAATGGACACTCTTGTTTTGGTGAATAAGACGACAATGGACACTTTTGTTTTGGTGAATAAGACGACAATGGACACTTTTGTTTTGGTGAATAAGACGACAATGAACACTTTTGTTTTGGTGAATAAGACGACAATGAACACTTTTGTTTTGGTGAATAAGACGACAATGAATACTTTTGTTTTGGTGAATAAGATGACAATGGACACTTTTGTTTTGGTGAATAAGACGACAATGAACACTTTTGTTTTGGTGAATAAGACGACAATGAACACTTTTGTTTTGGTGAATAAGACGACAATGAACACTTTTGTTTTGGTGAATAAGATGACAACGGACACTTTTGTTTTGGTGAATAAGACGACAACAGACACTTTTGTTTTGGTGAATAAGACGACAATGGACACTTTTGTTTTGGTGAATAAGACAACAATGGACACTTTTGTTTTGGTGATTAAGTCGACAATGAACACTTTTGTTTTGGTGAATAAGACGACAATGAACACTTTTGTTTTGGTGAATAAGACGACAATGAACACTTTTGTTTTGGTGAATAAGACGACAATGAACACTTTTGTTTTGGTGAATAAGATGACAACGGACACTTTTGTTTTGGTGAATAAGACGACAACAGACACTTTTGTTTTGGTGAATAAGACGACAATGGACACTTTTGTTTTGGTGAATAAGACAACAATGGACACTTTTGTTTTGGTGATTAAGTCGACAATGAACACTTTTGTTTTGGTGAATAAGACGACAATGAACACTTTTGTTTTGGTGAATAAGACAACAATGAACACTTTTGTTTTGGTGAATAAGACAACAATGAACACTTTTGTTTTGGTGAATAAGATGACAACGGACACTTTTGTTTTGGTGAATAAGACGACAATGGACACTTTTGTTTTGGTGAATAAGACAACAATGGACACTTTTGTTTTGGTGAATAAGACGACAATGGACACTTTTGTTTTGGTGAATAAGACAACAATGGACACTTTTGTTTTGGTGATTAAGTCGACAATGAACACTTTTGTTTTGGTGAATAAGACGACAATGAACACTTTTGTTTTGGTGAATAAGACAACAATGAACACTTTTGTTTTGGTGAATAAGACAACAATGGACACTTTTGTTTTGGTGATTAAGACGACAATGAACACTTTTGTTTTGATGAATAACTATGATCTACAAATATGTGACGTGGGTTTATACGTTAGATCCAGGGATAAATATTATAAAAAACAAAACAAAAATATTTTGACACCATTCTGGTTGAATCTGGTTGATCTAAGGTGAGCTCATATCAAACCTGTTAATTCATTAATTTTAAAATATTCTAAAATTTTCATTTTTCATATTTTGTGAAGAGATGAGCCAAAAATATGAGACAGAGACATGAAGTGAAACATGTTTTGCTAGGCTAGATCTGATTCTACATTTAATGGTAAAATTTTTAATTAGTCATAAGTGAATTCATGAACAGGATTTTCAGAATTTGTTAGTGATATAACCCAGATGCCAGAACTGTATGTAGTTTCACCACCAGGTGGCTAATTTGGTTACGATAACATGGCAGATATGGTATTTTCATATTACCCTTATGAATCTGATATATCCAGTAAAACAAAATAATATCTGTCCAATAAAATACAGATATTCCACTTTTGTGATTTTATAACATGGGGTCTAATGGAGAAGATCCCCGACCTAAAAATCATGTTTTCAAAGAATAATAAATTTTCAAAGTTGATAAATTTAGATTCCAAATATGATATTACTTTTGACTGAATTTTGAATATTTAATGACTTAAGTCAAAACTATTTCTACTCAGCATTGCCGTGCTTTAGACATTACCTGTAGTGCAGTGACAGGTTCGGTTGGAGCATTCCATACTGCTGACATCAGCTCACCAGATCCCGTAAAAAATGTCACGGGAGGCAGCGACACATCCAACATGTCAAGCTGCATTCCCGCACTAGGGTCTAAAACTTCCTGTTCCTCACCCCCTTCTTCGTCAGCTTTGCCAGTGAGTGACTCGAGCCCTTGGGCAAATATATGGAACTGAAATAAGAATGATTCATAGAGGCCTATTAAATAATGTCACACTGAGGAGGACTGGCTCTTTCACATATCAGACCTTAACATTTTGTAACAAGTAAATTCATACTTTATCACATCTCAACTGTCAAAATGTCAAATGATGCTCCTAAAAAAGTTTTTTTAGATAGAATATAATATTGACAGATGGCAGTAGTGTTTCTAGCTGGGTTGAATACTTATGCAGGGTAGGAGTATTCTTGATTTATCAATTATTCACCAATTACAGAAGATTGTTGTATAGCTCAACTGGCATACAACAAAACACCCATTTTTGTGGTTAAAAGAAAAACATTTTAACATTGTGTCAACGGGTATTTCACTTCAGCTTTTTCATAAATCTTAGTCTTTTTATGATTAAATCTAGTCATCTAATCTATTAAATCTCCTTAACACAAGGCAAAACTGATCCATTTACTTACTGTAGTTATTGGAAGGATCTGATGGTCGCCAAATGATGTCACTTGGAGAGAACTGCGTCGCATTACACCAGATTTGGCACTCTGAACACTAATTGCATACATAACATGATTGTCTGTGGTTTCTGGAAAAAGACAAATAATGCATTATCAGCAAGTCAAAATGCTTTACCACAATGTAAAGCATCATTATGAATATGATCACATTACAAATACAAACCTACACATTTTTATTGGAATAAATTCTATTGCTTTAAAAAGCAAAAACAAATGGAAAAATTGGTGAAATAAGCAATGAACGCAAAACTGGACGATGCAAAGAAAATGACACAAGTGATGTATTATAGCTTTTGATACTCTATACTTGAGATATAATTGATGTTATCATGCCCTTATGCACTCTGTGATTTCGGACAACTTACTGGTCATAAATCCTTTGATTAATGTAGAGTCCCCCCTCTGAGCCATAAGACCATAGTGGTACAGCTTGGGGTCCTTTAATATGCTTAACACCTGAGCCCTGGAAGGAAACCATTAACAAACATAATGAGAAATACGTAATCATATTTAATGATTTTGAAACAAAACAGTTGAGAAAAACATGTCATATAATGAGAATCAAAATTGGGACTATAATGAGGAGAAATACACATTGGACAATACATGTTCTCAAGAAAAGGAGTTCAAACGGCAAAAGGTCCGATACAGTTTTTTTTACCAATGGATAATTTCTCCACAATATAAAAATGTTAACCTAAAAAAACTTGTGAAAAGCATAAAAAAGAATCCAGGAGGTTATAGAACCTTTGGAAAATCATAAATGATCTAAATTGATTGGTGTAACCATAGATATAATGATGTCATACTAAGAGAGCAACGGATTTTAGGATTTCGTAACTTTTATAAAGTTTCTGTTAATGGCCTCCAGGGGTTCATTACATTACTTTTCTTGCTATGACATCATCATGTCATCATTTCCATGGGTACAATAATTAATTAATCTAACCCTTTTACTGTACTAAATATTTTTGTAATGGCCCCAGATTTTTATTTTGGAGCACATGCTTTTTGTTCTTATGATGTAAGCTTCGTGTATCCAACTTATAAATATACAAATTCAATGAGGGAACAAACCAATTTTCAAGCTTATGTTTTTTTGTTTCAATGATATAAGCTTTGTCTATCTAAATAATAAAAATACAAATTGAAAGATGGACCAAACTTATTTTCAAGCACATATGTTTTGTTCCAATGATGCAAGTTTCATCTATCCAATTAATAAAAAAATTCAATGATGAGAAAAATTTATTTTCAAGCAAATGTTTTTAATAAAAATACAGATTAAAAAGAGACTAGTGTAGTAATTTTCATCCTCTAATTACCTTATTTGGGCATCGGTTTTCATCACATCGTTAATAGCTGCAACAATATAAGTGGAGAATTCATGTTCTGTCTGGTCACTTGCTGTGAGGATGACATTACGCAGAAAATGAGTTGTAGGCTTCAGAGTAAGAAGAAGTTGCAATGCCTCAGCACGTACAGTTGTGTCGTAATTTCTTTTATTTTGGTTGAAGATCCTTTTTAATGTTTTTTCAATCTGAAAATAAAAAGTCAAATAAAAAAGTTAAAAAATCTGAATAAAACATGAATATCTGTGTTTCTGATTGTCTTTGTTTCTGATATCTCAGATTATTGAACTTATCAAACTTATCAGACTTAAGTGTACATTGATTTATTAAATTTAGTGTACCTTGAGAGAACTGACTTAAGTGTACATTGATTTATCAAACTTAGTGTACCTAATAGTCTTAAGTGTACATTGATTTATCAAACTTAGTGTACCTAACAGACTTAAGTGTACATTGATTTATCAAACTTAGTGTACCTAACAGACTTAAGTGTACATTGATTTATCAAACTTGTGTACCTTGAGAGAACAGACTTAAGTGTACATTGATTTATCAAACTTGTGTACCTTGAGAGAACAGACTTAAGTGCACATTGATTTATCAAATTTATGTACCTTGAGAGAACAGACTTAAGTGTACATTGATTTATCAAACTTGGGTACCTTGAGAGAACAGACTTAAGTGTACATTGATTTATCAAACTTAGTGTACCTAACAGACTTAAGTGCACATTGATTTATCAAACTTGTGTACCTTGAGAGAACAGACTTAAGTGCACATTGATTTATCAAACTTAGTGTACCTAACAGACTTAAGTGTACATTGATTTATCAAACTTAGTGTACCTAACAGACTTAAGTGTACATTGATTTATCAAACTTAGTGTACCTAACAGACTTAAGTGTACATTGATTTATCAAACTTAGTGTACCTAACAGACTTAAGTGTACATTGATTTATCAAACTTAGTGTACCTAACAGACTTAAGTGTACATTGATTTATCAAACTTGTGTACCTTGAGAGAACAGACTTAAGTGCACATTGATTTATCAAACTTGTGTACCTTGAGAGAACAGACTTAAGTGTACATTGATTTATCAAACATGTGTACCTTGAGAGAACAGACTTAAGTGTACATTGATTTATCAAACTTGTGTACCTTGAGAGAACAGACTTAAGTGCACATTGATTTATCAAACTTGTGTACCTTGAGAGAACAGACTTAAGTGTACATTGATTTATCAAACTTGTGTACCTTGAGAGAACAGACTTAAGTGTACATTGATTTATCAAACTTAGTTTACCTTGAGAGAACAGACTTAAGTGTACATTGATTTATCAAACTTAGTTTACCTTGAGAGAACAGACTTAAGTGTACATTGATTTATCAAACTTGGTGTACCTTGAGAGAACAGACTTAAGTGTACATTGATTTATCAAACTTGTGTACCTTGAGAGAACAGACTTAAGTGTACATTGATTTATCAAACTTGTGTACCTTGACAGAACAGACTTAAGTGTACATTGATTTATCAAACTTGTGTACCTTGAGAGAACAGACTTAAGTGTACATTGATTTATCAAACTTGTGTACCTTGACAGAACAGACTTAAGTGTACATTGATTTATCAAACTTAGTGTACTTTGAGAGAACAGACTTAAGTGTACATTGATTTATCAAACTTGGTGTACTTTGAGAGAACCGACTTAAGTGTACATTGATTTATCAAACTTGTGTACCTTGAGAGAACAGACTTAAGTGTACATTGATTTATCAAACTTGTGTACCTTGACAGAACAGACTTAAGTGTACATTGATTTATCAAACTTGTGTACCTTGAGAGAACAGACTTAAGTGTACATTGATTTATCAAACTTGTGTACCTTGACAGAACAGACTTAAGTGTACATTGATTTATCAAACTTAGTGTACCTTGAGAGAACAGACTTAAGTGTACATTGATTTATCAAACGTGTGTACCTTGAGAGAACAGACTTAAGTGTACATTGATTTATCAAACTTGTGTACCTTGAGAGAACAGACTTAAGTGTACATTGATTTATAAAACTTGTGTACCTTGAGAGAACAAACTTAAGTGTACATTGATTTATCAAACTTAGTGTACCTTGAGAGAACAGACTTGAGTGTACATTGATTTATCAAACTTGGTGTACCTTGAGAGAACAGACTTAAGTGTACATTGATTTATCAAACTTGGTGTACCTTGAGTGAACAGACTTAAGTGTACATTGATTTATCAAACTTGTGTACCTTGAGAGAACAAACTTAAGTGTACATTGATTTATCAAACTTAGTTTACCTTGAGAGAACAGACTTAAGTGTACATTGATTTATCAAACTTGTGTAGCTTGAGAGAACAGACTTAAGTGTACATTGATTTATCAAACTTGTGTACCTTGAGAGAACAGACTTAAGTGTACATTGATTTATCAAAGTTAGTGCACCTTGAGAGAACAGACTTAAGTGTACATTGATTTATCAAACTTAGTGTACCTAACAGACTTAAGTGTACATTGATTTATCAAACTTAGTGTACCTAACAGACTTAAGTGTACATTGATTTATCAAACTTGTGTACCTTGAGAGAACAGACTTAAGTGTACATTGATTTATAAAACTTGTGTACCTTGAGAGAACAAACTTAAGTGTACATTGATTTATCAAACTTGTGTACCTTGAATCACCAAACTAAGTGTAACTTAAGTCACCAAACCCAGTGTATATTGAGTTTCCGAACTAAGAGTAAGTGAACCTTGATTTACCAAACTTGTGTACCTTAAGTAAACAAACTAAATGTGTCTTGAGTACCAAACTTAGTCTAACTTGAGTAACCAAACCAAAGTGTATCTTGATTTACCAAACTAAGTGTCCCTTGAGTACCAAACTAAGTGTCCCTTGAGTTACCAAACTTTGTGTAACTTGAGTGATCAAACTTAGAGTATCCTGAGCAACCAAACTAATTGTACCTTAACAACCAAAGTTAGTGAATCTTGAATCACCAAACTAAGTGTACCTTGAGTTACCAAACTTAGTGTACCTTGAGTTACCAAACTTAGTGTACCTTGAGTTACCAAACTTAGTGTACCTTGAGTCACTAAACTAAGTGTACCTTGAGTTACCAAACTTAGTGTACCTTGAGTTACCAAACTTAGTGTACCTTGAGTCACTAAACTAAGTGTACCTTGAGTTACCAAACTTAGTGTACCTTGAGTTACCAAACTAAGTGTACCTTGAGGGAACAAACTTAAGTGTACATACCTTAATAACCAAAGTGATGTATCTTGAGTCACCAAACTAAGTGTACCTTGAGAGAACAAAACTAAGTGTACCTTTGAGTTACCAAAGTGTTAGTGTTTCTTGTGGTAACAAAATTAGCATAGGTTCTAAGGGAGGATAGGCTCTAGAATAGATCACTCAACCTTGAAGTAATACACAGATCAATGGCAATGATATCTCACATAACTGGGATCATTGTAGAGTATTTTAATGTAACTTATCTATAATAGCAGTAATTGTATGAAAGTCTGAAATACTGAGGACCAGTCAACTGAAAAAAATCCATAATTTATATCTGTTTCTTTTTGAATAAGGAAATTCATATACTTGATAAACGAAACGCTTAAAAATAAAAGTTGTCAATATAAGATGCTCATAGTTCATGAAAGTTTACAGTTAAAGTTCAGCTTTTGTAGAGCTTTAGTTTAAGTGTTTACACTGCTCTGTCTAAACCTACGAGGTAACAAGGACAACAATAATTTACAGATATGACTCTTAAGATTACATACAATATGTAATTGAACTTTGAACAATTTATTTTAGTTGCAGAAGTTCAAATGGCAATAGGTTTAAGTAGAACGGAGGATGAAATCATAGGAGTAGTTTCATTTTGTTTTGAGTCTAGTCTATCACCATAGAGTCACAAACACGGTGTATGAATTGAAAAAGAGGAGGAATTTTGAGTCCCAGAATGGCAAGAATAGATGGCAACAACAACATTCACATTCCATCAGGAAACGTCAACTATGTACGAATCCCCCAAAATGGAAACCCTAACCATACAAGGGCACACATTACAGCCTGCGATGAAGAGTCATCAGTTCAAGTAAAGTCATTGGGGAAGTCAAACTTCTGTAGATGGACAATTGTGTTGTCTGTGATTGCTGTTGCATTTTTGATCGCAGGAGGTATAACTGCAGCCATGCTCTTCGGGAGAAAGTCACATGGTAAATATACTTTGTTAAATTCTACCCTGAGAAACCATATGCACTGGTAGATCTGAGGAGAGCCTAAATTTTTAAAGATGAAATTTCAAAGATAATTTTGGGCCCCACCTCCACCCCCAAGTTATTTTCAGATCTTCCTCATTTAAGTTTTGGAACTCCAAATTGTACATATAGCCTAGAAAAGAAGGAAGGCATGGGTTCTAAATCTTCAAACAAATTACAAGAACACACACTCAAGGCTAAGATTTGAGTGGTAGATGTTAGGGTATGGCATAAGCACCACTTTATTAAAATCATGTATATCCAATCTATTTTGATGAATACAAATACAGTAAAACCTGTCTAACCTGAACCCCCTTAATGTGAAAGCTTTTTACCAGTGTTCCATTTTGATAAACCATAAAAATAACATGTTAAAATAAATAAAATAAAAATTTTAAAAAGTGAACACCTGCTGATTTGAACACTTTTGGAGAGTCCCAGTGGGGTTTAGAATAGACAGGCTTTACTTAGGCCATAAGAAGTAGATTCTTTGTTTTGCGTCCTCTTGCTTGAACGGTTTTGAGTAAATCAGAAAAAACAAACATATTCAAATAGCAATCACATTTCATTCAATCAGAATCAGACGAAATGGCGGATAATTTGATGTGCATCAAAATTGACAATGTTATTGATTACTTTGGCATACATTGTGTATTTTCTTATTTTTTACCCTTGAATAATAGCTATGTTTAAATATATTGTATAAAATGTGTTTGTAATCACTGCAAATTGGTATGGCATCCCTTTTTATGCCCATAAAATGTATACATTTCTCAGGAAACAAGTTTGTGTTTTTTTGAGTTTGTGTTTGTTTTCCTTGTACCCTTGCATGATTTGGATTTTGCCAGGAAGCAAAACAAAGAATCTACTTCTTATGGCCTTATTAAACTACCCAGTCTGTGCCTCGATAAAAACAGGATGAACTTTTTTTTTTATTGACATACTTAATAAATCTTTGGGAAGAGTGCCAAAAAGTACCTTGGATGAAACCTAGATAAAGAGAGGTTTAGATACATATCCTGGAGAATTCAAATGTGTAATATTGTGACCTTTAAGGATTTTCCCCTCTCAATTACCTTTCAAAGGGATTTAATTTCAGCTTTTTCCTTATAACTTTATACTTAGGCAGCTATGGCCATGAAATATAAAAAAAAGTCTGATAATCGAAATATGGCATGAATAAAATAATAAAATTTGCTGCTCCCAATATGTTCATGAGATATAATTTTCTGACTTTAATCTTGGAATTCAAATAATTCTAGGATAACAATCTGAATAAGACTGACACCGTTACAGCACAAAAATTACAGATACATGTATGTTATTGGTATGCTTTTTTAGATAGCTATAAATGTATATGTACTGTATATTCTTTCAGAGCCTGTTATCATAGCAATAGAAGCAGAAAATATACAAGGCATGGATGGAATTATTGATTATGACAACACACCAACTACATTTCAACCAGCTCCTGTGGAAGAATACATAATCTATGATTCTGAAGAACTCATTCCTGCAGACATTTTACAAGAGGACAGTGAAAGCAATGAATTTGATGACAATGAACACCTAGACTTTGATGAGGACATTTCTGAGGACATTAATGAAGACATTTTATCAGAGGGAAGTGGGAGTGATGAATTTGATGAAAGTGAAGATATTGATAGAAAAAGTGATAGAAGAGTGAAGTCATTCATGTGCAAAATGTTTCCAAGTGTTTTGCCCAAGTTATGTCGATTAAAATAAACTTTCAGAGATCAGAAGCAACATATCTATTGTCTACACCTTATTTGCTCAACTTATAAATACATGTACATAAATATTTCTACTACGGGTAATTCATGATCATGATTCATACTTTTCTTTGACAGTTTTTTCAGTTTGTTTCTCAGACAAAATTTCAAAATGGTGCTTTAAGTGGATGGATAAAGCAGATTAGTACGTTTAGAAAACTATTGAATCACTTGAAAGAATTTCTGCACAAATAGGGAAATGACAGGTGAATATATTTAAGTTTAAATCGTAACTGATTTTATTGTGTGACCCATGTCTTTAAAATAGACATAAAATATGTCAACTTTAAGATATAGAGAGTTAAAGATCAATTGCATGTTTCGTCTTGGTTTGACATTGACTGATCTCATGCTTTTGAAAAACCAAGCACATGTACAATAAGGTGACATGTATTATTGCTATTTTTGCCATCTCTGAATTTTGATACTTTTACATGAAATAAAGACCTGGTTTCCTCTACTCTATATAATATACATTTATGTAAATATATATAAGGGTTATGTAGTGGGAAGTTTTGGATATAGGTTATATCCTGAGGGATATATAGAGATTATCCTATATGAGGTTCAGGATATTGGGATTATCCCGAGGCCAATATAATATATCTGCCCGAGGGCCGAGGACCCGAGGGTAGATATATCATATTGGCCAAGGGATAATCCAAATATCCTGAACCGACTATAGGATGATCTGTTTATCCCATACCAATCACAATGTTCAATTGGCCAAAGTTCAGAAACTTTGCAACCAACCGTGGAATTATTTTAAAATATTCATGTCTAGTTTTGTATTCTTGTCCGTAGCCGGATTTTCCTGTTCAAATCTTTGATTATTAACGGGGCATACTGCTCCTTCCCTTCTTTAAAGCATCAAACAGATCGCTATTGTCTGCGTTTTTCTCCGTTGTCGTTTACAGTGTGGGAACGTTACAAAAAGAATCAATACAGGAACAGCAATTATGATGTAGTGGGCAGATATACTATATCTGCCCGGTCGGAGCGGGACATAAAGCTATATCTGCCCGCTGATGAAAATATAAGTTTTTACAAACCGGCTTTATGTACCCATAACACGTCCAAGTATGGGATAAATCTATTTCTCCCCGAGGGACCAAGGGGAGATATAAATATTTCCCAAGGGATATACCCTTTATCCAAAACCGACCGTACATAACTGGTCTATCTCATACTTGAGTGAGTTTGGGTTACTGTATATATAACCTTTTCCACCTTTTTCAAATGACAAAATATACCTATACTGTAAATGCACAACATTTTCGTTATATTCCTTTAGTTCAATACAATGAAATTGTAACATTTAAACTTTTGTAATTAAAACAAGAACTGTTTATGAATATACTGTTCAAGAATGAGATGTTTAAAACAGATCAATTATATTGAAAAAATTCCTGAGAGCGGGATGGATATATCATATCTGCCCGCATTTGGCCTCAGATATGAGATATATTCCCAGGTGACATCTACTCCAAACCCACTCAATTATGAGATACATCAATTATATTGAAAAAATTCCTGAGAGCGGGATGGATATATCATATCTGCCCGCATTTGGCCTCAGATATGAGATATATTCCCAGGTGATATCTACTCCAAACCCACTCAATTATGAGATACATCAATTATATTGAAAAAATTCCTGAGAGCGGGATGGATATATCATATCTGCCCGCATTTGGCCTCAGATATGAGATATATTCCCAGGTGATATCTACTCCAAACCCACTCAATTATGAGATACATCAATTATATTGAAAAAATTCCTGAGAGCGGGATGGATATATCATATCTGCCCGCATTTGGCCTCAGATATGAGATATATTCCCAGGTGATATCTACTCCAAACCCACTCAATTATGAGATACATAGAGGTATCTTCTGGGAGGAAATGATTATAAGCTTTATATCGAACGCCAATATGATGAAAAAAATGATGTAAAAAATAATAAACTACATCCATAGAATTTCCTAAATACTGTTTAATTTTAAAATTGGCATTTAATAACTTTCATTTGAATGAAACAAATTTTGTCTTTTCTTGTTGAACTTTAAAGAGATTCAGCAAGACATTACAAATCATTACATCAGATATTCTTCAACTTCATTAAAATTTGAATCATGTGTAGGCCATTTTCGTGGGCCCTGGCGTAGGCCCTCATTGTTCCCAAGTATAAAAGTCAAGTGTGCCTGAATCAGAAACAATATGTTCATCAATAGAATATGTCAAGGACACTTTGACATAAATTAAGAACATGATTTATTTAATATGTTTTGCTAGCTAGACAAACAACTACTTGTACTTCAACTCTTCATAAAACAATGATAAGAGATTTCAATGATACTAAGGGTCAAAACAGCAGAGACTTCTTACTTGAGAAATAATCATGTGTGTATGCTTGAGAAATGAGAGTATATGATTGTTATGACATCTATTTGCTGCATTCCCAAAGTTTACCAAAAGGGAGCTATGGGTTAAGTCAAACTAAATTTTTTTATTGACCAAAACAGCACAAGCTTATGGAATCACTATTCCTCTGTCCATCTGTCTAACCTATGTTTAAGAAATAAAAGGCGAACATGGCGTATAAGAGATATTGAATTCTCTTTGAATCCTTCATTATAAAGATACTGTTCTACTTTCAACCAAATTTTATCAGACAAAGTACATCAAAAAACACAATTGTTGAAAAACAGCAAACACTAACATATAAAATCTTCACATACCATATATAGGTACAAGCGATAGCTATCAACTTATTAGAACACACATATAGTCTGAGATAATTTGTAACTATTAACATATACATGTACATGTACAATGGTACATAGTCCATGTTTTTAATTCTGATAAATACAAGGTTAGCATGATAAGATTTAAATGACAACAAATTAAATATAGGTGAAACTAAAGATGTCATGTTGATCTATCTTAATTTGAACTACAAATAAATACCTCTGGGGTGATATGCTTCTTATCAATGCGCCTCATTGAGTTTACTGCAGCATAAGAAATGGCGAACGATTTAGAGTTCTCCGCAGTGTCAATAAGTAAAGGTAGAGTTTCGACCAATCCTGCGTTTCCAAGAGCACGAATGTACATTAATGTGCAAGGGTCTTCTTTGCAATTCTTCAGTTTATCCAAGATCGTATTTTTCATATTCTGGGCTGCCTGTAAACAAGAATAAAATATTAAGTGTAATATCGTTTGATAATAATTACTTTTATGCAGCTTTGAGTTGACTTTATTTTATTTAATCTTCTTTTATTTTATTTAGTTGAATTAAATCTTAATTCCCCACTTCATTAAAATCTACATTGCAGGTAGAAGTGGAAATGAGATCCTATGAAAAAAAAACAATAGGACCTGAAGGCTTAATATGTCCTCCTTTTGAGTACTAAATTATGTATACATGTACCTTACCTTTGAGAAATTTTATGATACTTTATATCATAAAATTGAAATATTGGAGAGATTTCAAAATATATGAAAAAATTATAACAAAAGCTACAGTCACATAAAAGTAGTTCTCAAAATGCTCAAAAAGTCCTGTCCAGTCCTTACAAGAATCGTAAAACAGGATGTGGTCGGTTCATAAACATTATTCATTCTTCAGTACAAGAATCTACTAAAAATGAATAGAACTAAATGAGAACCTACAGTGAAGGTCTTGAAACATGCTGTCCTTCATAGATATCTATTTTGTTTTGAATGTGTTTCCACGGAATTACAACTGACTAAAGACTATTATTCTGTCAAGTAAATTCTGTCTGCATTCAGGATGAACACGCTACAATAGGATTACAGCTAGGAACTAAGGAACTAACACAAATTGCTGGGGCACAATTCTTCTGCCCAAGCACAATCATGAAATAAACAAACAAATAAATAAATAAACAAGCTGACATTGTTCCGTACCTTTGTCTTACACTTGTCCTGGTCCCTGCAGTAAGTATTGAGGACAGATGCTGCCGCCAGGGAAATGCTCTGTTTCACTTTCTCATTATCTCGCTCCTTTTTCAGTAAGCCCTGAGAAAAAATAAATAATCTGGTAATATATAGACATGTATATACTGTATACATAAAACATGTACAAACAATAATACACATGTACAAATGTATTATAAACACATGTACAAACCATATACACATCACACGTATATACGACTGGTCATAAAGTATACAAGTAACAAAACATTATTCAACACATATGCCCTCTTTTGGTCAAAATAATACAATAATCAAATTCTTTGGTAATATCTATTTTATCTGGTATTTAAAAAGTTGATCTTAAGAATTTATTTAAATATGCTATCTCACCAGTAGATCTTTCATTAGTTTCTCACTAGGGTGTGTGGCATATGCAATTGAGAGTAAGTACCTCTCTGGCAGAGGGCTTGTGTCATCGTCAAAATCGATAAATGACATAAGTGCATCCTGGGAAGAAGGTGTTTGTGCTGCTACGGTCAAATCAATTATCTGTGGTCTACAAGTACACAAATGAGCAATTAGATTGTAGTTTATATGAAATTCTAAAACAAAATCAGAATTCATTTTATGAAAATAATTAGCATAAATTACAATTCTTATACAATGAAATTGCTTGTTATTATAATCAACAACTATTATATGTACTTGATGGGCAATTTTATCATATTTTTCCCTCTTAGACTCTTGAATACCCAAAGTGACATGATTTCTTGTCACCTAAGAAATGACCTTTAAACCTAGAGTGACAAAATAATTTTTCACTAAGATTGCTCTAATTTGTACTAATTCATACAATTCACACAAAAGTTTTAAATCTGTAGAAATGATCCCTGCTGACTTATTTCACTAAATAGATTTTCTACTTACACAATGTCAGCATTCTCAGGATCCTTCAGAACAGCGAGTATATTATCTTTACTGGTACTACGGAAAGTGCGTAATAATTCAATAAATGCATTGGATGCCCTGACTTGAGCCATACTCTCACCCTTGAGATCATCGCGATATTTAGCCACAATGGTCTGCAGTTTCTAAAATGGAGAAATTGATGTTCAAAATACAACAGGTTAAAAAAATATCTATCTGGTATCTGCTTTTTTGGGATTAAATCCTGTCACATAATCAAGGCATCCATGTGCAAAATGTCACCACCTGCCATTTGTTACAGGGAGTGAATGCTGACTGCCAAGCACCAACCATCAGATGCTTACCATCGAATCCCAAACACCAACCACTGTCCATAAAAAAGTTAGAGACTAAAACAATGTCAACACTTCTGATGGTGACATAAAAATGAGACGTGACACATATTCCAGGATAGCAGAGTATTCAGTCAAACTTGATTCAACAAGTTGTTAAATGGTTGTTTTTACCTCTACTACAGATACATTTATGTTTCATTTACATGAGTTTACAGCATATTAAAAGATTTATGAGTGCTCCATACAGGTTATGTATTACAAATGCATATTTTCTGACTAATTATTCTTCCTGCTAGATCAAAAAGATATCTCTTAATTCACAGAGGGTATAAGCCAAGCTCTTGAAAATGCATATCTTTGGGTGATAACAATGAAAGCAAGCCTAGTATAACTTACACTTACGCCACAGTTTTGTGTGCATTTCTGGTTGATGATATCACTTGCAAGCAGACTACTTGTCAAACTTAGCTTACTCACTGTAACACACAAAGCAAAACAAAGATCATATTTAAAATAAATAAAGAAGGCCAATGACAATTACTGTCAACAATCTTTATTTAACACAGCAGGGGAGTTTTACTTTTGATGCAGCCATCTTGCAATGAATTCCCATCAGAGTGCAAGCCTTCAACAGATCACTGCAGTGGGCAAAGCATTAGTTTCAGGTTCCAGATGGATAAATAAAATCGATAAACAAAACTTGAACTCAAAATTCCTTCCGCAATGGTTTTTTCCTAATATTTCATGATTTTTGAAATATTGTGACAAAAATAATAAAATGATTGAGCAGAGAAATGAAATACATATCTCATAATTTAATTGAGAATTGAACACAACAATAGTGTTTAAAACAGACTAATTTCTTAAGATGTTGGATACTTTCATTTGCCAGCAATGGTGTCTATTCTGAGCCAATGCCATTGGAGTTCAATCTTTCATACAAATACTTGGCACAGCACAAAGGTATTAAGAGGTATATTGGAGTGAATCCCCCGGGATAAATACCCATAGGCCATGGGTGAAAAAACAAGAGAATCTCATAAAGCACATTGAGGTGAGAAAGGTTTGATGGTTCTGAGCACACATCCTTATTCCAAAAAGCTGAGGTAAACAAACTTAAGATCAACAAACAATTAATATACATGTACTCAAACATTTTCAAGCAATGATCTGTGGCTGTTCCAGGTATTATACTTACTCCCCCACAATCAGACACACATTGCTGATTGGTCATGTCACTAGGAAGAAGTGTGCTTACGAAAGTAATCCCTGAAACTGAAATGTTAATCAACTGATTGTTTGTTTGTATTTCGTTGTCATGCTTTTTTGACTGTTTGCATTGATATCCCGGGGGTTCACTGTATATAAACCTTGACAGGGATCCTCCGCTCATATGGGGTACCTTTTTTTGACATTTGGTATGGTAATGGACCCAAATTTTAGGATCTGGTATGAGAATGCCCCCTAAATTATGATTTTTCTACTTTCTGGTATGAGAATGGTCATGGGAAATATGTTTCCTTTCTCTTGTGGTATGGCATTGGTCTGTTAATTTGAAGTTCTTTTGTATTATTTCTCTCAAAGATGTGCCTTCTTCTCAAGGCATTAGACATTTTGAATAATCTTGGTCTTATATCTTGATATTTTGTATGGCATTGGTCCTATATTTGGACATTTGGTATGGCATTGGTCTAATATTTGGACATTTGGTATAGCTTTTGGGCGTTATTTTGGTTGGTATGGGAACACAATGAAATTTGACAGATTGGAATGGGAACATATTGATATATATATATATTGAACATATTGAGGGTTCAGCGTAAGACCCCCGCCAAATTTTGTATACAGTGAACCCCCAGGATGGATATCGATGAAGAATGAACATTTAACAATTACTCTGATCTATCTTGAAATTTTCAGGGGTTTAGCACTGAATTCTTCATTTAATTATTGACTTTACATCTAGTCAATCAAACCAGTTTTGTAACGAAACAGACTTTAGAAGGTCAATTTGTTCATAATAAATAGGATGTTCACAGAAAAAGTCAGTTATTTTTTATTTGCATGATACAGGCGCTAGGCACGAAACAAAATTTGATTAAGTACTGACATTATGAAACGGCACCTCAGAACCCCAAGTGTTATGTTGGTGTGACCCTTCTAAACTGCAGGAATTCTTGCTCTCAATTTTACCATTTCACTCAACTTCACCTAGTGAAACATATCCCATTTATGAGATGCCATTCATGGGTATCATAATGCTACTTACTCTTAGTAACTACTTGTAGAGCATCATCTATGGTTGCCCCAGCAACTCCATCCTTGCCCGCAGAGGTCTTAGTATGGGTTAGGCTTTGTCTAAAATACATGTATACAGAATTATTACAGGTTTTTAAATGTTGAATAGTCTTTTGATCATTGACATATAAACAACTGAAAAGGAACAATCTGGTGGGCTCACATTATGAAAAAGCTGATTTCTCCAAAATGAGACAAGAGGAGGAGATGGGACCAATGGAGCAGATACCAGCATAAAGCCCTTTAAAAAGGATATGGACATGTACATGTGAAGGACAAATGAACAACTATTTAATACAAAACAAAAATGGAACTGTTCATTGTATACATCGTCGCATGAGAATAACTTTGTACTATCTCACATTTTTACGGAACTGAGAAATCAAGGTTTGAAAGTTTAGAGGTCTGTATCTTACTTAGTATTGCTATGTGAAACTTGATTTTTTGTATGTCACCTGGTCTCACCCTAGAGATATCTTATATGAAATATCATACCTTGAAACAATTTACAAGATCCTTTTTTAAAACTATGGAAATGGAGTTGATACAATTTCCCACCGGAATAACAGCTTATTTCTAATTTCAAATTGTCATATCTGATATCAACTGTTTCAACCAATCAACTCTCTAAGAATTGGTCATGTGACTTGCAAAACTTGGAGTTATAACAATCTTATATTAAAACAAAGTATGCCAATATGCATGTTATTGTGTCTAGAATGAAAAATAATGTTTTGCTTTGTAAAAAAATCTTCAAAAACCAAAGAATATTATTTAATAAAATAAAGAAAATTCAATTTATAAAACTTTAAAATCAATTTCTCAAATAAGTACAATTATTTCTTAATTTTGGAATCTCAGGACACACTTCAAAAAGAATTTATTGCCTTTGAAACTAAGGCAGAAATACAATGCATTGAAACCAATGATGCCAGTACGGTCCCCCACATATTTCCCTCGGTATAAACCCTGTAGCCTAAACCTCCCAGCACATTACAATGTAGCCCCTTAGGGCCGGTCCGCTGGTCATTATCAGGTTATTTTTGATACAGACCAGTTGATTTTTTCACTGGGTATAGGAGAATAACATTGCAACTGGTCCGTAATTCCATTTTGACCAGCAGGTTTCAGATCCTTAGGGCCTAAGACATAACCAATTTTTATTACATGCACATGGAAGAAATTTGAAAATTGAAAAATAATTTCTAATTCATTTTAGATTAATGAAAGTGATGAAACCTCGATTAAGGTAATCACATTTTGTTCATTGGGATGCAGCTATCATTATCCATTCATTTTCTGTTGTTTGCTCCTCTGTGGAGTACAATTGGGTATTGAAGCAATTGTAGAAGTGGAGACTAAGAGTGGCTCTTTGTAAAGAAATTAAACCAATTTGTTACTTTTCCAAAATAAAATGTAGATGATCTAAAAACAATGATCCCAAAAATGCAAAAGAAAGGACAAATCTGAAAAACATACTAGTAATAAAATAACTAAAAAGATCCCAGATGTTCAGTGAAAAGCGCAAAGTAAATCATAGATGAAAATAAAATAAAATAAGTGTTTTAAGGGACTATACTAACATAAAGATAACTCCTTATTGATATAGTGTATGGTCAGTAAAAGTTAAAGCTAGTATAAATAGATTAAGCTTTTTTCCACAAACTATAAAACATCATTTTGAAAGAGATTTCAATAGTTTACAGACAGTGATTGCCTTTGAGCAATGTGGTGCAAAACATGACAGTTACTATGACAGTTACTGTTTGTTTTGATTACTATATCTAGTATATAACCTATTATTATTATGTACTCTATTTGAAGAAACAAATAAGTAGTCTTTCATTTTCAACATTTAATGATGACAGCTTCGTATATGCATTTCTATTGCATTTGGCCATTCAAACCCTATAAGACCTGGTAGCAGGGAAGATAAAGGGTACTTTTGACTGCTCACATGATCTAATTAACTGGTCATTTGTACTTTTCATCTTCCCTGGTAGCAAGGATTTAGGTTTTCGAGGAAATTAGTAATTCTATTTCATATCATGTGGCCATGAATAATCCAATGAGCATCCATAATACAAAGAGTAATTGAGGGCATATAATTTGAATATGCATGGGAGTACACATACTGTATCATTTTATTTTTTTGATCTACTTGTAATAGTTCTAAAACTAAAACATGAAAGGCCAGGCATGCAAACTGGCATGGTATTGTGTTATAAAACATTATTTCATTCTAGATACAATAACATGCATATTGGCATACTTCGTTTTAATATAAGATTGTTATAACTCCAAGTTTTGCAAGTCACATGACCAATTCTTAGAGAGTTGATTGGTTGAAACAGTTAATATCAGATATGACAATTTGAAATTAGAAATAAGCTGTTTGTCTGGAGATGGTACAATTTCACACTGAATTCTAGCTTAATGAGAGGGAATTGAGATGGGGCATGTATCTGAGATGAAAGCCTGTGTTTCAAATAGTAAAATTCCATGTCTATCTCAATTTTTTTGAAAATGGCAGTTAGTACAAAGTTATTCTCACGCGACGACATGTACAAGTATATTTTTTGGTAACTTTCAATGTCCTTTGCTCCTCTCCACATCATTATAAAACAACTTTTCAATATTTACTGGAAATTGAAGAGCTGTTGACTTTGATTAAATCATTTCAAATCTGAACAATTTTGAGCTTATTATAAGTGCAAATGTTACTTTTCTCAAAACCTAGAAATGGACATACACATAAGTAGAAATAAGTAAAGTTTATAGCTTATACATGTAGTTCTTTACCTGACTGTGACGTATGATGCTACACTTGACCGCACATTAAGTTGGTTGGTATGACGTTCTTCAGTGGTCGCCATTTTGATGATGTCACCACCCGCTAAATCATAGACTGTTTTGATATCAGATTTAATACTGACTTCCAATGTCTACAATAATGTAAGGGACTAATAGAATGGTTAATGGATTACAGAATTGATATATACTGTATAAAACATAATAACTCATTGGGTTGACATTAGTGCGTAAAAATGTAACAACTTTACTTGGTTGATATAAATGACGTATGAAATGTAATAACTTACAGGGTTGATATTAGTTTATAAGATGTAATAACTTACAGGGTTGATATTAGTTTATAAGATGTAATAACTTACAGGGTTGATACTAGTTTATAAAATGTAATAACTTACTTGATTGATATTAGTGTATAAAATGTAATAACTTACAGGGTTGATATTAGTGTATTGACCAGCAATTTCAAGGTTATCACATCCAGTTTTAATTTTGATAATTTTCTCGCCATCTTCTTTGTACGAGACTTTGGCATCACCACAAATATCGATCTAGAAAGGAAACATTCAAGTGTGCATGGTCTCAAAATATTGTTCCAAAAACTATGAAACCCTTGTAAATCATATAAGGGTTCTCACTAGGCTTTTAGACTCTAGAGATTCTCCGGAGTCTAATGTCTTTACACCCTCTTGCTCCAGAGTCTAATAGCTTTTCCGGAGTCTTAAGTGTTTTTCGGTGTTCCCTGGTTGTGGAACTTCATGATTTTTAATAGAAATTCTTTGGTTTCACATAACTTTCAATTTACAGTGATCATTAAAACATGAGAACTATACTTGCATAAATGTGATATTTTGAAACAATCTATTTTATTTATTCTTACCTCAGAAACTTCACCATCCCTTTCCTGTACTTGGAACAAACTAATCAACCCTTTTTTCAGATTCACCGAGACAATCGTGTCTTTCTCTGCAGAGTAAACCTGACCAACCTTCCCAGAATTCCAGTTAAATAAGATTGGGTATTTTGTTAATGTTTTAAGAGTAGACTGTATGTCTTTTCTCGAAACACTCTTTAATGTTGCTTGTTTTACCTAAAAAACAAAAATGTAGAAATCATAATGGATTTTGTTGTTCTTTAAGTCTTTATATTATATATTTTATTTTAATCAAGCCTCTCTTAAAAGGAATTAATAATGCAATATGACCATAAACTGAAGACTCTAGGCCTATTTGGACACGTATTATTAGGTTTAGTGTGATAATCTGAAAATTACAAATAACATATTTATTTCTATTCTTCTGATATCACGAATCATAACACACAAGCCAGGTACAGTAATTACTTGTGTTTGCAATTATCACCTCATCATCACTTATCCAAGTATTTTTACCTTGTGGTATTCACTTTTTAGAATCATTTTCCTATGAAAGTGCTTACAGCAGCATTGATTTTAGAAATAGCATCTGGCATAAATAACCTTGACCTCTTTGACGACTTACTTTTGGTGAAAGTGTCCCAACAAAGTTCACAAGTCAACAATAAAGATGTCTGTTTTTTTCCATTTGTTTCAAAGATAGATCACTTTCACAAATGAATTTTTTTCATCCAGTATGGAATTAATACAACAGGATTAGAGGTGCCACCTTTCAAAATGTCAGCCTCTCACTTATTCTATTAATAAATGTTATGTATACTTCAGACATGACGAAAGCTGAAAATTATGAATGAATGACAGACATAGCACAACAAATGATTCTAAAATATGTCATTTCTAATTGCTGGGTGCATTTGGATTGTGGAGGTAAAATGTTATATGAGGGGGGGGGGTATATTTGTGATTTAAACTTTTCCTCCCATTTAATGACAGATTCAACAAATTAAACTTACTGTGAGTTTAAACAACTGGTTAGAATCTTGCTGCCAGATTGGTGCAACCACTATGGTAGCAGACACGGTGATTCCAACATCTTGCTTAGGACGTGAGGTTTTCTCGACACCAGGCTCATTCAATAAGACATCTGTAGTGTAAGTGTACTCATAGGCGCTTCCCAGCTCATATTTTAGAGGTGATCCTGAAATGACAGGTTTGCAATGGAGCCCTGAAATGGAGAGAGGTTAGTGAGTTAGCAACAAAGGATTGAAGCAACTAAGCAACAAACAACAAAGTACCTCTACTGCAAGACAATGCCAGGGTGCATGAGCTTATGCATGTAATGTGCACTGGCAGATCGGGGGGGGACTAAAAAAATATTTTAGGCCATAAGAGGCCTTATGGCCCCAAAAATGGCCCCTTTTTGTTTATTACAGGGCCTTTCAAGTCCCTATTTTTTAATTTTTGGTCTAATTTTGAAGAAAATGACCCATAAATTTTCAAAATTTGGGCCCACTTTTTGGTTTTAGGGGCCCAAAATCTTTTCTATGCAAGCGCATAATTTTTTTTTTATTAAATCTGAAATTTGGGCCCCACCTAGTTGGTTCCCAGATCCGCCCCTAATGTGTGGGTATGGCATGCAACCATTTGGATGACCATTTGGATAGACAGTGCAGGGCTCTTACTAGGCTTTAAGACTGTGGAGGCTTTAAGCAGCACCATAGTCTGTTAAGCTCCCACCACAACCTATTGGCAAATCATGATTGTTTCCAGTCTAAACATGATTGAATACACAATAATGGCATGTAGAAAGGATAAAATAACACACAAATATGATTTATCATGACTGAACAGTTATACTGAAGAGTGAAGATGTATCCACCACATGGCAAATATTTCCTGGTGAGAGCCCTGCAGTGCTTTATTCAACTGATCCCTGGAATACCTACGCCCACTAGTCTATGGGATGATATCAATCTTAACTAGATAACGGCAACTCCGCGGAGTAGCAAATCCCAACGAACAAAATATCAATTACCAAATTCCAATCAATTATACTCATTACTTTGGTTAAAATTAAAAAAATTAGATTTTAGAATTGCGAATTCCTGCAAAGCAGCCATTTTGAATTTTCGGAGATACAAATCTGAAAAATAATGCCATAATTGTGATCTACTCCAAAATTTCTTCAAATTGAGTATAATATAGCCATACTTTGAAGGGATCGAAAAATTATTGCGAAATCGTACATAAGACGGCCATTTTGAATTTTACGAGGCTCGAATCAGAAAAAGATACAATATCTGCAATCTACTTTTAATTGCCTTTCATTTGAGTATAATAAAGCTATACTTCAGAAAGATCTAAAAATTAGCGAAAATTTCTGTTTTCCTGTCCCCCCATACACCGCCCCTTTGGGGAAAGAAGTTCATCAGTGTACTGCGCTAATATTCTTTTGCGAAAAATTTAAAAATATTACCCAAATTAAATTATGACTATTCAAAAGAAGACATTCAAATCTATATTATGTAAAAAAATCAAATTTGTCCGAAACAGGGATAATGCTCATTTAGATTGAAGAACTTCGTTCTCCAAACCGAGAATCGTCCTTTATGATTTTTGCGAAAAAGTCCCGTCATTTTTAAAGCATTTTTTTGCGTAAAACTATTCACCAATATACATCTTTCCACTAAATATGAAGAAAATCCATCAACTAGTATTTGAGTTATCTTCCGGACAGACGGACGCACTGACTGACTGACGGACGGACGGATGGAGGGCTTCACTATATCCCTACCGAACTTCGTTCGTTGGGATAATTAAAGGTAATCTGAATTTTACCGAAATCTAACATTAACATTATCATTATATATGCAACAATCATGTAAGATGAAATACTAGTAAATAGGTTGGCTTGCAACATGCCTACAATTAGTTATGAAGATTAAAGACATTTGTGTCAATCAGAGAAAATTAGGGTAAACTTAAACTTAAAATAAAATATAAAACTTAAAATAAAATAGCAGGTTTATAAAGGTAATATCGAATTGGTAAAGGGTTGCACATTGATCAACATTTTGTGTTAAGCATTAGGTCTCCAGGTCTCAACTTTTCATTCAATATTTCCCTAGAAATAAAAGCATAATGTGACACCAGCCTTTGAGATCAGTATTCCCATCTTAACAAATGCCCATAGGTATTCATTTTAAAAGTCTTGCAAATAAATGCCCATGCAAAATAAATGCCCAGTGGCCATATCAATGAGACACTGTGATAGTTTAAATACTAACTGAAGATTGAATGGTTCTGTATTATCTGAAGCATTATTTCTAAGAGCAAACTAATCATACACTTAATTGACAATTTGAAAATATATTTGCAGTTTGCACCCATGAAATATGTGGATACTTTGACCAATCTTTATACCCAGTTCCAAACACGTTGTATCAGAGGCAGACCTAGAAAACCATATTTTGCTCATACTGTAATATATCATTTGAATATCTTCTGTATAGGTGTCAATGATGTCAAAGATTAAGTTGTAACAACTTGATCTTTGTCATGTGTGCCACAGAATTGAGATTTTAGAAGCAGAGATTGAATCACTGTCTAATGGGATCAAGTGATGAAACTTTAAACTTTATAGTGACGTGTCGATATATTAATATGCCACATCATTGATATACATGTATGTGTATATGACATTATACAGAGGGGTTTATATTACATAAGATGCATACAAGTTTATGCATACACTCAATACAGTAAAACCTGTGTAAGTGGAACAACTTTGATACCTCTAAAAAGTGTTCCCATTGGGGAGATGTTCAACTCTATAGAGGTTCATTTAACATTAAGTCATGTTCTTGGGACTCTTGGGTATTTTACTTCTTGTATGTTTGACTTTACAGGTTTCACTGTACATGTATTATCTAAGTAAAAGGCAAATCTTTGCAAGATGTGAAATAGTAGGCCTATATGAAGAAACTTTCTATCATTGTTTATATTGTGTTAAGCATTGCAAAATGTCAAAGAGTTAAGTTAAAGTCAAAAGTCCAATGTTTAAAGTCTCAAAGTTTTATTGGCCAATTCTATAGTATTACATATTGACCATTTTATCAATTATCACTATACAGCTCAATATACAGAATATTGTAATTCCAATTGTAATTCAATTAAATAATTTATCAATGTAGAATAATATATATTATATAATATGACCAAATGGCAATATGACACAAAATCATCTTGATCAACTAATAAAAGTGCTAATTAGAAATATTATTGAAATTTTCCATTAAGTTTCCTTCCTTGTATATATTTTACATTTTACAAATAACAAGATGCTCTGAATTTCTTCTTTTTCTGAGATCATTTAAAAGGAGGATTTATAAATTTTATAACATGTGATAGTTTATCAAATACATTTTATTTCTAAATCTACATATCAGAAAAAGTTGAGATGACATGATATGACATGAGTGATGTACTTTTTCTGATATGTAAATTTAGAAATAAAATGTATCTAATAAACCATCACATGTTGTAAGAGTTATAAATCCTCCTTTTAAATGATCTCAGAAAAAGAAGAAATTCAGAGCATCTTGTTATTTGTAAAATGTAAAATATAAACAAGTGATGAGTATCACAAGATAAAAGATTCTATAGACATTGAGAACATCTTAAAAATGATATTCAGCATCCAAGCTAATTTGCTGATTTGACTGTTTTGATAACAGTTGCCCATTTTCCAACATTTGAAGTATAGTGCATTTATTGGGCCAGAACAAACATTGTTTTAGCAGAAGTGGCATCAAAGAAGAATATTATCTTTAATTGCCTTTACTTTTAAGTTTTCGTGTTCAATAGTGTTCTCTCAATTTTTGGCTTTTTGTTTATCAAACGGGTCCAAAATTTTAATTTTGGCCATAACGAGTAAAAACAAAATATCCAACTTTTGCGTACGGAGGGGTTATGCCACCGACACACCTAAACAAGATGTTGACAGGAGCACCGCAAGTCAGGGGGTCTGGGGGCATACCCACCCAGAAAAATTTCAATATAGATCCTCTCTGGTACATTCTGAGCATATCCGAGAGCGATATTTGCATCATAAATACAAATTTCTAAAAAATATTCCTTTTGGAAAAGGGGAGGGGGCGGTCATCCCCAATGCCCACCTCCCCTTTGGATGGGTTTGTATTGTAGACATGTACATGTAAGACTTTATAAGCTGCCCAGGGTCTGAGGAGTTGGATTATCATAGTTTTAAAAACTTGTGTATACAATCAGAGATAAACATATATGTCTCTGATACAATAAAAAGGTTACAGCATGAATTTGTCCACCAAAGCTGTACTGGCAGGAATGATAGCAATGTAAAAAGCTAAATACAGGTACATATACAGGTATATATATATCTTGATTGCAAGATCTGGGAAACTGTTACAGACAGTTCGATTGTATTTCAGGCTTACTAGTGAGCCGGCTTTCTAAGCTTTCAAATTAAAACTGCAACTGTACTGCACTGGTAACAGTAAAAATACAAAACTCCTTCAAAGGACATGGTGACATGCTCTTCACTAAATACCCAAATTCCTACTTACCGATGCAAATCACAGCAGCGAAAAAACAAATCACAACGACGGCCTTCATTATGCCAGATCAGATGATTTCAAATGACAGCGTGGTCAATTCAATTTGAAAATTGTAATAGAAATATTCTACTAGTTATCAACACAGTTCGAAGTACAAAAGATTACACTTCTATAAGTGTAAACAGGATCTTGCACTAATAAGCATAGCAGAAGGGCAATGTTGATGCAACTTGATATCATCACGTGATGATTTTTTCATACTTACTTTATGGCTTCATTTCCTTAGCTGATTTTCTCACAACAAGGGCATTTTCATATCATTACAATTTTTTTCCAGAATCTTGATGTATTCATGAATAATTATTTTCTCATTTTAAAGTGGGAGTGTACTTAAAACACGAGGAAATTAAGACTACTTGAGTCCAAAGTCCAGATACGTGTTTTGAAATTACCGCAGTAAAAGTTGACACTCGTTAGAATAAAAGTAAAAAATGGCATCCGGTGTTCGAAGTCAACTTGCAGGCTTATCAAGTTCTGGGGGCTCTCATAAAGATTTAACAGAGAAGTATGATATGTTTTTCTATTCACCAATGTGCTTACTATGTAGAAGCGTGGATCTGGTTCAATCCACAGTGTAGTTTTACCGTAAATAGGATTTGAAACTTTGAAAGTTAAAAAATAAAGAAAAAAGGTTTGTCTATTATCACCCACTTACAAGATGTGCTCTTTTTGTTGCAGTCTTCATGATCACATTTATGAAGTATATGTTGTTATCTACTTTATAGTCTCAACATGTCTTATATTTAATTGGAATATGTGTAATGCAATTATTCAATGGAACTCAAACAAACAAATCCCCTGGGCCAGACAATATTAGCCTTGTATACTCAAGGAACTCAGAGATGCCATAAGCAGACCCCTCTACCTGATATTCAGAAATTCTATAGAAACTGGTACATAACCACAAGACTGGAAACAGGCCAATATCCTCCCATACACAAGAAAGGGAAGAAAGGTCAACCAAATAACATGTTCAGGCCAGTAAACCTTACTGATGTACAATGTACATCAGTAATACATACAATACTCGAATCTATTATTACTATAAGAGAAAGAATCCTGTCCCATCTTTCAAAGAACAACCTTCTGTCACAATGTCAACATGGATTCCTACCATGTTGATCATGTGTAACAAATCTACTCACAACACTAGAGAAGTAGATAGAAGTACTAGACAGTGGGAACAACATAGATGCAGTCTTCCTGGAGTTCAAAAAAAGCCTTGACAAAGTTCTGCATGAATGACTAATTAGGAAAATGCAAAACATAGGAATTATGGGTAAAGCTCTATAGTGCCTAAAATCTTTCAGTGGTGTGGAACCTGGAAATTAATATTATGGTGCAGAGACCAATGATTCAACTGAAAATCAACACCTCAGAAAGCAGAGAGTGATTATCAATGGAGAATTGTCTTCATTTCATGTCAGGCATACCTCAGGGGACCGTTCTTAGTCACCATTGAGCCTGTTGAAGCAGTACAAAGGAGGGTAACAAGATGCATACCAGGAAGATAAGGATTATCCCCTTAGACTGAAAGAATTGAAATCATTGAGACTTGTATTTAGACGTATGAGACATGATGGAAACATGAAAAATCTTGCATTCAAAGGATGGAGAACTAGAACTAATTTGTAATCAGACTTTTCTTTCCTCTTTCAACTCAAAGTTAACCCTTCTTAAACATTCATAAAAACTACAAGGTTTGAGTATGTCTGATCCATGAGAAACCATCAATGAATGAAGAGCTTATCCAATGAAATTTTTTCTTTCAGGTATAGAGTAATTTTAGAAAATGTTTTGAAGTTGCCACCAGGAGAGATAGTTGATGCTGTCAAAATATTCATAGAAGCAAGTAAGTTACTATGTATATTCTAAAATAGTTGTCATGGTGTTCCACCTTTAAATGAGAGAAATTAAGGTGTATAAATAGCAGATTCTTGTAAACCTATACTCTATATGACTCTGCAAATTCAATGTCTGTTTAGTGTTATATCTGAAAAATCTTATCACACCAATTGTCTTATATATATATATATACCTTCTTTATCTTTTTGAAATTTTCACTAATCCCATTAATGATGTCTCCAACCATTTTTTGTTCAGTGTTTGATGTTCGGCATCTGTAACAAATGGCAGGTGGTGACATTTTGCATGTTAATGCCTTGTTATTAGTTTTTAATACCTTTACCCCTTTATAATTTAAAGGAACTCTTTATAATTTTCATATATGTTTCATAACAGTTTACAATTCTTTTCAGTTGTGAATGAAAATGTGAGCCTTGTGATATCTCGACAGATTCTAAGTGAACTATGTAACAATGTCACAAAGTTGGACGATACCATCTCAATGGATGTGTCACATTTCATACTGGAGAAAATACAACCAAGAGTTATATCATTTGAGGAACAGGTAAACCAATCAGCTTTTTGTTGTCAAAATATTTATCTTACAGCTTTTATTTTATTGATGGGTGAACTTTATAATGATGAGATATAATAAGTGTAAAATGTAATGAACTGGTGACAGGGGTGGAGGCAGGATATTTACATTGGTGAGGCAAATTTAGATTGGTGAGGCAAATTTAGATTGGTGAGGCAAATTTAAATTGGTGAGGCAAACACCATTGAAACAGGTTATGCTAATAATACATTGACTAACATTGGACTTCATTTTTAGTTGCAAAAATGTATGAATAAATAGTTTTAAGTAAAGTAGTTTTAAGTGTTGGTGATACTGAATGAATATTTCTATTTTCTCTCAGGTTGCATCAATACGCCAGCACATGGCCGAGATGTATGAGCGCGAGGAGAAGTGGAACAAGGCAGCTGTGACTCTTGTAGGCATCCCACTGGAGACGGGACAGAAGTAAGAGAAAAACAGAAATACTGAGAAAATTCCCTTTTTTTTTGTTTTTGTATTGATAAATCAAAGAATGTACAGTATATTGATTCAATTAGAATGGGTTAAACGACACTGGATGTAGTCTCATATTAAATCTATTACTTAGGGGATCACAGGGCTTCAAAATCCAGAATATATTCTTTTTACCCCCTGCGATAAGCAGTTACCATTTCCCCGATTAAGAACTCGCAATCTGTTTGGCTGTCGCAACACTGCGATAGAAATCATGTATAAGTCATTGCGCATAATTAGATCACGTGATTCAGTTTAATCGGGCGCTTCCAAATTGGTTATAGCAGGGGGAAGAAGGAGGTACGGATTCTGGATACCTGCTTAGGAGGACGGTACTAAAAGAATTGGCAATTTTCACATTATTTTCTCTTTCCAGGCAATATTCAAATGACTACAAACTAGAGACATATTTGAAGATTGCCCGCCTGTACCTTGAGGATGAGGATCCTGTCCAAGCAGAGGCTTATATAAATAGAGCTTCACTTCTCCAGGCAGATTCACAGAATGAACAGTTACAGATTTATTACAAGGTATCACAATACATGTCAACATTAAATATTTCTATGAACCAAAAATGTACAAAATGAGAAATGACTATTGAAACATGTTTAAATCATATATACAGGCTTCAAGAATTCAAAGAATATTATCCATGTATGTCTGTATATGTCTGATCAAAGGTAAATGTAATTAAAATAGACACGATTTCTGTATTTTAATTTGGTGTTCAGTATTTCCAGTACATTTACATTGTGTTACTTAATTTAGGTGTGCTATGCTAGAGTACTGGACTTCAGGAGAAAGTTCATAGAGGCAGCTGCAAGGTATAATGAGCTCTCTTATAAGACAATAATAGCAGAGGATGAGAGAGTGCATGCTTTGAAGAGTGCCCTGATCTGTACTATATTAGCATCTGCAGGTATGTAGTTGGTCAGTTATCAACTCTGATGAGCTCTCTCTTTGTTTTTATTTCTATTTGGCTTAAAGCTTTATTGTTGGTTTGTGAACCCTGAAACAGAAATACCACAAAATGATCATTATTATCTATGCTCATAAACAATGGTTCATCAATTGAACAACTGAGGTAGAAATCTGGGGCATTGAAGTTGGGCGAGTGTGAGCCCACAAAGGGTCACATCTCCTACTGATCAGTCGATCCTCCACTCCAATGATTTTTGTTTCTAGTTTGTGGGGTGGCTACATTGGCTGGAACCACCCTGAAAACCACCCCAAGACAATCAGACACCTGAAAACATAAAGCACTGCAAATATCAGAGCTATCCCAAGAGAGTAGTTTTTGAAAGGCCATAAAAGACAGACCATTTGAAAGGCAGAACCCAAACTTTAAGGACTTATTTGTTATCACCTCAGCTTGATATGAGTGAAAAATGAAGCATTTACCTTATTGGATATAGAAATTACTATCGCATTTATGGGTTGCATTCATTTTGGGTCACCATGTACTATAATCACTGAACCTAACCAATCACATATGTTCCATTTTCCATACGGTAAATCTCATTCATAAATTGTGTTCTATAGGTCAACAAAGGTCCAGAATGTTAGCAACTTTATTCAAAGATGAGAGATGTCAACAGCTTCCTGCATACAGTATACTAGAAAAAATGTAAGTTGTTTATATTATGTTCATAGATTATATACATGTATTTTACAAGTACACGACTGTATTAGATTGAATTTAATGCATGACTCTATTAAGTTACATATTATACATGATATGACTATGATAAATGAACTAGCTAGAAGGAAAAGATGAATTGGGAGTGAGGTTCCACTTATGATTCTCACAATTTAACAATGTTCTTGTCATTCCATATCATGCCAATTTCTACAAATAGGTCCAATAGATTTTTAAGGTATCTAATAAAATTCCCATTTTCAATCTTTCAGTATTCAATTCATATGGATTCAGATTGTTCTTTGTACTCATATTATATACTTCTAACTCATAATTTGTAACTCTTCAGGTATTTAGACAGAATTATTCGAAGCAGTGACCTCCAGGAGTTCTCTGCCTTACTTCTGTCTCATCAAAAAGCAACCACATCTGACGGTTCAACTATTTTGGATCGTGCTGTCATTGAGCACAATCTCTTATCTGCAAGCAAACTCTATAACAACATATCTTTTGAGGAGCTGGGAGCATTATTGGAGATCCCTCCAGCCAAGGTTAGTGCTTTAATGGGCCAAGTGGGATAAGTGCACTTTTGGACCTGTATGAAATGATGTTTGTTGAATACCTGTAAAACACATGTAAAAGGTCAATCGCTAATTCACCATGAAATAAAAAGAATATCCTATGGTTTACTCATGATTTGATATTTATCCACTCGTGGATATTGATATCTGCACTCTCTTGCTACACTTGCTTGTGTAAATATCTTATCCGTTTGTGGATAAAAATTATATGTCTTATAAATATTAGGATATCCTGTATATATTTACGTATTGTTTGAGGAGAAAGACACTGTGTTTTGAATCTAAACTGTTTTTTGGTGATTAGAGTACTAGACAAAAATGTCCATGAATGATACATTTTGATACATTTTCAGTACACAAAGAAAACATAATCTCTATTTCTACATTAATTTTGTATAATGTTAAAATATAATTTTCATCACCTCACACAAGCTTTAAAATATTTCAGGCGGAGAAAATTGCATCACAAATGATAACAGAGGGAAGGATGAATGGCTACATAGACCAGATAGACTCCATTGTACATTTTGAAGGTATATGTTACTGATATTCTGATCATTTTTGTATTTGTTTGAAAAGTGAATTGATTGTTTAATTTATGATACTGATTTAAAACAGACTCCTCAGTTAGAAATCTGGGTTAAAATATTGTATTATCTTACATGTCTTAAGCCTGTATCAGATAAGTCTATAAGGCAGTCAATCTCAAGAGGGTTAACTGTTAACCCTTGTCATTAACCCATGGCTTATGGCTGAAATAATACCAGGAGCCAATTGTTGTAGAGATGATTCTACATTGGATTTAGAAAATGATGTCCATTTCAAAAGAAGAGTGGTCCTAGAGATCCTACTGCAAATCTGTTCTTTGATATTGTTTCATGTTTCAACCTTGGTATGAGAATTCTGTCACCAAATAATTCCTTATTTTGACTTGTCTTTCAGCCCGTGAAGCACTTCCTACATGGGATAAACAGATCCAGAACCTATGCTTACAAGTCAATGACATTATAGAGAAAATATCCACACATGCACCTGAATGGATGGCCAAGGCAAATGATGAGCAGATGACTCAATGAGAATGTGGGGCTTACATATTTCAATCCATGGACTACATTACATGTATGTGTTGCCTGGGGCTTACATCTTTCACTTCATGGAATAATGGTTTCATGTTTTAATCCATACAAGAAATATCAAATCACATTGTTTGTAGTGACTCTGATGATGTGCTACATATATATGAACACATTGAGATTGAGTGTCCGCAGAGACAGAATTTTACATTTGGATCCAACCAGTGTACATTATATACACAAAACATGAAATGCAAGCCACAGTTGAGAGAAAGAATTTGCCCCAATTCAGAAATGTTAATTGTGGCTATTATGTAAACATGGCAGTCCAAGACTGAACAGTTTAACAATCCTGTTTATAAAATATGATTTAGATATGATCTCCATAAGCTTTCTAGAAAGTATAAAATGTGCTTTGAGGATGACTTTATTGGTATTATTTATCATGACTTTGGAGTATTGAACCAATGAGGGAAGGTTAAAATGAAAAAAGGAATAGCAATTTCCAAGTAGGACCAGCTGATACAATAAGCACAAAAGTGTATGTTGATAAGAAACATCTCTGTACCATGCTGAAAATAAATAAAAAAACATGTGTAAATTTTGTAAAAACAGTTTTTGTTTTGATTAGAACATTTTTTCTTACATTGTATGTTAGCATTATTTACAAAAAATGTTGTCCAAAATACACTTACACTGGTGATCCACTTGATTACGCTGGTTACCAAAACGGTTCGTTTTGGTAACAAAATGTCGGAACATCCGGAAGGTACGATTTTTCTTGTTTCCTTATTTTACACGTTGCAGGCAGAATTCCCACGACATTTTTAACACAAACGTGTATCAGTATCATATGTTTAAGAAAGTGTACATATTTGCGAACAAATAGTTCAGAAGACAACAGAGTCGTCGATTTACTTCCTCACTTAAGTTACATAAACGGTTTGGGTTAAAAGTGCAGATCTGAACTGTTTTTCGAAAAACCGTTTATGTAACTTAAGTGAGGAAGTTAATCGACGATTCTGTTGTCCTCTGAGCTATTTTTTCGCAAACATGTACATTTTCTAAAACATATGATACTGATGCACGTTGTGAGAAAAAACGTCGTGGGGATTCTGCCTACAACGCGTGAAATAAGGAAAAAAGAAAAATCGTGCATTCGACGCTCCGACATTTTGTTACCAAAACGGTTCGTTTTGGTAACCAGCGTAATCGAGTGGATCACCAGTGACTTATGAGCTTTCTGGAGAACTCCTAGCCATCCCATAATACTCATAATGACATGCACCAAATAACAATGGCTAATTAATAAATATGGATGATTGTGTTGTGTTGACTACTCTGACCACAAAACAGCAGACTGATAGTCTGAATAAAATTACCGATTAACCCTGGATTAGTTATTTCAGCTTCAAAATTTGAAATATGGATAATTTAAAGGATAATCCAACATACAAGATCGATATTCTTCATTTAAACCCTTTTTGATCAGGCCTTTCCAAGTGTACACCAGTACTGCAGAATTATATTCATTTTGAGACTAATTTTGATCAGAAATAGGAATAATCAAAGTTTATTTCTGTTGTACATCGAGTCATGATAAGAGGGTTGTTTATAATGTGACTGAAATATAATGCTGGTTGAGTTGTACAATTGTGTTTTTATTTTCTGGAACAAATGCCTAAACAATAATGGACCTATCATGGAGTATCATGGCAGATGTAGCCGTAGATGAAAGCAGTTATCTTCAGGGTATTTAAATGTTCTGCCATCAGACATATATTATAGAATCAAGGATGATAACATGTCGGTTGAGCTGTACGATTGTGTTTTTATTTCTGCGACTAATTGAAAGATGGCGTTGCTATCACAACTCACTTTTGACTGTCGTGATGCGATTTTTAGAAAAGATGACTTTCCAAAATGCTACTAAACGATTGAAATACAGTGATTTACAGTGTCTAGGTTAAGAAAATATGCTATTTCATGATGGAAGAAAGGTTAGTACTACTTATGAACATGTAAAACCCATTTGATTTCGTTAGAACAGCTTGAAATACCCATTTCAAAAATAATCCTGAAAAAAATAAATGGAAAAAATTCTTCTGAATTTCTATATTTCTATATTTGCTTGTGCATACTGGAATATGCTCTCTTTGTTACCTTATAAACACCAGTAGCTACATGTACCATAGATTTGATACTCTGCTGTCTCTAGTCGAGAAATCATTATGTTAGATTTTGAAACTTATGGCTCTCAAACGGAGAAGTGAACAGCTGATCAATAGTGACCTTTGAAATTGAATTAAGTCGATCCGCGGCTTACTTTTGGTCTCTAACTGTGTCTTACATCAGTATCATCAATCCGTGTAAGTATTGGAGCGCTAGAGTACTTCTTTTTCGATCAAGACTTGTAAATTGTTCATCGAGTTAAAGTTTTACAGACCTATTTCCAATATGGCGGTTTGCTAGGTGCGAGATACGCAACGAACGAAATGAATTTTGAGAATTAGTTAGGTTCGGACAACCTCTGGAGATTTACGAAAATGTCCGAGCAGAAACCGCCATATTGGAATTTGGCAGTAAAACGATTCACTCGACTAACAATTACAAGTCTTGATCGAAAAAGAAGTACTCCAGCGCTCCAATACTTACACGGATTGATGATACTGATGTAAGACACAGTTAGAGACCAAAAGTAAGCCGCGGATCGACTTAATTCGATTTCAAAGGTCACGATCATTGAGCTGTCCAAATGCTCCGTGGGAAAGCTATTATATCAAAATCCAAATAGCTTTCGCAGGAAGTAAGAATTCACATGTTATGCCGACTCTTCAAATGTTGAGGTGATTTTGGAGCCGGATTACGCGGCAATGTGGATTTGCTCCCAGAATGCAACATGACACGTGTCAGCTTTCAAAATGCCGTTCCGCCATTTTGAAATCTGTCGCGAGTAAATAAGGTTACCTGATGTTGCATTCTGGGAGTCAATCCTCCTTGGATCACAAACATGGCGATTCATGAAAACATTCGTTCAATTTGGTAGGGATTTATCCATCATTTGCAGGTATGAAGCTTTGGATTCATTTATTGTGCTACTTAAAGTCAATGGGAATTATTTTTCTACTGCTTGGGAGAGTTTGAGACATGAAACTTAGAATTTAGCTCATTGTTACAACTTTTGAGGATTGAGATTTATTTTTGTACCCCACTTTACAATAACAGGATGCAGAAAAGCGTGGCCGTTGCCTATATAGTTCCATCATCGGTTCCCACGCTCAACCACTACTTTCTATCCCGTGGGTTCATATGACAAACTTGAGACCCAAGTAATATGTGGCGTCTCATTTGTAGAAATGCTTCGTGGAGTGCGCGGGATAGCCCATGTGCCAATCACAATTGAGGAAATTATTTAAATTAGGCCCCTGAATCAGTATTCAGAAAATGAAAATGTAGATATTGTTTGAAAAGATTTGCGGTAAATTTCGTCTGATCATGAATTTTTTAAAACCCTATCAAAAAGAAGCGATAGAGGCAATAATGGAATGCAGGGATGTATTCGTGTCACAGAAAACTGGACTGTGGTGACAAAGGCCCTTCCTACGGATAATGATATTCAAGACAGCGCATCAGCTGGGGTTTGTTTATTTAGTCTAACCAATAATTTGTCATGAATCAAGGTGAGGATAGGTTCAAGCTTGATGAAGCAAGATGATATAGTTCAACAAGTTAGTTTACCTAGTGTCTGGGCCTTAGTTCTTATCTGACATATCTTGTGGCCTGTGGCTAGGTTAACTTCCGTGCATATTCCACCAGCTACATGGGGAATAATATGGTAACAAACATACATGTACATACCCATGGGCTAAAGGCCGCTAAAGCCCATGACATACCTCAGGATTCTCACCAGGAAATTTTTAGACCCCAGATTTTTCGCGGTATCGTGACTAGTCCTCCCCCATGTGAGATCAGAGATATCCTATTAGTATACTAGTCAGAATACTACTTATTGCTTATTAGATTATCTTCTTATTTTGATCAAATATAAAAGGTTCCTGTCTTCCTATTCATTTTTTATATCCAGTTTTATGTATTTTATGAGTTTTACCATAAATAATGTGACAAAAATGTAGAATTAGACAAAAATTAGGAAAAAACCACTTTAGACTCCGGAAGGGAGCAAGAGGGTCTAATAAGACATTTGATTCTGGAGAATCTTCTGAGTCTAAAAGCCTAGTGAGAACTCTGTATCTTATGAATAAGAATACATCATCCCATGGAATCGCTTGATGGTAGGCGTTTTCACATTATTGTCAAAATATCTGTCGCTCTTTATCGAGGAAAATGATTTCAATCGATATACAATTTGCAATACAGGCCTATACATGAATACATATACAAGGAAGTCAAACCCAATAACGGCTCCAGGAAAATTCAGATTAAAGGGGCAATAAGGACTGTAGAGAAAATAGGAAAGTTTTTTCATTTTTTCTGAGCTAATGTATGGATAAATTATCAATTTCAGGATTAAGAAGTGTAAATTCAGTTCAAAGCTTCAAAAAGGGGACTTCCACTTTTATATTTTTAAGATCAACCATGTTTCAAGAGGAATATCAGCTAAAATAATGTTTATCTAGGGGGTTTCTTTGTAGATAATAAAAACAGATGTTAGTCTTGATGAAATATCCAAACTTAAATATATTTTGACACTGGTCCATGATCGTTGAATGACCCCTCTGCACTAATTATTGCACCTTTAATAATGAAAACTTGTTGAACTAGGCATTTGTGTGGAAGTTCATGAGAAAAAGTATGACTATCAGGCACTGTTTATGGCATATCCAGATGTAAAGATGATAATGATAGCCAAGTCAAATTTAGGATACATTGTGATTAGAATATGAACATTTAAATAACACCCATTCAATGTGATTTAATAAACATTATAGTGCTGGGCTTAAGCCGTCGGTGTTCAGACTAAATAGAGTGTTCCTTCCGAAACAGATTTGCCCATTGACGTCTAAGACTCTAAACTGAAGGATAGAATAAAAAAAGTTTTGCTATTATAGGCAAAACAATCTCTAAAATCTTTATCTTATTTTACCTGTAAATTCTGCATTCGGTCCACAATTTTTATTAGAACTAGAAAGGACAAGAAAAAACATGCCACACTTGGGCATATGTGACAGTAAGTCTAAACCATTCAGATCGTTTGATATTTAGAGCACGTCAAGATACATTCCTCTAAAGGTTCTACACTGTGAGAGCACAGGGATGTTGGTCCTTCATTTGAGGTATTTGTATAAGATTTTGTAACTTTCCAATGAAAGGGTTGCTGTATCATTTATAAGCTCTAAGATTGTCTAAAAAATTAGTTACATGTACATGGTATATGGTACATGTATATGGTATAACATGGATGAAAAGACCCACCATAGATCCCCAATCATCTAAAACACTGGTGATCCGCTCGATTACACTGGTTACCGAAACAGTTCGTTTTGGTAACTAAATGTCGGAACGTCGAAGTTATGATTTTTCTTTTCTCCTTATTTCACGCGTTGTAGGCAGAATCCCCACGACGTTTTTTCTCACAAACGTGTATCAGTATCATATATTTTGGAAAATGTATATATTTGCGAAGAAATAGCTCAGAAGACGACAGAATCGTCGATTTAATTCCTCACTTAAGTTACATAAACAGTTTGGGTTAAAAGTGCAGATCTCAACTGTTTTTCGAAATACCTTTTATGTAACTTAAGTGAGGAATTAAATCGAAGATTCTGTTGTCTTCTGAACTATTTGTTCGCAAATATGTGCATTTTCTTAAACATATGATACTGATACATGTTTGTGATAAAAATATAGTGTAAATTCTGCCTACAGCGTGTGAAATAAGGAAAAAAGAAAAACCGTACCTTCGATGTTCCGACATTTTGTTACCAAAACGAACCGTTTCGGTAACCAGCGTAATCGAGTGGATCACCAATGTAAAGGGAAGGAGTTAAAAACATTTATATCATAACTGAACACTGAACATCATAAGCTTAACGGAAAAGTTTGCTGGTGCAAATCTTTCCTTATTTGAAAACTTGCTATTATGAATTATATGGTCATTTGTACATTCATGAAATGCATATTTCTGTTTTCAGTCGAAAACGCCTGAGAAGCTTTGAGGAAGACTGTGATGACTTTATGCCAATATCTAAACGTATTCATCGCTTGAATATCAGACAAGAGGAATGTCCTGATAGCGAACATAACCCAAATGTGAGTATTATGTATTATCTGTATTAAACTCGCAGGCTTACAGTTAATTACGGTCTTACTAAAGTCCTCTTTTTGATTTGGGAAATCAAAGAGAATACTTGTACACTCATACTTGTAAACTCATCCCGGCTGCATAGGAGATAAAATCACACCGGAATAGCCTGACTACGGTAAAGTCAGATACCCTTGTCACAAATGGCGGACATAACTGTCGCTTCAACTGTTTAATCACTTGGTCCTTATTTCATTGGATTTTATCGTCGCTAATTCTGTGCATGCATTAAGCTCTTGAGATAATGTATCATATGAAATACCATTTTTGATCAAATTGGGTCGTGAATCGCCATAATATAGCGTCTACGATATCGTCAATGACAACGGAATCTGAATTTGAGTAATTTAGACAACGGCATATGGTAATTACAGTGTCCGTTGTCCCGTATCTTATTTTGATGGGTTAAATTAAAGACTTAATTTCGATGGTAGAACATTATTAACTGTACAATGAGTATAAGGACACTTTGATTGATTGTTGTTCCAAAGGAATTTAGTCTAGGTGTTCTATTAAACATACAGTTCATGAAAATCTAATTGAAGCGACGGTTATGTCAGCCATTTGTGACAACGGTATCTGACTTTACCATTTACCATTGTCAGGCTATTCCGGGGTGAGAATGGAATCATTTGCAAATCATATTTTGTATGTAAAACTATAAAATGAGGCTTATTTTATAACAATTTTAATAAAATGTTGTTAGGTTTGTATTTCAGCATTTTCTATCTGATCTTTGTACTGTAAAGTATTGTAAAGTCAATAGTCAACACTTGATTGGTCTTAAAGCAATTAAAATTAAATATTTAGATTAAGGTACTAGCTAAGTATTTTATATTTTAGGGTGCACAGCAACAAGACAAACTTGGAAACAATCCATTACCATGGCAACCAGGAGGAGACTTGAACCACAATTATAGCAACATTCCTTCAGCAGAACCATCAAACAATAATAATGAACAACAGTTATGTCTTGAATCTCCTCATATGAACATGAATGGTGCTTATAATATGCAACAGTGTATTCCTGGTGGTATACAAAACTCTCAGATAGGACACTCTAGTCATAATAGATTATTAGTTCAAATTCCCCAAGGGTCAGGGCATACCCACCCAGGCACCTCGCATGCTGACCCTGGGAGAGCTCATATAGATCCTGGAGGTGTCGAGAATTCTGAAGAAATGGAGGTTTATAATCCAGATTTAACAGAACACGATAATCCACATTATTATCACCTAAATCGAATATTATTTGCAGCTCACAAAGCGAAAGTGCAGAGGAATCAAAGTCATTAAAGATAGAATACTGATCACTTTTTATGAACACACTATTTTTGTAAAAATGGTCAAACTCTCAAATAGGTAGTCAGAATCGGATCTCCCAAAAACAGTTATGATTGATGTCATATACAGATGAATTTGGCATAGTTGGAAAGATAATGATGCCTAGTTTTGAGATTTACTTGCATACTGTATTTGTCTTTAATTTGGCACGATTTAATTTTAGCGATTTTTGGAATATTGGACATATTTCAAGGGGACAAATTATCAACTCATTGTCAGTGTTGTTGATTGATCTTCGAATATTTCTAAATTTAAACTACCCCCAGCAATCTTGGTATATTACTTATAACTGGAAGTGCACTGAATGAAAAACATGTCAAATTCCATTGATTTTGATGAGTATTTAATTGGTGATTTTTTTAATTTGCCAAATTAAAACACCAAATTAAAGACAAATACAGTATCTACAATCACTAACAATATGCCATTGATAAGCAAAATGTTTTTTTCATATCGCTCAACAATTGTTGCTTCAATTTTTACATTAGTATCCTAAAGATGCTAGCACATTTTCAAATTACCTTGGTACCTTTGGGCCATCATTCTGACTACTAAAAGGTAATATTTAACCTTCAACTGGAATGAATTTACAAAAGTACATTTCAGCATTTAATTATTGTATGAATACATCTCTGAAAATGATATACATATACATGTACATGTACCTATATAATATTCTTGCAATTCTATTTTGATTTGTGCAATATGCCATCACTTTGCAATCAGACTTTTAGAGGTTAACTTGTAAAATGTTCTTGGCTTTAACCATTTAATATTTATTGTACCGCATATTCGGCTAAAATATCTGTATTGTAAAGTTGGATGTACAATCTGTACGTTGTTGAAAATATATCATGTAAAACTTCATTTAAATTAGTTTGTAGTTTTTCATAGTTTTCAAGACTTTAATAATAGGTTTTAAGATTGCATCTGATATGACAAAAAGGGGTGAAACTGCAGCATAGGTTTGAGGTTTATTAATGAATGATAATTTCACAAACCTGGCTCCGATGGGCAATAAGTAATATATAAAGATTCAAGATTTTATTGTGTTTCAAGCCAAAACAATTGACTTCCTCACAAAATCAATTACAAGACATAATTATAGTCAGTAAAATGCATTGTTAAACAAATATTTAAATATAACTATCTTAAAAACTAGTCTATTCCTTTTTCAAATATTTATTATCGCACTTTGAAAAAGTGCTATATTGTCGTCGTCTTGTGCTGTTGGGCGGGCGTGCGGGTGTGCGGGCGTGCGGGCGGGCGGGACATAAACCAAATCTTGTCATCAAATTTCCAGGATAACTGCTTACCTGTTCAACTTGAAATTTTTACAGATGCAACAGCAGACTAGTACCAAGATCTGATTAGGTTAAGGGCATGCTGGGTAAACTATGTGGCGGCCATTTTGAATTTTTCAACAAATCTTGTCATCAAAATTCCAGGAAAACCACTTATCCGTTCAACTTGAAATTTTTACAGATGCAAGAACAGACTATTGCCAAGATCTGATTAGGTTTTGGGTATGCTAGCTGAATTACATGGTGGCCATTTTGAATTTTTGAATTTGGCGGCCATTTTGAATTTTTCAACTTGCTCCAAATTGACCAAATTTTTTTTTAAAAAACATCTACAAGTTCTCAGAAGTTCAAATCTGACCTTAGATTTCAGATTTGACCTTTCATTCACCTTCAGTGACCTTGAAAAGGTCAAAAAAGTTGATTTTCTAAATTGATATTTTGGATTTAAATTTAGGTCAGCTTAATTACAAAACACCTACTGAGGTCTGAAAAAGTGAAATTTTCATGGTCGAAAGTCAAGGTCATTAAACTAGGTCACAAATGATGTTATCCAAGTTTCTCAAAGTTTGAGACTACAAATCAATTCTTGTCATCAAAATTCCAAGAAAACCGCTAACCTGTTCAACTTGAAATTTTTACACATGCAATAGCAGACTAGTGCCAAGATCTGATTAGGTTAAGGGCATGCTGGGTAAACTACGTGGTGGCCATTTTGAATTTTTCAACAAATCTTGTCATCAAAATTCCAGGAAAACCACTTATCCGTTCAACTTGAAATTTTTACAGATGCAAGAACAGGCTATTGCCAAGATCTGATTAGGTTTTGGGTATGCTGGCTGAATTACATGGTGGCCATTTTGAATTTTTCAATTTGGCGGCCATTTTGAATTTTTCAACTTGCTCCAAATTGACCAATTTTTTTTTTAAAAACATCTACAAGTTCTCAGAAGTTCAAATCTGACCTTAGATTTCAGATTCGACCTTTCGTTGACCTTCAGTGGCCTTGAAAAGGTCAAAAATTTGATTTTCTAAATTGATATTTTAGATTTAAATTTAGGTCAGCTAATTACAAAAGACCTACTGAGGTCTGAAAAAGTGAAATTTTCAAGGTCGAAGGTCATCAAATTAGGTCACAAACAATGTTATCTAAATTTTCCTAAAGTTCAAGACTACAAATAAATTCTTGTCATCAAAATTGCAGGAAAACCGCTAACCTTGTCAACTTGAAATGTTTACAGATGCAAGAGCAGACCAGTGCCAAGGTCTGATTGGGTTTTGGCCATGCTGGGTAAATTGCATGGTGGCCAGTTTGCTCTTCAAAGTGCGATATTTATCACTGTGTGTCTTGTTTATATATTTATTAATTTATTTATTGATTCAGTGCTCATTCATAAAACTTATGATCACCAAGGAACCTTTTGACTTTTATTCTAACATGTATAGTACCATTATATAAGTCCAATCTGTGATTTAAAAATTAAGTACAATTTTATGACAGTTATTAAGTAGAGCGTCCAGTACCATTCTGAACATGCATGTCTGATGGCCTAGAGAAAAATGTTTTTTATTGACATAAACTCTGATGTGTGACAATTTTATCAAATTCACAGTGGTTCTAGAAGGGCTGAACTGGTAAATTCTGGTTTTCAAGGAGATATTTATAGTGTTTCTAGCTACATATATCATAATTTATTGTTGTAAAGGAGAAATTTAAGGAGAGATGCGATAAATCTTATCAACATAAGGAGTTGTTCAAAGTGTGACTTTGATTTGTCCTTGGTGGCACTGAATGACAAAATCACACCCTCAGAAGTTAATGTATTTGGATTATGCTACCAGAACATTCTTGAATCTGTTTTTCCTGAGAAGGTCATGACACCATAGTAAGGAACAATGCTTTAGGAATGCCTCTCTTAATGTACCCCTGCTTGAAGTAGGCCTATATCATATTTTGATTGCAACTTCTTGTTATCCCAACAAACGAAGTTCGGTAGGGATATAGTGAAGCCCTCCGTCCGTCCGTCCGTCAGTCCGTCAGTCAGTCCGTCCGTCCATCCGGAAGATAACTCAAATACGAGTTGACGGATTTACTTCATATTTAGTGGAAAGATGTATATTGGTGAATAGTTGTACGCAAAAAAAGATTTTTCAAGATGGCCGCCGCTTTAAAAATGACGGGACTTTTTCGCAAAAATCATAAATTTTTCATTCTAAACCAAAGTAATTAATATTATTGTTTGAAATTTTGGTAGTATATTTGCAACATCTATCTATTTCACATATATTCTGTGTTTTTCATCATTTTAGATCTTTCTGAAGTATAGCTTTATTATACTCAAATGAAAGGCAATTAAGAGTAGATTGCAAATATTGTAGCTTTTTTCTGATTCGAGCCTCGTAAAATTCAAAATGGCCGTCTAATGTACGATTTCGCAATAATTTTTCGATTCCTTCAAAGTATGGCTATATTATACTCAAATTGAAGGAATTTTGGAGTAGATCACAATTATGGTATTATTCTTCAGATTTGTACCTCAGAAAATTCAAAATGGCTGCTTTGCAGGAATTCGCAATTGTAAAATCTAAATTTTTCAATTTTAACCAAAGTAATGAGTTTAATTGATTGGAATTCGGTAATTGATATTTTGTTCGTTGGGATTTGCTACTCCGCGGAGTTGCCATTATCTTTTATTTTTTCATTCATCATTTTGACATGTTCCCTGAAGCTAATCTAACAACATTACATTCAATTGTTGTTTCCTTCATTATGTTACTATGGCAATTTGAATATGAAAAAAAATATAATAATTTATAATATTAAATATTATGTTATGAATTATAAATTCGCATGTTTCATAATTTTTTCCATTAAATTGTTATGTTTATTCATCTAGTTAAAAATCCATAAGTTTATAAACAATATCTAATCACAATCCAAACACAATATTTTGTTTAACATAGGTGTCTATGTTTTGTATTGATAAACCCTATAATCCATTTCACTATCTCAAGATACATTAACTAACTACATACTGAATAATATTGGGCTTCTCAATATGGATACTTATGTAACTATTCTGAAGAAAGCACGTGTTGATGTTGGGAGGTTGATAAGAAAAAATATTATCACGACCTCTGATGTCACTGTGCTACCTCATCAATCTTATTTCGATAATATTAAGTAGGCAAGTTTCATAAACATTGTCCCAATATTTCAATGACATTTTATAGTTCATGTAAATAAACATTCAGGATGACTCATGATATTTAGAGAGATCCACTAAATAACAAATGGGGTGTCACATTTAGTACTTGGGTCGTTCTCAGATTTGTAATTCAATGCATCTAATTATTGATCACAATATGCATTGAAGATTGAGTAACACTGTTTTCCTGCATCATAGATCCCATAACATTTCCAGCCCTGAAATATTTAAAATACTATGTATCATAATTCTCAGAAAATGCTCAATATAAATTGGCGATATATGAATAATTTATTCCATAATACTACTGTTTTCCCAGGAAAATATGAAGGAATAAAAATCGTATTGAATCGTATTACATAAAAAAATTGTATTGTCCCGGGAAAAAATTGTATTGGAGCGTATTACATGAAAAAATCGTATTGTCCCCGGGAAAAATCGAATTGGAGCATATTAACCTATTTTTGGTTTCACGGCTATTTCTTCCCGGTTATTTGCATTATCCAAATGTAACATTTTAGAGGGATGTATTATGGAATAAATCGGTTATTTCTGGTCAGGATTGAATATGGGTTTTATTCCTCAAAAATATGATATTGACCTTTGGCAATATCATATTGACACTCGGTCGCTGCGGTCCCTAGGTCAATATCATATTACCCTTCAGTCAATATCATATTGTCCTTCGGAATAAAACCCATATTCAATCCCTCCCAGTAAATAACCTATATTCATACCATGATATTATGACTTAACAGTGAAGAACACCAGGGAATATAATTGATATTGAAAAAATTCCTCCTCAAAAAATATTGTATTTACCTGGTCGAATAAAAATCACCTGGTCATCCCAATATTTCATTTCTTAATCGTTTTTAAGAAATATTTAAACTAAATGTTAATCTACAACATTTAATCAATAAAAGCTCTAATAAAATTCATATTTACTCCTTCCCAGTAAGTAATTTCTATTTATTTCATATTTGGAAAATCAAATAATTGAAATCTAATGGTGAATTTGAATGTAGAAATCTACAGATAATTAAGTAATAGTTTCGTCCTATATACTGATATAGCTGATGGACCAGGTCCTACCTTGAGAATCACATGATACTTCCATCAAAACAACAACATATAAAAAGTCAAAGTCTTAGAACCCTGGCATATGCATTTGATCTGTTGAGAAGAAAGGCAGCATAATACAATGTTCCGACGCATCATAACCACCCCTTCTTTTGAAATTGGTAAGTTAAATTTGATTTCAAACATTTCAGATATATATTTAGATATAATATCATTATATGTTCATTTAACTGTTGCTAAAATGAATAATTTCATTCATACCTTAAATATCTTTACAAAAACATTTTTATTTTTTGATCGCAATTACATGTTTTATTATTAACAGGGTACTTGCTTTATTGAAATAAAGCAAAAGAAATTAATAGATAAGAAAGGGAATCTAATAGCTACTGGGATTCTCGTTAATTAACATGCTAGAATATATTGCATCCAGGGTGCATCATTTCAGTATTTACATGTCCCGTTATCTGTTTTATGTATCATTTAGCACTTAGATGTACTTATAATTTTTGTGTCCCCACCACAAGTGGTGACATATTGTTATAGTCTTCAACGTTTTTGTGGACAGGTTTGGCGGTTGGCATTCAGAGTCTGTAATAAATGACAGGTGGTGACATTTTGCATGTTTATGCCTTGTTAAATCTATTTTAAAATAAAAAAAATGTTTCTTTTTTAATTTAATTTAAATGCCTTTTTTATGTACATTGTAAATATTATTATTTGTTTAGCACCCTCATGTTTTAATCTGAATTTCATGATGTAAAGTGGTCATCCTACAATATACGAACCCAATTGTAACTCCTTTTTAGAACTCCTTGGGGCCTGTGAATGATTGTCCTTGTGATCTAATACCCCCGATACATCACCCATATATGTACCATTTTATAGGATGTAGAAGCCTGCAGACACTGGCATTGGGGCTGAAGGAAACTGCCCCATGCACCAGTTGTAGCCTTAGGAATGAGCCTGATGGACCAAAAATGGTCACAAGCCTTCCTGGTCCAGAGACACTTAAGTTGAAGCAAGAACTCGATAAAATTCAAGTATGTGTTTTTATTATTTCAATAGTTTTTTTTCATTAGAAGTTTTGGGTTTTGATAATTATAGAAATAATGTAAAATAACTGTTTAAATTAATTGAAATATTTATTCCAATTTTTTATTCTATTCTCACAATAATACCATACTTCCAGTAATTTTTCAGAGCATCTGACATGCAATTGGGAGGTTGCAGGTTTGATTCATACCAGAGTGGAGAGACTTTTTCACATCAGCCCTTAGCATCAGATTTGGTCCTGTGTTTCAGATTAGCTTCAAATAATTTTTTGTGTGCTGCTAATTGTATATACACGTCGCACGATACTGGGGACAATTAGCGTAACATTATGGCGTCAAAAAAACAAAACAAAACAATGAGCAGTATAGGGCGCAAACAGCCTTACAACGTCAAAAACGACAAGCGTCACATTTTTTACAAGTTTACTCAACCTAAAAATAAAATACTTTATCCTTATCTAATCATTACAAAATTTACAGGGTAGCAAGATCTCGAGGACAATATTTCTAAAATGTTTTTGAATTTTGAAAAACGGTCAAGAAATCCACTTGGGGCGTTAGTAAAAATTGATATGTATGGAATTTGTGGTAAAAAATCGATGCGTCACATTTTTTCAAGTCTCGAAAACCAGCTCTTATTTTGATATTATTTGCAAAATAAACAAACCGGTTATTGTTTTGTAAATTTCGCCATGACAATATTGTGCAGTTAAATTTTCTTTCAAATCAGACCTAAATTAGAAGGTTAAATGAAGGTAAACTTATTGCTCGTCCCATTTGCCTTCAAAACCTTACACAATTTTGAAAATTTTAAAAGCGTCCGTATAAGATAATTTGAAATGTAGACGTAAAGCAATTGTGACGTCATAAATGCAAATGTTCTATTGAATAAATTGTGAAATTTAAGTGGGATTTTGATCATTATTTGAAAAGTTATCTCAATTTCAACGAGCCCTGTAAGCGTAAAGTGTTACGTCTTACAGCATATTTGACGATGTCGGAGTATATTTAACTTTAAAAATGTGTTGGATCCCATCAAAATTTTGAAGGAAAACAATTTCATTGAAATGCAAATAGAAAATACTTCAAAATGATATGTAAAACGCATAGTTGGCTTTTTAAATAAGGCAGAGATTAACGTTCAAAGCTGAGATAAGCCCGCATTTCCCGAATTGTCCCCAGGTCCGTGCACGTCATAATATTGTTTTAGATTGGCATTCAGTATTCATGAAATATTCAAAAATATTAGATGGATTATGAGATCAATGAAAATTATGTATAATAGAAAAATTTGTAAAGTATATTAAAATATAATATAATTTGAAAATCAGCAAAAATTAACAGCAGTGAAACTTCAAAATCACATAAATATAAAATGCTATATAAGTCCACTCGCGTAGCTCAGCGGTAGCGCATGTACCTCTTACGCAATAGGTCCCGGATTCGATCCCCGGTTCAGGCAAGACTAAATTTGCTTGTTTGCGTGAAGTACTTCAGGGTTTTTGACTGAGTGGTCCGCAACTCGTACAAAAGGCTGTGGTGTGTACTTGTATGTCTATGTATAAGTGCACATAAAAGAACACAGGGCTCCTTCAAGGAGGGGTTTCTGGGTCTATCTTCCAGGTTAATTACGTAAATTACGACCGTATATATACGGGATATACCCAAGAGGTATTGCTCACCTTCATTGGTGGTAAACAAAATACAATACAATACAATATAGCATTGCAATTTACCTATATTTGGTTTTACTATTAAAATAATAAATACTCAACAAGGCCATAACTTTCAGAGTTGATAACATAATATAACTGACACAAAAAAATGCATTAGCTAGAACTGTGATTTGGTTTTACACTTTTATTCCCAGAGATTTTAGTGAAGATTTGATTTTGATTTTGAGATCTGACTAAAGTGAGTGCCAAATTAAAACAATATAGTACATGACTACATGCACAGTGGTTATTTATCAAATACTTTGTCATTAGACTTGCTTAACAGTCATATTAAGAGTCATTTTAATTTTTAGGGAGGAAAATATGATATATCTGGAAGAATCAAGCTGATTTTAAGAATTCACGAAAGGCAAACAATATAATGGGTGAATTCCAGTTCTCTATTGCATTCAATGGTATGCTTGTATAGATGCAGAGATGGATAGATGCCCATGAGCACGGCTTAACAACACATGACACATAGTTTTTATTATGAATTATTTTTGTATTATTACCACCTTACCGGGCCTGTTCTAGGGGTATTAGTGCTAGTTTAGAAGGCATTCATTTTATTTTACTATATATCGACCTGTCAGTGAGTAGTTTGTGACGTTATAGTGTTGGGCCATATTGCCGAACAATAATGCAATTTACAACTTGCAATTTTCCCCGGAAAATCAGTTCGTAAGATTTTCTTGCTATTTCAGCCCTGATCATTAACGGTGGTAATAATACTAATAACATCATTTCTGCGGGCAATATAGTAAAATATTGGACCTTGGGCCTTCGGCCCTTGGTCCAATATTTCACAATATTGCCCTTCGAAATGACGTTATTGTACTATTGTCTTAAAAGCATTGTCCAAACTTAAAGTGAATAGATATTATGCTGTTTTTGCAGATAAGTTCAGTGGTATTTTGTGATCAAAGAATTACATTATACTCATGAGACAGTCTTGGATAATGCTTTACCTATGTATATATATGAACATGTTGTTATAGTTTTCCAGAAAACACAAATGCCACAAGAATAACTAACTAAAGAGTTGTTGGGGTAAAGATCCACACACATGTAATTATAAGTTGATTTTAGGCCCCCAAACATGTCTGTTTAGTGGCTCTTACATTTAATAAATAGCTCCCTGGTCAAAACTATTTTCAGGCAAAAATGATGATATATTCATCGTTTTAACAAGTAAATTAAAAAGTAATTGGTCTCCAGGATGTTTTGCTAAACAGACATTTAACTTGTTCAGGCCTTATGGTGATCAAATTGTCACTGTGTCAACATTCTTGTTTCGCCCTATAGAGAAAAAGGCGAAACAATTTGCAATTTCTTACTATAAGTGGCATAAGTGGATATAGTTGGGTGGCATTTACAAAACATGCTCATGTGAACTTTCATATCATTTCATAGTTGGATTATTCATTTGCATTAAAACAGAAAACGTGGTACAATTAACAAGGTTACTTGGATATTCTTTCTCTTGGACAATACTTGTTTTTGTGACTTGTAAGCAGTGTCTGGATATGTGCAACCATTTGAAATTCTGACTTGGAATTCTTACTGAGACCTCATTTACGAACTGAAGTTATTAAATCAAGTTTATTTCACTTTTTATTTTGGAACTTAAGAGTAAAAATATTTTCACCTCTAAATCACATTTTTTCACTGGAATTTTGAATTCATCGATTTTTGTGCATAGAATCATTGAATCATGGAAGAGTGGGTTCAGAGGCGAAACGCACCCATCTGGGTAAAGCACTTTATTAATTCATCAAACTCTTTTATATTAGCAGGTGTGAAATTGATATTTCTGATTATTTCATATGGATACCATTATCAACAACTTTATATTTAGAAAATTTATTTATTTTTATAATTTACAATTTGAATAAATTCAAGATTTTACTATAAATGACATCCAGGTAATGCAAAATGCCATATTTGAGCTCTTCAGTTTTTTTTCAATTATTTTCTTTTCTCAAGAATTACTATGAACTTGTCAAAATTTCTAGTTCATTAAGCACTTCTTCATCATTTTTTCTTATATCATGATCATTTTGTTGTAGTATCAGAAATGCAACAACAATTCCTCAAAGTTATTGAACAACCTGATACTACTCCAAAAAGATCCGTCCAGCATCTGAAATCGTGGATTTATTTTAGAATACTGATGCATGTCAGCTCTTCATTGACTATGACAAGAGCCATGGGAATTACATGGTTGATGTTGACGGGAATGTCATTCTGGATATGTTCGCCCAGTTCTCCTCAACTCCTGTGGGGTACAACAATCCCACCTTGTTGCAGGCTATAGAGGAAAATCAGAGTATGTTTGTTAACAGACCTGCACTTGGAAATCTTCCACCAAAAGACTGGGCAGAGAGACTTAAAAACTCTTTGTTGTCTGTAAGTAGATCTTTGATCAATTGTAAATGCTTTGTTCAATCTTAATATTAGATACACATGCACAATACACGATTTGATTGCATTATCTGTAAATACTCATGTTAGGCGTCTACTGCATTCATTTCTAAACAATAAATAACTTGAAATCACATCTGTTCTCTCTATTCCTTGCTATTTTCTTTTTTTATGCTCTAAAGTATTTCTTATTTAAATATTTGACTGTTGTCTTGTATCTCCAGGTTAGTCCTAGAGGGTTGAACCAGGTGGTCACTATGGCTTGTGGCTCATGCTCCAATGAGAATGCATTCAAGGCTATGTTCATGGCATACAGAGTGAGATATACTTTGTTGTTAGTTTTTGCTTTTGATATGGTTTGAAGAGCTTTAATCCTGCATTGAGTCTCTCTTGTAGACTTAGATTTTCTGTTGTCTTTAAATTAGACAAGATTATGCAGATTTGGCATTAGTTTTCTTATTTTTGTGATATCGCAATAACATCGCATCATGTTGTTTCTGTGATCATAATAGATTTTGGTAATGGTGATATCCATAAAATTTAGAACAATACTAAATGGGAGCATAGATAAACTGATATTTGTTGTTTGTGATCTTAGAGACTATTCAGATACTAGAAATAACTCTTACGAGTCTGCCATTAAGTGGAATCACAAAAGTGGCCCTTCCCTATTGTCTGTTGAGTCAGATGAGAAGACCTGTCTTAAACATATATACATATAGTAATATTGATAAATAGCAATAGGTCAGTTTCAAATTCAATGAAATAGCCCACAGACTGTTAAAAATTAAGTAACCATGTCAGCTACAGTATGTCAAACCATTTTCTCCAAAAGGAGAAATTGTTTATTTTAAAACTTATTTTCCAGAGGCGGGAGAGAGGAGGAAATAACTATAGCCTTGAAGAGATGGAATCGTGTCTGAAGAATGAGGCTCCAGGTTGTTCAGATCTCAGCATTCTGTCCTTCTATGGGGCGAATCATGGTAGGACAATGGGTAAGTGAACACATACTTAAACAAATGCTGTTTTAAAAGGCATTTATATAAGATGTCTAAATTGTGTTCTAAGGATCATTTAAAGAACTTAGACTCCCAGTTTGTTCTCTCAGCTGTTTTATGCCTACAAATGACAGGTTCAGGCAGACTTAACAAAACAATCAGAGTAAGAGGTGAGTCTAAAGAGAAATGATTGTTCCAGGTTCCCTTGCTGCCACCCATACAAAGTGGGCTCACAAACTTGACTTCCCAACAGTTGATTGGCCATTTGCAGACTTCCCTAAACTTAAATATCCACTGGAGGAATATGTTGATGAGAATAGGAAGGAAGAAGAGAGGAGTCTAGGGCAGGTACCAATGAAGACATAATGTAGTGTAGTGTAGTGTAGTGTAGTGTAGTGTAGACCTATAGTGATACTAAAAAGAGGGTCGATTTTTCAGAGGAACTATGTAGATTTTCAGAGTGCTGAGGGGCTCTTTACTGTAGAGCTCATAATTGCTTGAAATTGTCATGTAATTACAATGACCATGCAATTGTGATTTTGACCAAAATTATACCAACTTCACAATTTTTTAACAAAAAATCTAAGAATCAACCACAACAAAATGCAGGGTAACATTTTTTCTCAGCTCACAAAAGATGATCTGAATGCTGTGAAACTGATTAAAAATGTTCAAATCTAGCAGTTCTTATAACATGGGAACTGCAATATACACATATTTCTTATTGTACTATTTCCTTAGGTATGTGATCTCATAGAAAAATACAATAAGAAAGGCAGACACGTAGTTGGTGTAGCAGTGGAACCAATCCAAGCTGAGGGAGGAGACAACTATGCCTCACCAGAATTCTTCAGGGCACTACAGAGGATATGCAAACAGGTAGATTAGTATAATGCACATGATGAAATGTGTTTCAATTTTGTTTTGACAATCATTTTTCATTTGTTGTTACTTGCATAGATATCTATTTTCTCTGGTGTTGAACCAGTGGATGCTATACATAGATTGTATTGTAGCTGTTGCCACTTTCAAGCATCATCTTACCATGCGAAGACTACATATTGTTAAAAAAACACAACCCCGCTATATCTTGACTAGATATTAACCAATTGGATCAAACATTTGCATTTAAACCAATTCATCATCCAAATATTAACCCTGTCACGACGATAAGCTCCATATGGAGCCCTATTATGTCATACTTTTCAGGACGATGGGCTTCTTTTGGCACCATTGCAACATTAAAATCATCCATGTATGAACCTATTCTGATTATTTCACTTAATATTGCAGAATGGGTGTTACCTATTGGTTGATGAAGTACAAACAGGTATGGGCAGTACAGGATCTATGTGGCAACATGAAACTTGGGGCCTGGACACACCACCAGATGCTGTTTCCTTCTCTAAGAAAATGATGACTGGCGGCTTTTATTATTCTGATGAACTTCGACCATCAGAGGTTTGATATTGTTTTGTTTGTTTTTCAGTTATGATTTTTCAATCAGTTTTAAGGTCAACTCATTAATTCTAGATCCATGTTTTACAGGTGTTCATAATGTTGATTGCTAATTGCATAACCACAGGGTGTTTATTTTTTTTCATCCATGTATATCAAGATTACAAAGTGTTCAACTTGTAACATCCATGAATATCAAAGCTACAATTTCAAATATGGATTGATGTATGTATTGCATATTGCATGTATTGCATAACAGTACAACAGTGTGTTTTTTTCATTCTTGTATATCAAGGTTACAAAGTGTTGAAAATGTTGTTTGATTTATGTAATTCAGGACTACAGGGTGGGTGTTGAACATGTTTCATTCATGTATTTTAAGGCTACAGGGTGTTCAAAATGTTGCTTTATAAATTTCAGGGCTACCGTGTATTCAACACATGGATGGGTGATCCGGGACGTGTGGTTCTACTGGAGGCCTTAATCAAGGTAGTGAAGCAAGAGGAACTGTTAAGGAATGTGACCAGGTCAGGGCAGACTTTGCTACAGGGAGTTATGAGCTTACAGGTATGCAGTACTATATGCCTTAATCACCTTATGCATTTTTGATATCATTTCCATGTTTGGAAAGATCATGATTCATGACCCAATGATTCCCATGTATAGGCATTATTCTTTCTAAAGCATTCTTGAGGCAAATCTTGTTGTCTCACCTACTTACTATTCAAATTCATAGTGAAGTAAATTATCCTTTCCATTGGCACCCAAAATGGAGATTCTAGTTCAGCTCATGCAGATTTTTTTCATTCCCATAAATAGCATGTCTATATAGCACTACAACATGTATTTAATGTTTTCAGAATGAATATCCTCATTTGTTGAGCAATGCCCGAGGTTCTGGGGCATTCCTGGCAATAGATGGCAGTTCAGGATCATTTAGGGACACATTAGCAGTCAGGTTAAGAAATGCAGGTATGAAGATTTGTAATAATAATGGTGAGGGATACATCTTTGGTGGTGGCAAACCTTTTTCTTGATATTATATTGAATCAGACATGCATGTAAATTAATTCACTGTTCACTGAGTGCCCTAAATGGTTCCATAAAGGAATGACCAGGTGGATACAGTTTTAAGAAAAATTTTCAACATCAATTTTATTCCCTGGTGTAATTCAGTTTGAAATAATATTATCATAGCACAAAATTCCACATTCAAGTTCCATACCATGTTGCACCCCTCATAGGTTCAAACTTTGGGCTTAATGTTCTTTCAGGTTTACACACAGGGGTCTGTGGCCCAAGGACTTTACGCTTTCGTCCTATGTTGATCTACAGAGAGAAGCATGCCTTTATTGCATTGGACATCATGAGAGACACTGTCAGAGAGATGAATGATAAAGTATGGTGAGAAATAACTCAGGAGAATCAGTGTTACTAAATATTATATTTGATATAAACAATGGCGAGGTCTTTGTTTGCAGAGATATTTTTAAACATTAAGTGTATGAGAAAAATAGCTACAAGTGTTTACTTCAGATGAGTCCATTTGAAAAGAAGTGCACGTTTTATTTACATGTTTTATGTACCATCAGTGTTTCCAATATATTGTGGGTAGATTTGTATAGCACAAATTGGTTCCTCCATTTACTGTATCTGATTTTAAATACTTGTGCACTCCAGCCTATATGGTTTCTCATACACTTAAGAGAATACACTTATATTATAGATACATGTGGTGGTAACAGCCTTTTATCTGTGTACACCATTGGAAGTGAAGCACTTCTAAGTGTTTAAATTAATTGTTATTGAAGTATTAATGTCCTGTAGCCCATATGATGTGTATTTATGTCCTGTAGCCCATATGATATGGACCAGAATGTATATAGACTTTTCAATATTTATAAACAAATGTACATAGTTTATAGTATATATTCAATAGCTCATCCTATGATATATTGTTTTGCATTAGCTTCATACGTATTTTTAGAGATGTTTTCAATGTTGCTGCTTTTTTATTTAGCTAATTGATCTGCCATGAAGTGGAATATTATACAAATATTGAATAATGTGGCGTTAGGTATCTGTGTATATTTCTGAGGGTCTATTCAGTAGGTCTGATATAGGATCAAGTATGGCATTTTGGCCAATACTTAACCAATATTTTAAGCATCAATTTTACTCTCATTGTATTTCCCAGATGAGTTTTATGGATATTACAATGTTATTAATAGTGAAACTCAAAACCAGTCTACAGTTGTCTTCTCTCTTTGAAATCCGCTTGATTATTCTTAAGGACATGGAGATTATAGGTTGATTACACAAGAGAGCATGTTCTGGATATCCATCATTTAAAATGACTACGACTGGGTATTGTATGTATATATAACATGTATCATATCAACAAAATAGTATTCTTGATTGTAAATAGTTTATATTCTCAAATACCTTGTAACAAAACATGTTTATGTATTGAGTTAGGTTATATATCATTTCCTATAGACAAATGAACTGAATAAAATACACCAACAATTTGTACATTGTTCAATGCTAGAAATAAATAAAATGCAATACGATATAATATTGATGTTTTATTCATGCAATGAAAGCGGATTAAAATAACATGTATGTTATCTGGCTCATTAGTAATCACCCACTCGCCAAATTAGTGACTGAGTGGATGCAGTGAATTAAACAGATTATGGTCACCACAAAATACTAAAACCAATTTATCTTCCAGAGTTTCTCACTAATACACACACTTTGTATTTATTTATTTATATAGTGGTCAAAGGAATGCTTGTGGTGCTTTGAAGAGAGAATTTTCTTTTTGATGTACTTCTCTAAAATACACCCAGTTTATATTACTGAGAAACTCTACTGACATTTCTTTAACAAGATGACATCAAATCATCATAACACATGCAATCTAAAAACACTGAACGTTTGTGTGCTGGTGATTTCCAATATGCGGTCATCTCTTGATTAACTTATTCTATCTAAATAATCATGCCCTGACGTACCGGATGCTTCAAGAAACCACAGGTTTTGATAAGAAATTACATTGACAAAATGTTATGCCAAGACCCTATATCCTCAATACTCACTCTGAGTTAGCGGTTAGTGGGAGAGCATGATGTATTGAAGCAAAATTACAAACAGTTTGTTAATTTTTCAGGAACTCTTTTATCAGCATAATTTCTCATAGCCTTTTAAGAGATCGTGATTAAACTTCTTCCATGTGCACAAAGTATGTCAAATAACCCTACATTTAAGTAAACAAGAATGTATGCTCACATTTTTTTCTAAAAACGCGTAATAAATCCAAATTTTTATTTTATCAAGTTGTATGTAAGATTAAAGTAGATGAGCCATGTCTTAAAATCTTAACTATGACAACAATGTCAGCCATACAATAATCACACACTTTTGCTTGCTTTCTAAAAATCCAAACTAAAAATGAAAAATTAATAATAGCATAAGCAAGGATTATCATTTTGTGATTGATTTTGTAAAAATTCAAAAGATTAATAGCCTTACAACCATTTAACATGATGCTTTTAAAATCTAAAAATTAAGGAAATGGTCTCCAAGAGGGATTTATATACAAGGAACAATGAAACCATAAATAAGTTCTACACTGACTTATACATGATCAGAGATCAATTCATGTTGATAAATGTTACTGCAATCTCATCAACTTTTCACAGGAGACTTTGTTACACTAGCATTAGAGTTCTCTTTTTCCATAGCATTTCCTACTGCCCCAAAAGGGGTGCCATTCTGTCCTAATGAAGGAGGTTGGTGATGAAATCCTTTCTTATTCCGCCTGTTTCGCTTTGACGGCTTTTGAGGCTCATTTTGAGGTTTCACAGAGTGATGCATTTCCATTGCTCTAGCACGTCCTACACGATGTTGACGTGTATTACTTGCTGTTGCAGACACATATGGGTGTGGTTTGGTTATAGTCCCCACTGCTTTTGTCCGCCCTTCACGGAATACTAACTTTTGATCAGGTTTCAGATATTCTGGGTTTTTGATGAATCTAAAACGGACATTTGCTTTGTCGCCTGTTCGTAAGTGGCCAGAGTCCATATGCATTATAGTGGCTGTCTGTCTGACACTGCCTACATGAACTGAAAATAAAATCATTACATCATCAAAGACAACATCAAGGTAAAAAGTTGGATTATAAAAGTCCACATAAAAAGAGAATATATATAAGAGCATCCTCTTAAGCAGGTGTCCAGAATCCGTACCTCCTTCTTCCTCCCTGCTATAAGCAGTTAGCATTTCCCCGATTAAGAAGCAATCATGTATACGCCACCAGCGCATAATTAGATCATGTGATTCAGTTTCATCAGGTGCTTCCAACTTGATTATAGCAGGGGGCAAAAAGAAAGAAGATATTCTGAATTTTGAAGCCCTGTGATCGGAGGATGATATAAGATTTGCCGTCTGTGTTTCACACTGGTGTTGAAAATTTCAACCAGACATTTATTTTTAGTTACACTAGAGAAATCGGAGTAACTCCAAAAAGCAATGCTCAACATGGTAACAAACCAGTTACTTATATAAAATCAAAAAATCAAATATAATGTGTACTGACCCATGGCTTGATAACGCACACTGATAGTGGTGGGATGATGGAGCACCAATACTTCAGCATCGAATTCCCAACTGGCCTTTGGCTCTAGCTTTGGGGATAGCATCATCATTCCTTTTCGGATCTGTGACCTTTTGATCTGCAGAAATCAAACAATATGAAGAAACAAATAGACTAAACGTAAATTAAAGAAAACTAGTGTATCTTGCTTGTTGTTGCTTGTCTTGGTCTTGTATGCGGATAAACTTTTGATGAAAATGAAAAAATGAAAGCAATTTAAAATGAACTCAATTGTGCCTTAATGTTTCAAGATATTTTTTGTTAAATGATAATTACTTTTTTAAGAGCAAAGGAGGCAGTTTGTCCCCCTCTGACTTCCTTTACTGGCATTCTCTTCCTGTGTATGCTCTTTACTGTAATTGGTAGAAATGCTCCCAGAGCATCAGGGCCTAATAATAGTGTATCGTTAATACCAATCACGCCTTTTAAAGTAGTTCCAGAAACCACTGTTCCTACACCCTGAAGCGAGAAGTGACAATACATTATATCATATTTTATTCCATAATAACATATTTCCCCTGGCAAATAAACAGGGAAAAGAATTTATATTCAAAAAATCCTTTGTCATATCCCGTACCAGCCAAAATTAATAAAAGTTATATGTTATATATGATATATCAAAGGGTATCATTTCATGTCACCATCATTAGGTGATGACAAATCAAATTTGAAAAATGAATAAGTTTCAGAAAAATATTATATATTGATGGTCGTGATGAAATAAGAATTTTTTCCTGATTATTTTTTTTTTTTTTATTATTATATCTTGGTTACCGCCATATTTGGCGAGCAATACCTCATTGGTATATTCCGTATTTTACGTATTTTACACTCGAAGATAGAGCCAGAAACCCCCCCTTGGAGGAGCCCTGTTTTCTTTTATGTGCACAGGTACACAGACATACAGGTACACACCACAGCCTTTTATACGAGTCGTGAACCACTCAGTCAAACACCCAGAATTACATAACGCACAAACAAACTTGTCTGAACCGGGAATCGAACCCGGGGCCAAGCGATATTGGTAACCTTGACTCTCTCTGCCACTGAGCCATAGCGGGTGGACTATGATGATATTGGCTCTGGAAAATTTCATAATGAAACTCGGGCCGTTTCTTTGAAACTGGAATTCTAATAATTTATTGTGATATAGCTGTGTATGGAGACTTACGGGTACAGAGAAGGTATCATCAATCTGGAACTCTGCAGGTTCAGTAGGACAGAACAACATCCGCGTTGACAACAGGTTTAGAAAGAGTTTTAATAAATCAAGGTTTAAACCGGACACATTTGACACTTGGAAGATTGGACAGACTCTGAAAATAAACAAATGTTTTCTAGTAAACACAATGTGTATGTCATGGATTTATTGTAAAGATTTTTAGCCCAATTTGATGTTGCTATACCTCGACTCAGAGACATAAACTACTCTATGTACATCAGGGTTTTGTAAATAGAGTGTGGAGATTTTAGTTATGTGTTGTCCCATCTACTCTTTCCTAACATATCAAAAGCTGAAGCATCTTACTTTTTGCAAATCATCTGTATATACATACTTTTCTAAGTCAGCTTTCTAGATTATTTGAAATGGTAAATGTCCATCTATGGCTAATGTTCAGAAACATACTTGCGAGTCTAAAACCTACCTCTCAGAGCTGAAGTTGGTTGCTGTACATATGACATCATCACGATTTTGTACAAGGACGGGGATTTTTCGACAACCTGGCGACTTCAGCAGACGTTGGAGCATCTTCAGAGTGTCAGAGAGAACATTCTCAGGACACATGTCAATCTTAGTCACAACCACAAAGACTGGAACACTGAGAGCAAGAGCAAGCCCAAGGTGCTCTTTACACATTCCGATTACTCCAGCATTCGCTCCAACCTGGAACAGCCATGTTAAAGTTCATATTTATTTTTGAATTTTTGATATAATCAACAGGTTAGAAAGATTCTTCCCATTTATATTCTACATGTGGAAGTAACTCTGCAAGAAAAATTTATCAAACCCAAAAATAATTCTAGTTCTTTTAGGGTTAATATTGTTGCATCACAGTACAATTTGTATTTTGAGAGATTTAACTCTCCATCTGGCAGTCTAGCCTCCATTTTAATGGTGTCCAGTCCTATACCATACACAATTAAAGGCCCCATGTAAAGTTTAAACCACTTTGGCTTATATTGTAGTCTTACTCAATGTTATCAAAGTGTGATATGTGAAACTTTTTTTTTAAATTTCAAAAAGTGGTTTTTGATAGACTTTTTGTTCCACAATTTGTGAATTTATTTAAAACCAACTTTTAGAGGTCACTCATATCTTCTAATTAGCCACAATTCATACCAATGCATAGCATTCATCCTCCCATGTTTTTTACCGAAAAGATTAAGAAAATCGGTTGATAAACAAGCGAGAAATGAACTTATCAGTGCATGAAAATGGTTCTGAGAAAAATGCATTTCAAAATTTTAGTTCTCATAGAAACAAATGGTACAATGATATCTAAAACATAATTTATTCTTCCTTTTAACCTGGTTCAACAATCAACATTGTTTTTATGAAAGTCTAGCATATTTAGAAAAGATTGACATCGAAAAAAAAAATTCAATTTTTTTCAAAAAGCTTTTGTTACCTTAGTGACATCACTAATGTTTCAAAATATTTTTGATAAGCTAAAACATTGAAGTGGCCCATTAAATATGACATTTTATTATTGAATAGTGTGTCTTTTGTTCAATCTTTGCATTGGTGTTAAAAAGATAATTTTTTGAAATGCATTCAGAAATATTTGATGATTAAGAAATTTCAACTTTTTTTGAAATATGGCGGGAAATTTAAATATTTGGGAAATGAAATGCTTACAACTTTTTTTCAAAAAAATTTTTTTTTTCAAAAATCTCTAAAATCACTTTTTAAGTCTTGACAAATAGTAAATGAATGATAAAAAAATATTTTCAAACTTTAGACGGGGACTTTAACCCTTTTCCATAAAAATGGAAAATAGATGGCATCATGGGTATTGGTAGGGCTATGGTAGGGCTAGAATACATGTAAATGTATTGGCAGAGTCACTTAGTTCCTTGATTTAGGAAGTAATTCCATTTGGATCAACTTAAAACACCATTGGAATGTAACTCTATGATCTTATTGACATGTGGATTGTGATTTCACATTAAAATTGTGATCTTTGTAAGAGTAAATGAATTTTTAAAGGTTTTTCAGCATTGTGTCAATAGGGATTTAGCCCAACCTTTTTTAGACAACTAGAAAATCATTAGAATTTGAATGGTGGTAAATAACAGTGCAAATCAAAGTTGTTTTGATAGAAAATTACACAAGACTTTAACGAGATTTCAAAGCTATATGGAAAAAGGACCAAACCAAGGTTCACAGTCGATAAACAGTATAAAATATTATATCACGTTGACTAAATTTTGAGTATCTAATGATTAAAATGAAGATAATTTCAACTCTGATCAAGTCTATATTGGCCTGTTATGACTTGATATTTGTACCAGTTCTTGAGTACCAGTTCTTGATTTTGACTTTGGAATGATTAAATTGGGGTTGAAACAAACAAAGGCTTGGTAAAACAAGATAATTTTCAGGGCCTTTTAAATCACTAACCATTAGGGGTCGCTACCTACCATTAGCATAGTGAAGTCTGGCGCATGTCCAGTCATACCGAATACAGTTGTTTTCAAGTACCTCTCGTGGCCAGCTAGATCTATAAATGTGATGACCTGAAATTGAAATTGGCAATGAAAGTATATAATTTATCTTAATAAAGAATTGGCAACAAAACAATAACAATCATATACTTTATTACAAGACATCATACTGATTTATTGGCTTTTCGGGATATTGTACAAAACCCGGTCCTTTTTTATAAAACAATCTTACAATAAGATATTATGACATAACTGATAACACTATCAAATATTGGGGTTGTTTTTCTGTTTTAACTAATACCTTAACACTCATTCACTTGGAATTTCACAGGTATGAAGTTAAAAATATAATTGATAGGTGAGTATGACATTCATTTTCATTCAAAGTAATTTAAAGACAAAAAAAATGTTTTATTTTAGCAAATCTGTTTGGAAGGTTTTAATAAAGTTACACAAGGGCTGCTATCATAATCATTCCAATATTCCCCAGGCAATGTCACATTGTGAATTGGAAGTAAATTACATACACATGCAATATTATTACATAATTCTATATTAATACAAACAACATTAAAATTAGCAAAACAAACATCTATGAAACTAGTATTTTTATTCGCGAATGCAATTTTGGGCTGTCAGCTACCTGATTAATAGGGGTGAGACGACAACCCGATGAGTCGAGGACTCGCGGGTTTGGGGCTTCGAGTCGAGTCGAATCGAGTCGAAGTTGATGAATCGAATCATTTTCGAGTTGAGAAAAAAATTTGAAAAAATAAAAAAATTCAGAAAAATACTGTCAATATGCATGTTTATACTCGATATTGCGTTGAATATATAAGTTTCAATGACTTGGATATGCTTGTATTAAATTATTATATTGTATGTACACATAAATGAAAGAATATATGTAATAAAATCAGAATAAACTTACGACGAATTGTGTTTGTTTATATTTCCGGCTTTCCACCATTGACGCATTAAAAATACGAACGGTCAAAAGCGATGTTGTTCGCACTTCGCGCGACTCGAAACGGATTCGAAACTCGAATCGTCATTTTCTGACTCGAATCGGATTCGACTCGAATCGGATTTTTTCGACTCGTCTCACCCCTACTGATTAACCTACTATTTTATGACCAACTCATTTATATGTGAATGGAATATTGGCAAGTACTATTCATATTCGCGAATACAAGCTGAGGTCTGTGTGAGACATCAGTTTAATTGCCAACAATTTTTTTAATATATTTTGATAGGCTCACTTACCTTTGCGGCTTCTTCACAGATACGAGTCCAATCTAGATTCCCATGATCGGCTTTATTGACAACATTCCCAGTTGTATCAAATCCTAATATATCATTTCCTACACTGCTTGTTCGACCCGATTCCATCTCGTGTTTGTGACGGAAAAGTTTCTGACGAGCAAACCCCCGACCATTGTCGAGAACACCATGAGTAAGAACTCCTAATAAGGTACTCTTTCCAGCGTCAACATTACCAACAACTGCCACCCTAAAAATATGCAAATTGGTAGATGAAAAAAAGGTACAATGTAAAGGGGCAATTTACCAATGTTGATGCTATAATTAAGAATCAAATAAACATAAATGGGTAGCTGATGTTTACTGCAATATAACCAACCACTGAACACCCACCAACCATCAAATGCCAAACACCAACTGCCTGAAAGCATCCACAAAAAGTTGGAGACCATAACAATATATCACCACTTTTAGTGGTGACATAATCACCACTTTTAGTGGTGACATAAAAAAGGGTAACGTAAATATTTTGGATGTCACTCCACATACCTGACTTCCATAAAATCTGAGTCGTCTGCTTTTTTCCGTATCAAGTGCTCTGCAACATATCCCCCTTCAACAGATCTTTTCCTCAACTCGACACACTCGCAATCCAGAGTCTGAGCCATGCTACACAGTGTGGCAACTGAGGCACTGTAATCTTCCTCACTCAACCCTGGTTGCTCCCCCTCTATAGAAACACAAAATTGGTTTCATTATTTGACAGTCTATCGTGAAAATTGTGAAAACAAGAAATCTACTTGAGGAGATAAAATTCTAGGGAGGACATTGAGTGAGGGAAGAAAGTGAGTGGTTTATCAATGATAATTTGGTATGTTCAAGGAATAAAAAGAGATTTCCCCATGATTTCATTTTTATCAGCAAATAGATGCTTTTGCTGGTAGGAAATATCACAAAAAATCATAAGATGATAGACAAAACATGGGGGCACGATTGGTGTTAAATTTGAAAAATTGAAGACTAGAAAAATCTAAATTCTGCACAAAAAATCTGAGTCTGAATAAAAATAAAATTTTCAGAAAATGGAAATTTTGGATACATGTATACATACATGTATGTATTTGACAACACATCCAACTGTAAAGTGTTTACCTCCAGTGCCAACTTCATATATAGTTTCTCCCTGGCTTTCACAAATTCTTTCTTTCAACATATCAAGTAATTCATCATACTCTTCTTCTGTTGGGCTCACCAGGATTGTCTGAAGTAAAAAGAAAAGAAAATGAAGATAGTATTTGTGGCTGAAGAGTAGTAATATGCATGGGGTAGAAAAATTGTACAATTTTGGTCAAGACTCAGAGCAAGACATTTTTCAAAGAAATATCAAGGATTTCGTACACTTTTCTAAAAAATACATCATCCAATGTTCTTCTACAGAAATTTTGTTGAAGATACCACTGATACAACATGAAGTTATTCAAAATGGTGCATACATCCTCAAAAGTTCAAACCAGACCTCAGTGAGAATCTGAAGATCCAAATTTAGCTGAACATACCATCAAGCTTGCTGCTAATATGTATACAGCCCCATACCTTAGTCTTGATTCTATTATAAATCTTATCATATTAACATTTTTAAGAAATATATCTTGGTAAGGCATTGGAGCATTTATCTACTCTAGTAATTTACAACTTCTAGTGTTTTATCATGCTAGAATATAGCATCTTTGGTTCCCACATTCAATCACTACATCCTATCTGAGGATAGGTCCGATGCTTGATGAAGCAAGATGAGAATATAGTGCAGAAGCATAAATTTGAAATAATTATAAATACATGTAGTCCTGTCCAGTGTGCCTAGATAAATAGCAAGCTTTTTATTCTTAAGTAAATCTGATTTCTGGGGTGTGATAGGTGAGATCGCACCCATCCCCACCCTCACAAAAAGAGAATTTGTAAAATTTTTGAAAAAACAGTTACAAACTAATTGTTCAAATTGCTTTAATGCACCATACACAATGTAAATTAAAAATTATCCGGGGGTGAAGCCCCTTACCTTCCTTTTTGGGCTTTGCTCCCAGTGATGCAAACCTAAAAAAATCGCACCCCATTGACAATTGCTGGCTACACCCCTGTACAGTGTGATAGAACTTGAATAAAACAGAATTAAACCTTAACATTTAAAAAATAGATCTACAGTTTGATTTCAACTTATTTCAAAGTTGAAGGGAAACTTCCTGGTTGGCCCATACCCTTCAGCTCAATGTGAGGATAGAACAATATTTTATGGAGAATATATAATATTTTAAACGCAAAATGTTTGTATATTTCAGATATATTAGCCTAGTTTTATGTGCAGTAAACCCATGGCTTATAATTTATGGAGCTTCAGCCATGATAACTTTTTTATAAAAACAACATATCAGAGAAGCCTCAAAATACAAGAGACCACACATCTGTTTAAGTTATGGAAACCACCAACAATCCAAAATCTAGTATTTTTCTGTATAATGTTATACTGATCTTTTGAGAGACTGCCTATTAGATTTGCAGCACCCCAGCTCTGAAGAGTCAGCTATTAAGAGTTTTGACTTATATCAGACACCCTTATCAGATTTATGAAGACACTGCGCTTGTGGGCACCTTGTCTTTTGATTGCTTATTCCTTAAGTTTGTTTAACATATAAACTCATATTAGGCCATATGAAGTAGATTCTTTGTTTTGCATCCTGGCAAAAACCAAATCATGCAAGGGTACAAGGAAAACAAACACAAACTCAAGAAAAAACACAAGCTTGTTTGCTGAGAAATGTATACATTTTATGGGCATAAAGAGGGATGACAATACCAATTTGCATTGATTACAAACACATATCTATACAATTTGAATTTATACAATATATTTAAACATAGCTATTATTCACAGGTAAGAAATAAGAAAATACACAATGTATGCCAAAGTATTTAATAACACTGTCAATTTTGATGCACATCAAATTATCCGCCATTTCATCTGATTTTGATTGAACGAAACGCGATGGCACTTTCAGACCCTTATGATTGCTATTTGGATGTGTTTGTTTTTTCTGATTTACTCAAAATCGTGCAAGCAAGGGGACGCAAAACAAAGAATCTACTTCTTATGGCCTTATTGACATTAGCCTTCTGTACTCGTGAACAACCAAATAACTGGGCCAGTGTTGAGTATTTGGACTTGATCTCACCTTTGATGTTAGATTTGCCATGTCAATATCATCACCATTCTCAGCTTCTGCAGCGAATAAATTTCCGCCACCGAGGGAAACTTTTGACTCATCTCCAGGTGATAAAATGTCTCCTGGCTGCGTAACATGATGTAACTCTTCACTCAACGTTAAAGTTGCCATTGCTCCAGCCATTTAGAGATCCACAGTCTATATGCAGTTATGATTTGGGGATCAGATATAAACGGTGAGATGGAACGGATGAGTTCAAGTATGGTGAATGTGGTGGTAGCTTATTGGTTAGATAATGAGTATATCCAATACAACTAAGGAACTTGTAATATATGTCTAAACATTGAAAACAATAATAACAAACTTTTGTTTTGCAACTTTTCTCCAAAATATTTATAACGTCCTTGTAATCATTTTGATATATCCCAGTAGTTTGAGATGCAATCTACTGTATTTTGTTCCGTAGATATGTCTATATAAATGGGATCCTGATGCAACTATAAGAAATGAAATCGGCTAAGTATAGGTTTCGTAAATCCAAAGTGCAGGAGAAATATGTGTAAATTATATCATTACACCACCATGTCATCAGGCACGTTTGCGCAACTCACTGCGCACCCGGAAGTCATTTGTTCTACCCCAAAACTGATGACGCAAGTCTTGACTACACACTAATATAAGACGTTTTTCACAAGTGCCTGAATTTTCGGTTTTCTTTTCGAAAAATATATATTTGACATGTTCACTGGTATATGGGACTCAAACCACTTTTATGATTAAAACGTGCAGATGATGATTTTGATATGTAGCAGAAACTGACAGGTTAATATTTGTTTATTTGTTATACTATAGACGTCTAGACTCCACTGTCCTTAGCTTATCCCGTTCCCGGACTATGGTCCTGTGAACATATCAATCTTTTGCCTGTGCGATTACAACATGGGAGAATTTTTTACTCATCTTACACTTCTGATACCTACTTCAATAGATTCCTTGGTATTTTAGCATTCTTTTCGTGTAGTTGAATCCACAATTGTCTGGGTTTATCGGCAGAACGAAGACATTTTCGTTTTTGATCGCAATATTTGCGTGTAACATTGAACTTATTTCAACCGTCAAATTCCTCCATATTGGTACTTCCGGGCTACATCCGGGACAGCCAAACGGGGGATTCCCCTTTTAAATCCAACCGCCATTTTGAAAAGTGATGGAATCTCTCTCGATGAAAAAGAGAAATGTTCCCGTTCTGCCGATATACCCAGACAATCGGCGGTTCCAATATATTAGAAGTTACATCTTGAGTTCTATAATGCATTGAGGTAGGTATCTTAAGTGTAAGGGGCGTAGATAATTCTCCCAAGTTGTAATCGTACAGGCAAATGAATGCGCTCAGTGCAGGACTATAGTCCGGGAACGGGATTATCCTTAGCCTACCTATTTCAAAGACTGAATCACTCCATTTGACAGAAGGAACACTGACTCCGTTTAGTTTCAAACATACAGCTTAGGCCAGGGGAGAGGGTTTGTAGAAAAAACGGGTACCTTAACGTAAATCCTCCATGCTGGGTTCAAACTTGGTAGTACCCAAAAAATGAAAACTACGAATGTATAACCATGGGCATTAGAAAACGTGTAAGATTTGTTTTGAATTTACAAAAAATGTATGAAACTTCATTCAAAATTGAGCTAGAAGGTTCAAATAAAAAGTATTACATGTATAAGGCGTAATGGGGGGGGGGGGGTGCAAGCACACCATCGAACCCCCTCCTGGCTATGCTATGGTTTATTATTATGTCACCACCAAAAGGTCTCCATTTTTTTCCGACGGCGGTTGGTGGTTGGTGGTTGGAGGTTGGCGTCCGGCGTCCGGCGTCTGTAACAATTTCTTACAACTTCCTATAACTTAACAAATACTGTTTAGACTGACTTCAATTTTTTTCTAAATCATCTACATGTTCTCAGAAGTTCAAATCTGACTTTAGATTTGACATTTGACCTTCAATGACCTTCTCAAGGTCAAAAAGGTCTTTTTTCAACTTGCTTCACATTGACTAAATTTTTTTTCAAAATCATCTACATGTTCTCAGAAATTCAAATCTGACTTTAGATTTGACTTTAGATTTGACATTTGACCTTCAAATCTGACTTTAGATTTGACCTTCAATGACCTTCTCAAGGTCAAAAAAGGTCAAAAAGGTCTGTTTTCAACTTGCTTCAAATTGACTAAATTTTTTTTTCAAAATCATCTACGTGTTCTCAGAAATTCAAATCTGACTTAAGATTTGACTTAAGATTTGACATTTGACCTTCAATGACCTTCTCAAGGTCAAAAAAGGTCAAAAAGGTCTGTTTTCAACTTGCTTCAAATTGACTAAAAAAAAATTTCAAAATCATCTACGTGTTCTCAGAAATTCAAATCTGACTTTAGATTTGACTTAAGATTTGACATTTGACCTTCAATGACCTTCTCAAAGTCAAAAAAGGTCAAAAAGGTCTTTTTTCAACTTGCTTCAAATTGAATAAAATTTTTTTTCAAAATCATCTACATGTTCTCAGAAATTCAAATCTGACTTTTGATTTGACATTTGACCTTCAATGACCTTCTCAATGTCAAAAAAGGTCAAAAAGGTATTTTTTCATCTTGCTTCAAATTGACTAAATTTTTTTTTTTAAATCATCTACATGTTCTCAGAAATTCAAATATGACTTTAGATTTGACTTTAGATTTGACATTTGACCTTCAATGACCTTCTCAAGGTCAAAAAAGGTCAAAAAGGTCTTTTTTCAACTTGCTTCAAATTGACTAATTTATTTTTTCAAAATCATCTACATGTTCTCAGAAATTCAAATCTGACTTTAGATTTGACATTTGACCTTTAATGACCTTCTCAAGGTAAAAAAAGGTCAAAAAGGTCTGTTTTCTACTTGCTTCAAATTGACCAAATTTTTTTTTCAAAATCATCTACATCTTTTCAGAAGTTCAAATTTGACTTTACAAGTTCTCAAAATTACAAATCTGACTTTAGATTTGACCTTTGACCTTCAATGTCCTTCTCAAGGTCAAAAAAGTATTTTTTCAAATTTTTCAAATTTTTCAAAATCATCTACGTGTTCTCAGAAGTTCAAATCTGACTTTAGATTTGACTTAAAATTTGACATTTGACCTTCAATGACCTAACTAGGTGGTGACATTTTGTCATGTTAATGCCTTGTATTCAATTGTTTGATCACTGGGTAGAAAAAGTCACATTTACTTGTATTTACACTCAGAACAAATGTTCAAAATTGTCACATGTAAGGATATATTTGTCACATTTGTTCGTTTTTAAATAGTTTTATGCAAAAAAATATTTTCTACAGTTTTTCTTTCTAAATCAAAGTTATGAATATTATTGTTTGAAGAATTGGTAGTACTATCACAATTGACAACATCTATCTTTTTCACATATATTCCATGTTCTTCATCCTGATCTCCAGGTGCCTTTAATTACCCAAATGCGAGTAGGTAGTTACCAGTTTCACCACCAGGTGGCTGATTCGGGTCAATTAACATGGCAGGTATATGATAAAGTTCCCTTAAACTTGAATATTATCAATTTAAGTGGCTCAATTTTCATATAACCCTTATGTGTCTGATACTTATACTAATGAAAATATGTCCAGTAAAGCAAAATATTATCTGTCCACTAAAAGAAAAAATATTTCATTTTTTGTGATTTTATAGCATGGGGTCTATGGGGAATCTCCCCGAGCTAGAAGTCACATTTTCAAAGAAAATTATTTTTTCAAAGTTGATAAACACTTTTTAAAACCACATTTCTAGAAGTCATTTTACATGTAGATTTCAAATATGATATTACTTTGACTGGATTTTGAATTTTTAATGACGTAAATCAAGATTATTTCTACTCGCATCTGGGTTATTGGGTAGTCTGTGTCTGAAAAACTGACTAGAAGTACTTCAGGTTTTTATTTGGTATATATATCACCTTTCCCTTTGGCCTTAGTTGATTATCAATACTCTCAACGTTATTTTGATACTTGAATCATGCAGTCCCTTGCAAATCATAGGAATTCAGTAAAAAGCACACATTTGACATATCTCATTAAAGATTGCCAAAAAATGTTATAACTGACCTTTTCTAACAAATATGAAAGTTAAAAAACCATATTATGATAACAAGTTTGATAAAAATTCCAACCATTTGAAAGAACAAGCAAGAAAAGCCTATTTCAAGATAAAACAACAATACAATAAATTTAATGATATCCCGGTTAGTATCGCTTTGCATTTGTTCGATACACTTATTCTGCCGATTCTAAATTATGGTTCGGAGATATGGCTAGATCATAAACAAATGAAGACAATTGAAACAATCCATCTTAAGTTTTTAAAATCTGTTTTATGTGTAAAACCTCAGACATCAACACATGCAGTTTATGGTGATTTAGGCCGTTATCCATTGTATATAAAATTTGAAATACAACTATTAAAATATTGGATTAGACTCCTGAGACTATGCCCAAGTAATATATTATCTGAAACATATAAATATGAGCTTGAGTTACACAATCTTGGGTTTCCCTCATGGGCATCCAGAGTTTTTAAAATACTGGAAAAATGTGACATGTTAGAATACTGGGACAATCAGGAAATAACTGATGAGAAAATATTTTTAAAGGATGTAAATAGCACTTTGATGAGACAGTATCGTGCCGATTGGCAAAATGCTATTTTGTGTGCACCCATACTTAGAACATATTGTAAATATAAAACTAAATTTGAATGTGAATCATATTTAAAGTTAGACAATAGAAAGTATAGGCATTGTATTGCAAGATTTAGACTAAGTTCACACCAGTTGCATATTGAGACTGGGAGGCATTGTAAACCTGCCCCTAAACCTCTAAATGAGAGAAAATGTTCAACATGTAATTCTATTGAAGATGAAGAACACTTTCTCACAAGATGTAAAAAATATGTAACTCTTAGAGAATGTTTGTTTTCGAAATTAAAAGAAATAATTCCAAGTTTTGATTGTGATGACCCAGATATTTTTAAAAGGTTAATGGCTACTGAACACTTGAATGTTCAATTATACATTGGAAAATTTATATATCATGGATTCAAAATTTAAGTGTATATGTTTAATAGTGTGCATCACACTGTATAATAATTATTATTTGTAGTTAGATTAGTTGTAGTAGTAGTTTGTAGTGTTTTAGTGACTAATGTATCATGTTACTGATATAAATTGTCAATAAAAGATATAATAATATGATCAAAGCTCCTGGCATGAGAAAAAATAAATTAAAGAATTATTTTTCAAAGTTACCAGACTTGAAGTCTTGTGTTTGTGAGTTATTTTTGTGGACTTATTTGCAGTTTGTACTGTCATATTATTATATTATTATAGCTAAACTTCTAATAAATAACTTCTTGAGCAACCTTACATATGTTAGAGGGATACTTGAACTTAGATACCCAGGGTATGCTGAGACTGATACCAGATACATTATTTTTCTACAGTTCCAGCAGAGACTAACAAGCTAAGCTGGTGTTTGACTGAAATGGGAACCAATATGACATGTGTTAAGAAGGACCCTAAAGTAGCAGTTGAAGACCTAGAGAATGTCTACCATGAAAAACAAGTGAAAGAATTATGTGCACTACACACCCTTAATAATCTTATGCAGGAGAAAATCTTCTCAAAGGTGCAGCTTGATGAACTTTGCCACAAGTAAGAGTTCACTATCACATGTTATAAATGTTATGGTAAAATGCAGCTCAAAATTTATGATAAATGTTTAAGTAAAGATGGGGCTGCAGGCGCACTGGATAAGTTACTGGATATCAAGATACAGGAACTGTAGTGTCTTATAAGTGCAGAAATGAAAATTTTTTTTTGTACATTTAGATTATCCCCAGAGAATTGGATCAATCCTCACCGTAGTGTTCTTGGGTTTGGTAATTATGATATCAATGTCATTATGGCTGCTCTTCAAACCCAAGGTCTTGAAACCATCTGGTTTGACAAAAGAAAGTAAGTAATTTACCAATCTTTAATAGTTGCATTTAAATAGTGGTGTCTAAGATGTAAAATGTTATTCAATACCTATGATAATGTTGAGGTTTGCAATTTGATTTTGAAGAAACTTAAATGTAATGTTTTGGAATAGAAAAGGCTCCGGATTATTTCATCCACTAACACAGGCTGGTATCGAAATATTTGTCCACTGTGACGGAGCATGCTATTTTTCATAAAAACACTAAGAATACTTCACGATTTATTTTTTTACTCATATGTTTCGTTATACCATACAAAATTACTTACTCCATGCAATGGATCTATCATTTGCGGGTAACTTTCACTTCTGTTTGAAGTCCAATTACGCTGGGAAGAAAAGCTATTGAAAATGGCGCCGGAGTATCATACTTCAAAATGTACCATTTCTTGTTTAACTTTCTAATGGCACGATATAGTGACACGATAATATTTACACATGGTTTCAGCATAACTTTGAAGGTATAAATGAGATGTTGATGTATCTGGTCTTTTTAATTCTTTTATAAAAAATAATGTTTAATTCTTTTGTCCGCTGTGACGGAGCAGTTGTAAATGTGAATTGTGAAAATGTTCCGTCACAGCGGACAAAAAATATTAATATTATTTTTTATAAAAAAATTAAAAAGACCCAATGCATTAATATCTCATTAATACATTCAGAGTTATGCTGAAAACATATGTTAATATTATCGTGTCACTATCATGCCATTAATTAGTTACAAAAGAAATGGTACATTTTAGAGTTTGATACTCTGGCGCCGTTTTCAATAGATTTTACTCCTAGTGTTATTGGACTTCAAACAGAAGTGAAGGTTACACACAAATGATATATCCATTGCATGGAGTAAGTAATTATCTTTGATATAACGAAACATATGAGTTAAAAAATAAATCGTGAAGCATTCTTAGTGTTTTTGTGAAAAATAGCATGCTTCGTCACAGCGGACAAATCTTTCGATACCAGACTGTGACTAAATTAATGAGAAAAAGTATGTACAAGTATTGAAAAGGAACTGAGCAATGAGAAATACATGAGTGGGTGATTAATTATGATATGTGTAATCTCATTAACTTTATTTCTAGTTTTGAAGTTTTGAAGAACTTTCAGCATAGGTTCTGTAGATGTTTCTGTCTCTGACTATGTTAGATTAATTTGAAATACCAGCATAAATTTACAGCACACAAACTACATCTGTCAATATCTGTTAATATTTGTATTTTTGCAGGGATGTGAATACACTGAGACTGGACAACATTCGAGGTTTCATCCTAAATATCCCCACAGAATACAAGTGGGGCTTCATAACTCTACCTATACATAGGAAACACTGGATTAGCATCTGTCAAATAAATAACAAATACTTTAATCTTGATTCAAAATTGGATAACCCTGAGAAGATTGGCCAAGCCAAAGAATTGAGAGCCTTCCTCACAAAAGCCCTGGGCAGTAAGGATAAGGAGTTATTTGTAGTTATAACCGAGGAAGTAGCTCAAGGCGGAATCTGGCGTCAGGAACGAGTTTCAAATTCAAATTCCCGGGAGACGATAAAATCAACTAGTTGTTCTAGTTTGAAAAAAGCACAAATTAAACTGAACCAGAGTTTTTCGGCTGATAATTTAAAACTTAACTCCTCTAAAACTGGCAGGATTAAATCTGGAGAAACTAAAAGTGATAAAATGAAGCAGCATAATAGTGATTTCAATATAGAGGGGCAATGTGCAAGTACTAGTCAAACATATACAACAAATCACCATAGTGATGAGATACAAAAGGGGACAAGCCCAGTTAGCCCACTAGCAAGTACTGAAATTGCCCATTCAAATAATGTCTCTAATGAAGATAGAGCTAAGAGAGGAGACACACAGGATTTAGTTGACAGTGACATCATGGTAGAAAATATGGTGTGACAAAAATAAGTTGTGAGAAAAAGTGATGTACATGTTGTCTTAGAGGAAATTGTTGTGACATGAAAATTAAGATAAAGAAGAAGATTAAGATAAAGTACATGTATTGTGTATCGAATAAGTAGGTAATAATAAAAAAAAATGTGATGATTACCTCAGGATTAATCCAACCCTCAAAGCAGAGTAATTATTTGGTATTGCATACAATAGAAAAATACAAATACCAGAGTTTCTCACTATTTAACCCATGGGCATTTATTTGAAGAGAACATAAATAACACATGTTTCCTCTACTTAAAGGGCCAGGGATTGTTTTATGAGAGTGATTTAAAAAACAGGGTCAGTTGATGAAGCATTCAAGAAAGGTTTGAAATCTCCAATGTGGCACAGATGTGAAAAATGAGTCAACTAATGAGAGTGTTTGACTATTTTACTTCTCGGTGTTATTTTCAAAATCATGTCCCACACATGTGACAATTGAGAAATAGTATTGTGTCTAGTATGTATGTCTTCTAATATTGATAGTGGTGATGTCATAGTTATCCATTCAATATTAACAAAATAGTGGTCCCAGAAGTGTCAATCAGGGAGAATTCTGGTAAACTTGATCATTTCCTTCAAAATATATGCCCAATCATAAATGGAGAAGACAGTGAGAAATTCAGGTAAGGCTCCATGTAAGGACGTGCTCAAATTGTGATGATCCTTAAATACATGTAACATTTTGACTGGCATTTTCACTACTTTTGCAATCTGATATGTGCCATGTGTGCAATTAAAACATTTCTATAGTTAAATTATAAATATACGTTTCACTTTTAATGAAGTGATGCAATTAGCAAATGCAATTTTGATTATTGGGAAGATAAAATGTGGGAAATTTTATTTTGAAAACCTTTCTTATCATTACTACATTTGTGTAGCTAGGGGTTCTGTAATTGCCACAATACAAGAACATTTTCTCATTTGTCCACATGTGTGTATATTTCTTGTTCTTGACAATGATCAATGGAATACTATTTGAGCATTTATCCACTGTACATCTAAACAAATCTTCAGGATGATTTCAGATTTATGGGAAATGGTAAGGAAAATGTTACAAAAGTAGAGCAAATAAAGGAATTTGAATCAATGGTTTCTGAAATTCAAGGTTTTAAAACCATAATAATTTTTCCTATGGGTATTTAATGGGAAATGTTTTCATCTTAATACCATATAACATTAAGTAGGCAACACTATAAAGGGACACCTATGTAGATGGAATACTTCAGTCCTGGTTATTTAAACCTCCGTAAGTTTAATATCTCCCAAATAGAACATATTAAGCGGAACCAAGAGCATTCCGCTTACAAAGGTATAACTATATACATTTATTTTGAATTTAAGTTTATGTGCAATAAAAATGAGCTTGCAGTAAAAATCAGGTTTGAAGGGTATTATAATTTATCAAAATCCTGTATCAAAGATACAGCATGACCTCCAGATCCCTTGTTAAACATTGGTTTGTATCGCAATCTTGGGTGCTATATTGTTTATCTTTGTTCTTCAAAAAGGAATGTAGGCCGTAACCTAGCCTGACACATTGATCATGAATGAAAATACATTTTAGTAATGCATAACTTAGATACAAATCATGTGAGAAAATTCACTTTATTTCGAGCTACAATATATGCTCAGGGTCATGCAGAAATTCAATTTGATGAAGATGAATTAAACATGGGTACAGGTGGTACCTAGGACAGTATTGCAAAAGTTGATGACAACCAGAGTGTGACATGAGTACATTGTTCTTTCTGCATTGGGAAAATATGTTTTGTATTGAAGTTGAGAGGTATTGAGATGTGTTGCAACGTGAATCAATCATAAATGAATAAATAAATAATGAATGAGCTCAACTACACTGACAGCCTTATGTAGTACTGTGAATTGCTTTAATATGGGGCTACTTAATTTGGCGGATTGGGCAAATTTTGAAATTTTGGCCGCAATTTAATCTAGCGGATTGACCCATCAGTAAAAAATGGATATTGGAAGGCTAGCTCGGAAGTCACATGGCCATGTTACACTTAGGTGACACAGCGATGTGTTCACCTTTGTATGAGCTAAAATGTAAAAAATGGGGTTAAAATATAGTCAAAATATTAAAAGAATTATCAATGGGACTCGAGGTACGGGAATTTTATTCAAAAAATTGGTAGAGACTTAATTTTGTGTTTTTATCAATCTGCCAAATTAAAACATTTTAAAGAATATACCCCAACAGCTACTACTTATGCAAGTCAATTTGAAAATTATTCATAGACCAGCTCTTTATACAAAACTGATATTGCAGGCCTTTGTAAAAACACCTTTGTAACAATGTTTTGGAAATAAATATAGATTTTCATATAAATGTCACAAAAGAACAAACACTTTTCTGTGATTTATTTCATATATTATGAAGCTTATTTATTTATTTTTATAAATTTACAAATGCTGGCATTATTGCACCATTTGACTCAAAATTTTATTTTAGAGAGAATGCTATTGTACTATCTACTCAGAATTGCAACTGAGTCCTGGCACACTAATTACTTATAATCTTAAATGGTCTTAGTAAATTATACCTTTATGAGTTAAAAATCCCATTTGCCTCCACAAAAATACATTACAATCTACACATGTACACTAAAAATACATGTACATGTCACTCAATTTTCAGTACAAGATGAGTATTATTTAGAGTGTTTCAATGATCAATGATTATTCTTTATACCTATTCTCAGTATAGAAAGCCTGAGTGAAATTGTAACTTTAAGCTATCATCTCAAATGTGTCCTATATCAAATACTATATAGTATTTCATTTAGTAGGTGACTTGTAAGGCTAATTCATGTACTCAACCACAAAAAATCATGTTACAAAAAATATTTTGAACTTTCAAAAATCTTAGGTTGGAGGGTAATGTTGCAGTTAGCAAACATCTTTAAAATTTGGTGTGAAACTTAAACTACAGTATATTTTTCACTTTTTTAAGAAAGTGTACCATATTGTGGCTCAAATGTTTAAAAAAGTTGATATTCGAAAAGAAGAAGCTGGGGCCAATGCCCAATGGTGTAAATACCTGAAGCAGGAACCCCCATATAGAACTTGAGCATTGGTTCAGGCTAAGGACAGTTTCAAAAAAGTAAAAAACAGACAGACAGACAGATGGTGGCGACAGGCTCACCATAAAAATACAAATCCATAAAGTTACAAAAAGGTTTATGGAACCTTAGTTAGTTCCTTGAGATACACATTTTTTTGTGATGAATCCTCTAAACTCTCCAGTACAAACCCCTATATACTATATAGATCTGAAACACTTCCCCTTCTCTAAATAAAATAAGATAACCAACTTTGAGTGTCATTAATCTTTTTTGAAATTTAACTAAAATCTTTACAAAGATAATGTTAATAAATTGTAAATTTTACTTAATGTCTCACTTCAGTTTCAATACCCATTTTATTCTGGGTTACCATGGTTACTGTTCTAAATATTGCACCATATATATTACAATATACATTTTGGGTGGATCGAAATAGTCGTCCAGACACTTATTCCTTGCTGGAAAATCAAGTGTTATATTTAAAATAAATATAGATAATGTTCACCTCTGTATCAGATACACGTATATTTGTGTCAGTAACACTTAGACTGCTGGAAGATCCTGTCTTATACATTGAGTGGATGGTTAAACACCTTATAAATGATAGGACCTCATAAGAATTTTATATAAACTACGCAGAGACCCTAATTAACTGCTTATAAATAAGGTCTCGGTTTGGCAGTAAACTCTTGTAACCATTGCCTTGAATGTACATAAAATTGAACCTAATGTACATTATACATTTTGTACAGGTTTTACCATACTGTGCGTTTTAAATGATTGGCCCCTTCAGATTGACCTCAATGTACAAATTATCTATTTATCACAATAATAACATGATAATACAGAAGGATAATGCAAAGTTGGGATTACAGTCACCTACTTATAATAAATTAAACATTTTAAAAATATAGTACTTTGAATTGACATATTCCATGCCAGTATCTACTCTAACTTTTAATCATACATGTATCTCAAGCTCCATTCTCCATTATCCCATTCATAACCGTTAGCCTATTTTGAGTAAGCTTGGATGTGGTTAGATAAAGATTCTTTGGGTGAAAGGTCATGTTTGGATGTGTAATTAACAATTGTTTACCTCTCCAGAGCCTACCCTTTAAAAGTAAATCCTGACAATGTAAACCAATTTTCTTACTGGAGGGATCAACTGGCAGTGCATTGCATGAGCAATCGTCCGAACTATTGAAAATTCTCTGACCAATAAAAATTGAGTATTAACATGTAAATTAATTTACCTATAATCATAATAATAATCTCTCAGATGACCCAATCAAAGGCGGTAATAAATATATCAGAATAGGTATGGTCCATCTCAATACTAAATACTCAATCTGTATATAGAAATATTATTACAAAATTGTTCCAGTCAATAAATGGAGAATCGTGTTTGAATCATGGTTGGCAATGCTTCCGGTCAAAACAAAGAAAAGTGAAAACAACGCTTTCAAATTTCTGTTAAAACGTGGCTTTTTAAAATGCAACAGCAGTCTTTGAAAGCACTTTTATGGATATTTGAAAAAAAAGAATTATTGGAGAGTGTATCAGACCAAGAAATCTTTTCAAAAGCTAGAAATCATTCCTCTGTTTTACAGATTCTTCCAATTTCTCTTCCCACTGTATTAAGCAGGCCAATAACATGACCATGTTCCCTTGGTTATAAACCATTGTATGCTCCCTCAGCTCGCTCCTGTTCTTCTAATTGGCTGCTAGAAGCCATTTTAGGGAGCTGTCCTTTGCTTGATTTCCTTGAAAATCTTCCCTTTTTTGATTCTTCTTTTTGATTAGCTGGTGGGTCCCTGGAATTAAAATGTATTGGTTCAGGTATTTGGGGAATTATTTATTACCCCAGGTAACTATATTTACTCTTTACACACATACTGATAACTAGAAAATGTGAATGTTTTTGCAGAAGTTGAATCTAAGCAGGCCCGTAGCCAGGATTTGCCAAGGGGGGGTTCATTTATCAAAATTTTCCAGGGGGGGTTCACATTTGACAATTTTGGCCCATATATGGCTAAAATCACTTGAGAAGTGCTCAAAATGGTGAAAAACTGCATGATTTTGAAAGAATTTTTGGCCAGGGGGGGGGGGGTTCGTCCTAACCCTGCGAATCCCCCCTGGCTACGGGCCTGCTGAGTCTTGGGCATTATTGTTGCCATCTATTATATATATGAAGACTACGAAACAAAATAAGATTAATGGGTTTGTATTTACAAATATTGGAACTGTTCAAATTGTAAATTACCCAGCATGCCCAAAACCTATTTGATTGTGTAATTAGTCTGCTCTTGCTTCAGTAAAAATTTCAAATTAAACAGATGGATAGTTTTTTTCGTGTCTTGATGGTGCCTACACAAAAACAGAATAGAAGACATGAATAAGCAAGTGTGATAAAAAACTGCTTCACCTTATTGATCATTATGCAAAGAAGGGCCACTTACCCAAAGAAAGGAATGAGTTGAATGAGTGTCTCTTTAGTGGCATTGTTGGCAAGTGTTGTGTTGTTCTGCATTAGAAGGTTGATTATTCTTCTCAAGTAACTCTGAAGCTTCTTGCGTCTATCCTCCACAAACTTGGCACCCTGAAATGTGCGACATTCAAATTGGAACATATGAAATTATTAGAGGATGTTTTAATTAGCTTACATCTGTATGTGATGAATTTATGTGTCCTTTATTACTGAGTTAATTCAGTAAAACCTGTCTTAGTAGAACATCTTAAGTACTTCTAAAAAAGTGTTCCAATTCTCGAAGTGTTCCACTTTACAGGTTTCACTTTTCTGACACATAAAGTGAGATTTAGAAGCCAGACATGCTGGTTGGCGTTCCAGTAATTAGAATACAATCAAATATCTGAGTGTTCACACATATTGTGCTGTGTTAATCCCATCTTGGGTTCATTTCATTTGATCACCGACTGAGAAAACATATTTGTTTGGGTATCTTTCAGATTAAAAACATTTCTGTCTTCTAGAGGGAGTATCTAGAGTATCTTGAAAAGTATATAAATTATTAACATCTACAACTAACCTTATTTCCGAGCGCCTTCTTTGGTGGGAAATTAAATGTGTTGACGATGGAATAAACTTTACGCAGTTTATTGTGGATAACGTTGAACTCAGCGTAGCGTCGATACACATTCCATTCTTTGTCTCTAATTCGTATATAAACCTAAATCACATGACATAAATAAATTAAACATACATCTTAAAGAGCTTTAACATCAAAACCAAAAGTAGCACTATGACTCATGTTACCTGTTAATGGCAATAAACATTAAATTATGTTATGTTAACTCAATATAGAATGATGTAACCTATTAACACTACTCCCCCATTTTAAACGGGTCCACTTAACCACTTTTGATTATGGATCAGTTCATTTATACCCAGAGAAGTGACTTACCTGATAAACATGGTGGTTATCTGATGATGTGCCTCGCAAGAAAGCAGATGGGATCCAAACACTGATTAAAGGGCGGGAATTCAAAGAGAGGTTGTCATAATCTGACGATAAACTTCCAGAATCATCGTGAGGCATATCTTCTGGGAGCTGAAGTGAATGTAATATGACTTTAAGAAATCTAGTTTTCCCTCAGGATATAGATTTTTGAGAAAAAAGTACATGCAAAATAATAATGAATGGACAGGTCCACCTGCATATGTACATGTAGTAACTTTAACATACAGTAATTGCCAATTGGACAATTAAAATGAACCAAAGATTTTAAAATGTATTTAGAATTTTAAGTTTGGAACAGTTTACAGTTCACAGTTTTCGCAACCTGAATAAATTTGGTCATTAATTGAAGAAATCCTTACTGGTCCTCTTAGATCCACCAATTCCTGTTTGAGGCGTTTAAGTTCCAATTCCCGTGCATTTAACTGTTTATGAAGTAGCTCATTGAACTCCATCAGTTCCCCATGCATCTCAGCAACCTGGTTAAAGTGAACATTATGGGAATATCAATCAAGGCTAACAAGAACAATAGGCTTTATGAGAGATAAAAATACAAGGCTCACTGGGAAAATAGGCCTTTTAAGACAGTTAAGTATAACTCTAATACAAAAAATAGGCATTTTGAGACAGTGAAATAAGTTAGTACTGGAAAAAAGGCCTAATAAGCATGGGAAAATAGGCCTTATGATAGGATAAAAGCTCACTGCATAAATAGGCCTTCGCTTCAATCTAATCCAGCAAACATCATATCACCCCAATGTATCTTTATCATGAAAATGAAAAGCTGATGAAAGCACATTTACCTGTATTAACTTTTGTTCATACTGACTGGCCTCATTACTGAAGTCATGGAGTTGACGGGGAGGGGGAATAGGAGGTTGAGGCTTCTCCAACTGTAACCCAGACAGCCCTTCAGCGGTACTATCTTCACGACGTAACATTTGAACAGCACTGACATACTTTTTCAGTTGTTGCTTTAACAATTCATTTTCCCTGAAAAAAAAACCCATTTGTGATATTTATGATATGTTTAATAAACGCGGAGAAGCCAACAATATATATATGTCACGATATAGGGACAAAAAATATTGACATTTTAAAAGTACTGTTTATTTCGTTTTGTTATTATGAAAAGTAATTAAGGAACGTTGGCTACCTTGGCTGTTGAAACCTGGTGATATAATCATTATCTTTACGAAGAATAGATTATGTTTTATGCAGGCATTTCAAAACACGTTACTTTGCCTTTAAAACGTTCGTTCATTGTCAATGGATGATTTTTTATGTAGCCATTTCTAAAACACGTTACTTTGCCTTTAGAACGTTACCTTAATAGACTTTAAGTTTTCTCTAATAAGATTGGATGGTTTTTATGTACGCATTCTTAAAACACGTTACTTTGAAAGTACTTATTTTATTGGACTTTAACTGATCTCTACGAATGGATGATTTTTTTATGTAGGCCATTTTCAAAACAAAGTACTTTGTCAGTAAAACGTTACTTTATTCGACTTTAACAATACTCCACGAAGAATGGATGAATTTTATGTAAGCATTTTCAAAACACGGTGCTTTGTCTTAAAAACGTTACTTTATTGGACTTTAACTTATCTCCACGAAGAACATATGATGGATGATTTTTATATGTAGGCAACTTCAAAACACAGTATTTTGACAGTAAAACGTTACTTTATTCGATTTCGTTAACCATACTCCACGAAGAATGGATGAATTTTAAGTAGGCATTTTCAAACACGTTACTTTGCCTTAAAAACGTTACTTAATTGGACTTTAATTGATCTCCAAGAAGAATGGATGATTTTATATTAGGTATTTTCAAAACACAGTACTTTGTCAGTAAAACGTTACTTTATTCAGCTTTAACCATACTCCACGAAGAATGGATGGCTTTTTATGCAGGCATTTTCAAAACACAGTACTTTGCCTTAAAAACGTTACTTTATTGGACTTTAACTTTTCTCCACGAAGAATGGATGAATTTTTGTGTAATCTTTTCAAAACACAGTACTTTGTTAGTAAAACGTTACTTTATTTAACTTTACCCATACTCCACGGTGAATTGATGGCTTTTTATGCAGGCATTTTCAAAACACAGTACTTGGCCTTAAAAACGTTACTTTATTGGACTTAAACTTTTCTCCACGAAGAATGGATGACTTTTTGTGTAGTCTTTACAAAACACGTTACTTTGCCTTAAAAACGTTACTTTATTGGACTTTAACAGATCTCCACGAAGAATGGATGATTTTATATTAGGCATTTTCAAAACACAGTACTTTGTCAGTAAAACGTTACTTTATTCGACTTTAACCATACTCCACGAAGAATGGATGGTTTTTTATGTAGGGCCTTCTTAAAACACGTTACTTTACCTTAAAAACGTTACTTTATTGGACTTAAACTTTTCTCCACGAAGAATGGATGAATTTTTGTGTAGTCTTTTCAAAACACGTTACTTTGCCTTAATTACGTTACTTTATTGGACTTTAACTGATCTCCACGAAGAATGGATGATTTTATATTAGGCATTTTCAAAACACAGTACTTTGTCAGTAAAACGTTACTTTATTCGACTTTAACCATACTCCACGAAGAATGGATGGTTTTTTATGTAGGGCCTTCTTAAAACACGTTACTTTGCCTTAAAAACGTTACTTTCGTGGACTTTAACTGATCTCCACGAAGAATGGATAATTTTTTTATGCAGGTATTTTCAAAACACGTTACTTTGCCTTAAAACGTTACTTTATTGTACTTTAACTGATCTCCACGAAGAATGGATGATTTTTATGCACGCACTTTCAAAACACAGTACTTTGCCTTAAAGACGTAACTTTATTGGATTTTAACTTTTCTCCTCGAAGAATGGATGATTTTTAGGTAGGCATTTTCAAAACACAGTACTTTGCCGATAAAACGTTACTTTCGTGGACTTTAACTTTTCTCCTCGAATAATGGGTGATTTTTTATGTAGGCATTCTAAAAACACAGTACTTTGCCAGTAAAACGTTACTTTTAACTTTATTCCTTCAAGTTTCGAACATTTTAGCCTGGTGTTTTTAAAAAGCGTTACTTTGGCCGATTTCCGTAACTTTCTTGTACTCTTAGTTTTCCTCCATCGAGCGTTGGTGAAATTTAGGTAGGCATTTTCAAAAAGCGTTACTTTGGCCCTTTTCCGTTACTTTCTTGGACTTAAACTTTTTTGCCCGATTGAGTATTTTGAATGTAAAAAATAAGGAATCAAAGGACGATATTGAACAGTATTTTGTAAAAGTAGAAACAATTGTACGAGGCCTAACTTTTGTTTAATTTGGTTTGTTTTGTAGTTAGCTATCATATGTGTGGCCTCTTATATTTCGATGCTTCTCTGCCATGACATTTTCGACACTAAAAATTAACATGGATGAAACTCAATAAATTACTGAATGCCACACGTTTGCTGTAACTATCTGAAATACTAAAGTTAGGCCTTGTACATAGGTTTCTATTTCTCCAAATATTGTTGCAATATGGTCATTTGATTGCTTATTTTTTACGTTAATTCAAAGTACTCAATAGATGATTTTGAATCGCATTTTGACGAACTTCAGTTTTGTCTCCGTCAGTCGATAAAAAGACCACAGTGCAATATTAAATCGAAAAATACATTGATATTCTGATGCAAACGATTGTATTGTTTGTTAGCTCGTGTTTTTAATAATACAATGTGTATATAATTCTTGAAAACTAGTGATTTAGTTCGAAATTTATGAGATGTAGTTGAAGCGAACGACATCTTTATGAATTACTCATACTTATAGTCAGATTGAAAACTGTGTTTTATAAAGATGTCGCTCAGTATCATACAACATGACTTGGCACAACAAGATCGAATAAACAAGATACACCATCAGACCTAGGATGAAGAAAAGAAGAATATTTGTTTTGGAAAGAGGGTCAAAATTGTTGCATCAATGTCTAAGATGGTTGCATTCAAACGTACTAAGAAAGGGAAGTGAAAAATAATGCCATGTTATAAGTGACCTAAATGGCGCGGACGTCAGAGAGCGCCTTCCGGTAAAGTGGGTGTTTGGGATGAATCGATCTTTTATCGTATGAATCGCTAAAATTGCAGTAATTCAACACTGTTATCGGCTAAACTAATCTATATTCATGAAAAAGGATCCACTTTGGTCTTTTAACCGCCTAATTGAGTACATTGAACGTTAAATAAGCAACCGACATTGCAACAGAAAATGAAAAAAAGCTGTACCTATTTAGGGAGTTTCATCCATGTTATTATTTCGAAAATAACATGGAAGATCATCGACCTACGAAACAAACCAAAACAAAAGTTAGGCATTGTACAAAAGTTTCTATTTTTCCATAAACTGTTTAAATATGGTCATTTGATTCGTTGTTTTTTAGATTCGAAGTAGACCTACTCAATGGAATTATTAATCGAGCAAAATTGCAAGAATTTAAGATTTTCAAGGTGGAATAAGTGAATTAATAGATGGAAAAACACTACTAGCCTCTCTTTACACTATGGTCCATCTTATCTTTTACAATAATTAGTAATACCACTCACTGACAAGATTTTCAAGTTACACATCGAAAAATGTTTAAGTCCAAGAAAGTAACGGAAAAGGGCCAAAGTAACGCTTTTTGAAAATGCCTACCTAAAATTTACCAACGCTCGATGGAGGAAAACTTAAAAGTACAAGAAAGTTACGGAAATCGGCCAAAGTTACGCTTTTTAAAAATGCCAGGCTAAAATGTTTGACACTTGAAGGAATAAACTGGCCAAGTAACGTGTTTTAACAACTTGGCATGGAAACAGTTAGAGTCCATGCGAGTCCACGAAAGTAACGTTTTATCGGCAAAGTACTGTGTTTTGAAAATGCCTACCTAAAAAATCATCCATTCTTCGAGGAGAAAAGTTAGAGTCCACGAAAGTAACGTTTTATCGGCAAAGTACTGTGTTTTGAAAATGCCTACCTAAAAAATCATCCATTCTTCGAGGAGAAAAGTTAGAGTCCACGAAAGTAACGTTTTATCGGCAGAGTACTGTGTTTTGAAAATGCCTACCTAAAAATCATCCATTCTTCGAGGAGAAAAGTTAAAGTCCAATAAAGTAACGTTTTTAAGGCAAAGTAACGTGTTTAAAGAATGCCTACATAAAAATCATACATTCTTTGTGGGGAGAAGTTAAAGTCCGATAAAGTAACGTTTTGTTGGCAAAGTACTGTGTTTTGAAAATGCTTACCTAAAAATCATCCATTCTTCGAGGAGAAAAGTTAGAGACCAATAAAGTAACGTTTTTAAGGCAAAGTATCAAGTATCATACATAAATGCCTACATAAAACATCATCTATAGTCATGTTTGACTTTCCATAATAACAAAACGAAAAAAACGGTACTTTTAAAATGTCAATATTTTCTGTCCCTATATGAAAATGCTTACCTAAAAATCATCCATTCTTCGAGGAGAAAAGTTAGAGACCAATAAAGTAACGTTTTTAAGGCAAAGTATCAAGTATCATACATAAATGCCTACATAAAACATCATCTATAGTCATGTTTGACTTTCCATAATAACAAAACGAAAAAAACGGTACTTTTAAAATGTCAATATTTTCTGTCCCTATATCTTGACACTGTTGCAACAATATGAACCAGATTAAACTGAAGGTACATTGTACTGTACAACAATAGGAAGCCAGTTGAGAATATAAACCTGGATTCAACTTAATCAAGATAATGGTGTGCAATACATGTATGTAAAATCATTTTCAACTTATAATAATATATATAAAATGAGAAATTCAAGATGGTTTAAAGTGACAACTAGAAAAATGAAATCAATAAAACCAGTTAAGTCTAACCACCAAAGAAATATTGAAGTCTCAAAATACCTGGATAATGCTTGTATTTTAGTCTTGTCTTTCTCTGCTTTAGACAGATGTTCAGACTTGATGTTCTCAATCTCTGCCCTCAGTGATGATGTCACATTGTTTTCTTGTTCAAGTAACAGCTTTAAACTCCTGCAAATTATAAACATTCGCTGAAATAGTCAGTATGAATATATCTTAATGTGTGAGGTCTGTATTGCACTTACTGAATTTTTGCACATTGTAAGGTAACATCAATTCTTTAAGTTCAACTTCAATGGTGACATGCTCTATTTCTTCTGAAAAATTTCACTTTTTAAAGTAAGAATTTTTAGATGTTGCCTGGAATTAAACGTATCACGGAACTGAGCTTTTTTGGAATGGGCCACTATGAAATATTTGAATTTGGAATGGAACAATTCAGCTTGGTTCGAAAAAAGAGAGAATTTGGGAATTAATTATTTAACTTGTTCAAGTATGACCTGGAAAATAACCAATAATCTTTATTTTCAATACAGTATTTATAATTGAAATAGCATGCTTACTTGTTCTGGTCTTCCATTTGATCTTTACGGATCATCATGTCCACAACCGCTTGTTTTAACTCACTGGTTGTTAGCGTCTCACTTGATAGATGGGGTGAGGGTGTGGTGTCCTCTCCATCACCTGCTGTCCTCTGTCCTGTTACGCTGAAATGAAAGAGACAATTTTATAAAAGCTATTGATTGAGCCAAGTTTTTGCATTTTTTAATTTTTGCATTTCTCTTCCATATTCAAGTAATACAAATTTAGTCTGACAACTTTTAAGTTATTATTTGACCATTTTGCATTTAAAGCAGTCGGAATGGAATGAATAATCTGTTAAATAATATTGTACATATGAAGATCAAGGGAAGATGTGTCTCAGTATTGTCTAGCACTGTCAACATTACTGCATGGCCTTTTTGAGAAACCTACCTGTAAGACGATCCCTTCTGTAGTTGAGCCAGAGCAGACATTGCATTATCGGTGTCAAAACTGTATGTAGGAACCTCAATGGAATCTTCTACAATGCAAAAACAAAAATTGTATTGACGTATATCATTCTTTAATAATGGCTAAGGGAATTAAAATGTATGATAAAAATTACAGTAACTAACTTGGTTGTTTGTGTTATGAAAAGCATGGGAAATAATGTATTTGCTGAATTCAAAGTTTCTCGTCCATTTCTACACAAGTACATAAACATGTAACATGTAATTGATATCAAAGTTGGCGCTATTTGGTGGCCTCACACAGTGAAAATATATGTTTATTTCTTGGTTCACAAATTACCAAGACTTGTTACCTGATTGATTATCATCCCCACCAAGAACAAAAGCCATGGTAAAAGATGCATTTGGATCACCAGAGGGCGCTAGTGGGGTCAAATCTGATGGAACAACTCCCGATCCATACCTAAAATAAAAATATAAATGATTCCATGCTCATTGTTTAATGTAAAGAAAACCTGTATGTGTGAACACCTCTCTAATCAGAATACCTCTCAATGTGAAGAATTTTGTCGGTACCAATTTAATCTGTCGTAGACTCCAACGTTAAAATGTTTAAATGGGCCATCTGCCAGTATGAACGTTTTTGACCAGTCCCTGTGGCGTTCAGACATGTTTAAAGATAAGATTTCTCCAGATAAAAGTCCATGAATGTAAATAACACAATGGAGTTAGTAGAACACTATATGTTTACAAACTGAATGTCCATTATATATCATTGAAACAAACCATAACTGATCATTCCCAAGAGATAATACGTTGACAAAATTTTGCACAATCTAAAATGAATCTCACTTACTGTTGTTCAAAGTCAAAAGAACTGGATGATCCTAGACTGGGGCTGGGCGAGTCAGCTTTCATGATGTCAGATGATGATTTATTCAAGGAAGCCATCCTGGGTTTCTGCTCCTTGCTACTTGAGTAAATATCCAAAAAACTATCCTCGTTTACATCATTTATGTCACTTTTTTCATCAGAAAGAATCTCAGGAGATTTTGGTTTCTCATTACTTATAGTGTCTGTCTTAACAGCGATAGAGTCAACAATTGAATGATTGGTAGAATTATGTATTGCATTTTTGGTTTCCATTTCCTCAAATGGATTTTGTGTTGTGGGATATGTTTCCTTTGATATTGTTTCAATATTTTGTTTTACTTCATCAGTATCAAATGGATTTCTGGGTTTAGTTTCCAGCCCTGAGTCTAAATCAAAAGGGTTACTCGATACAGGTACATCAAGTTCCACTTTTTGAGTATCATCTTCAAAAGGATTATTTGATACATGGTCTGTTTCAATTTTTGATTTAATGATATTATCCTGTACTGTTTTATTTTTTGTGGTAGGTTCAATCTGTTTGTACTTAACTGCATTTATTGACTCTCCACTCCAGCTAATAATAGGATCATCCATTGTTTTTGTATCCTTTGCTTTTGATATAAATCCAGGATGGTCCAAATCCTCTTTGATAGATTGAACAGTCTCCACTGGTAAAATTCTAGACCCTTCAGTTTTTTCAGTATTTCTAACTGAATTATTTTGATTATTTAAAATGTCACTGTTTTTAATCCCATTGTTAATTTGTTTATCTATTTCAGATATGGATTCTGGAATGTTGTCCCGTTGCGTCATATACCCAGAGAAAGTGAAGTTGGATACAGGGGCACTGGTGGATAGTTTAGCTGCCTTCTGGACTGTGGGGTTTAGACCTGTGGGGGAGAGGCTGTTCAGGTAGCTAGGGGTGGCAGGTGACGAGCTGTATGAACTAGGCTCGTCATTATCGAAAGAGACAACTTTCGCGACTTTCTTCTTTTTCTTTCTCTCTTTGCGTTTTTCTGGAGTAAAAATGAAATACTATTTTTTTGATGTCACATATAATTGCAAGTTGCACAATTTCCAAATCAGATTCTATGATTTATATGTGATCTACTTAGAGTAAAATGATACTTATGACAAAACTTCCAATAAATAACTTGATTATCTGGAAATATCTTTTCTTTTGACAAAAAGATAATAATATGAAGAAATTAATGCAATTCACCTTTCAGCCAAAAGACAATTTCGATTTATTCCTTTACATTTCCTATCAATTGCTAATAATCATCGGAAAGACATATAACAGAATGTCATCTAGTTCTATATACCTGGTGGGGTAGCCTCACCCCCAATTACTGGGCGGGGTTCATCTTTCCTTGCAAAGTCTGTAGCTTGAGTGGAAGGGGGCACCCTATTTCCAATTGAGTCTAGGAAACTGGTGGCAGGTTTGATTGTGTTCAACTCTGGATTGTCTATGCTTATTGCAAACAATATGGAGCCTAATCCTGGAATATATACAACAGGTTAAAGTTAACCAATCCTAAAAATAGGTTATATACAGTTATCTAGTTATTGGAATATGTAACTGGTTGAATTAGCCTAATCCTGGAATATGTAACAGGATAAACTAGAAATCAGCAACTCCATCTACTCTTCCCTTCAACTACTCTAAATTGCCTTATTGAATATAAAAAGCTGTACTTCAAAAACATCTCAAAATTACAGAAAGTTCCCGTTTTCCCAACATTCACTGCCCCTGGCAATAAACATCTTTCCACCAAACATGAAGAAAATCTGACAACTAGTATTTGAGTTATCTTCCGGACGGAAGGACGGATGGACGGATGGACTGACGGATGGACTGACGGATGGAGGGCTTCACTATATCCCTACCGAACTTCGTTCGTTGGGATAATTACCTAATCCTGGAATATAAACAGTAAGTTAATACATCAATCAGAGACTTACATGAACTCAAGTCTTCTTAACACAATCCCAATAAATCCCTAAATATATCCAGGTAGCTCCTCAGTTAGGATTGTGCACCAGACTAAATCCTTAATGTTATTTAAAAGTTTCTTACTTTGCCATATATGTTGCTCTGATATCAAATAATTTATAATATTTGATTTCAAACTGAGATCATTAAATAACTCACTACACTGTTTAATAGTCTAATGATAAATCATGTACATTACTACACTATCTTCATGTTCCAATTAAAGAAGGAAATATAATTGCAATTTACATTAAGCCAGTTACGGTGTACATGCCAAATCATCATTATTTGACCTAATATTTTGTAATCCACTTTAAATTCATTTTATCATTATAAATCATGTGCATATTGATCACAAGTGGGGTAGGACTTTTTGAAAGCTTCTTTCTTTATTTCTTTACGTTACATTAAAGGTAAACCCATATTTGTGTGAACTATTGGAACATGTAAACATAATGTGTTGACCTCAGTTCATTTACTTCCAATATATATGTGTCCCCACTCCAAGGATTGTTTCACAATTCTGCCAAAAATGGTCAAAATTTGCCAATTCTTCAAAATCTTTCGAATATTCAAGTGGGTGAAAATGTTTTTTAAATGGGTGCGAGGCTATTTTCAAAATATCATGTACATGTAGGTGCAGAAAAGGTGTTCATTGTAAGAACTGTTCACTATTACAAGTTTTACACTATACTTGTACCTTGTTCTTATCATCTTATCAGTAAAACAAGTCATTTGACAGAACTCAGTACATAAGAACTTTAAGTACGTGACCTTCCCGGCACGTTGATCATGAGATGCTATGTATACACTATACACTGTCATATAGTCTTTCATACATATTTGAAACATCATACAATTAACCCCATTTATTCCATAATAACATGTTTTTTCCTGGGAAATAAACGGGGAATAGAAATTATGTTAAAAAAAATCCCGCATTAGATCATATTGGAACCCGTGTCAGAAAAAATCCTGTATAAGGTCCTTTATACCTCTCTAAGTCCAATTACAGTTGTATAACATGGGTCTATAACAACGATATACAGTGGAGAGTGGTATATCGTCATCGTATACAACTCCTCCGTATACACTCCAGCGTATACCACTGTAGAAGTGCATTCTGGGAACTAATGAATAAAAAAAATCATGAAAATTTTCATGATTTGCTAGAATCAAGCCACGTCATAAATGGTTCGAGATCAACATCAGCATTATTGAGTTAGCTATGGGATATTTTTATGGTTTTTATTGTCGATTGTGTTCGAATCAACTGTACATTGAACTTAGAGTGGCATAATAAGATTATATAATGGTTCATTCTGTATATCGTGCATTTTATACTCTCGTGAGAATATAATATATTCACTCGTTCGCTACGCTCACTTGTGAATATATCATATACTCACTCGAGTATAAACACGATATACAGAAAGAACCATTATATAACCTCGTAGTATCAGTAATATTCCCTGGGATTTCCCTCGATTTTTACAGCAAAATTATTAATGAAAGTTGAAACTTTTATATGATGAATTAAAATGTATCATTTTATGTCACTATCATTTGTTGATGGCATACAAAATTAATTTCAAAAAAATTTTATGGAATAAATAGTTTATTGATGGTCATGATGCAGTATGATTTTTTCCTTGAGATAATATGATATCGGCCTCTGAAAATAACATATTGACACTTGGGCTATCCCACTCAGTCAATATGATACTTTCCTTGGCCAATATCATATTTTTTCACTCAGAATAAATTGCATATTCCATCCCTCCCATTAAATAACCTCTATATTTAAATTATATGCTAGTAGACCTTTAGCAACACTGTACATACCAAAAATTGCTAATAGTTTCCCAGCTTGCACAAAGGACGAACCAGATTTATTATCCACATATTTTGTCTCAATAATACCATCAGTTGAATGAAAAGAAAAAGTGTATACTATATCAACACTCACCTGCAGACATAACTGGCATCATGCTACTCCTTTCGACATCCCTAAGTAAAGCATGTTCTTCAAAATACTGACTGGAAGGAAAAGAATACAGTAATCAAATTAAAGAAAGCAATAATTCGTAAGGAATCGCCTGTGATTGCAAGCAATCTAATACTAAGGCAATCAACCGACCCTTTTATCTGTGGTCACTTTCCAAATCCATAAAATGCCAAGAAACAATTTGCCACATGACTATGGAATATGTAATCCGAAATCTTGTTATGAAATAAACTTTTTATTCAAAAAATCATGAGCTTAGTGTGAAGTATGTATTAATTCATCTTACAGTGGGCACAATGCTTATTATAGGGCTTGTTTAAAGAAATCAGGGTAAAACAGACTTCAAGCAGAATACAGTTTGTCCATTTGATAATTAATTTGAAATGTTCAACAACTAAGTTTACCTGAGTAGCAGTTGATTCTCTAATAGCATATGCATGTGTCTCTCCAAAGAATGCTCATTAAGTGAAGCTCGGAGCCATGCCCTTCCACGTCCTGCATCCGTATCTATGTTTTTCAACACCAGATAGCGCTCCTGCTCATGCTTACTTAAGAATTCCTTGACGTAATGCCAGAAAACTGCAATAAACAGTGTTCTATTTTATTGAAATTAAAACAAAGGATAAATCTGAAAATAAATTCATCAAGCAAATAATTTTATTGAGAAAAATTGATTTAAAAAAATAAAAGCAAATGTAGATGTACATACATTGCAGCCCTACTTCTTAACTCTAAAAAATTAGAATACTTTTCGATATGTTTTACTTCTAAATAATGAAATAAAGGTACTCAATATTAACCTGGTTCTGTCTCTAATTTCTTCAGGTCCTGGATTACGCCAATATTCTTCATCTTTGTTAAACCAGTAATCTCACTCACTTGCCTAGAATATAACATATCTCTAAACCTCACAAAACAAAAACATGCACAATATGTTCAATGTGTTGATGGTTACAATGCAATAATAAAAATGTTAAAAAATAATTCAATGATGCAAGTTATTTATTGTTTGACAATTCTTTTAATTAACATTTTTGCTCCCACTCATATTTGAAAGATTAACTTGTCTAATCTGTAAACTTTTCACAAAATATCACATAATTCTTACAAAATTGTTTAAATGTTTTCAATTTAACAATGATTTGTTATGATATAAAAACTTGTAAAAAACATCAAATGGTCTCAATCATAATGGGTCTTTAAAGAATGACATAATTTATTATCAGATTTTGGAATGGCATTAAATGAGACTAACTTCAAGGCAGATAGTCCTTTATTGGTGTGTTTCATTCCATGTTGAAGAGCGGACTCCCATGCTGCACATAAGCAACTCACCCTAGAATAGCATGATTATTCAAATGAAAAACATAAACCTGGCTTTTATTAGCTTTATTTCACAAAGACATGTCTAGGTATTACATCATAAGAGCTGCTGGTAAAAGATTATTTCTTCAAGTCATTGCAAATGGGGTTTCAGTTAGGAGCAAGTCTACTTTAAAAGTCTAAATTAGGTACAGCACCCACTAGTTTCAATGCTGGGGAGATAACTAGAGGGTAGAGATGTCTCGGAACAAAAAACTTTGGAACGGTTCGGAACATTTTGCTTCGGAATGGAACAATTTCGGAACAGTTCGGAACAGAGTGACTGCGTAAATAAGATTAAAATAAGTTGATCATCTAGGTCTATTTGGTTGCGAAAAAGCTCTTCAAAACTCTTCAATGAGAAGGAGTGAAAAAAAAGAACCTCTTTTGGTGCAAAATATTGAAAGAAAAATGCTGTTTTATGGCGATTTAAGGGCCACAAGTTGTGAAAGGGTAAGATTTTCTTGTTCCCCAACCGAACCGAAATTTTTAATCTATGTTCCGTGTTCCGTTCCGAGAGCATAATTCAGCGGGTCGAACAAACTCGGGTATCCATGACACTTCTACTAGAGAGCATATATAGACTTCATTTTCAAATTAAGCTGAACTGTAAAATAACCTTATTTTTTGATGGCATTAAATCAGAATGTAAATATGTTGAAGTATAATGTGAAATTATGAAGATAATAACCTGCTGTCTCCATCAGTTGCTAGCTCAGATTTGCCTCCAAATCGTACTTGACACTGCAACAAAATAGAAGTAATTGTACTGTATTATAAAAATGAATAATCTTAAATCATTCTTTATAGCATAGTGATTTAAATACCATACACAACATATATTTTTACATATCTATCTGAGCATCATTAAACATTCACTGAACCCCAAGTCAGATACAGTTCACGGAAACAGTAATATGTGTCAGAGTAGATTTTCGATTCCTAATTCTGAACTACATGTAGCAAAGTTACATTCATATTTATGGGGATACCAACATTGTATAAGAGTACAAAACATAGTTTCAATACCTGTTTCACTGCATCCAAAAGTCTGTTTAGAACCTGCTGCCTTTCATGACTACTTGTTTCACTCTCACCTTAAAAAATGACATGTTGATACAATAAACGGCTGAGTACATGCATGGGCTCTATTGAAAGCCCATGGTACATGGCAGTATTAGCTAGATTTACAGATGGAGGAATGGATGGATGAATCATGAACAGATGGCTTTTCGAATTTAGTTTGGTCATATGAAGTTACAGTTTGGTATGATTAGCCTGTGTGAATGAAAGTCAGTGAATGAAATGGGTTTGTGTAAAAAACTGGGTGACCGGGTAACCAGGTAGCCGGGTGACCGGTACCCTACCTTCCTACCAGGGTTGGAATTTGATTTTTTCATTTTACATGTATGCCTCAAAACACCCAACTGACATCCCAATCAATGTACCAGTGACACAACCAATCAAGAAAACAACCAAACAAGCAACAAAATTTATTTACTAATAAATCAACCAGCAAAACGACAAACAAAATTAATATAATGTCAATCAGTGAGGCAATAAATCAAGCAACTAACGTTGTATTGTACATCGTACACTAATTAACAGATAAAACAGCAAATAACGTTTCAATTTACGCGTCCGTAAATCTTCCAGGTTTGTTTAATATCTAGTAGAAATCACCATCATAGAAAACAATCATCGATATCCTGTCAATCACTCAGACAATAAATCAAGCAACTAACGTCATTGTACGTGTAAACTGTGTAAATACCTAGGACTTCCGAAATTCAGTCTCTAACAGGTTCTTGGTAAAATGATAACGTAAAAATATTGAAGGGTAGTCTACAAATCTTGGTAAAATGACAAAGTAAAAATATTGAAGGGTAGTCTACAAATGTGCAACTTTGAAAGTTGGTAACCCTGCAAGGAACGTTAAGTACCCGGTTACCCGGCCACCCGTTTTTTTACACAAACCCGAATGAAACAGAATCTAAAAAAACTGAACAATACATTAGCAAGAGGGAACAATTATGGAACATACAAGATGCATGTAAGAAGAGAATACAAAGAGATTTTGATGAAAATGGAGAACACTGGTACCAAAAAATGATGTGTGACTATATAAATTCATGCAGATTTTAGAGGGCCTTTTGAAGCTGTTCAAGATCTGATTTTTATATGACTTCCATTACGCCTTGCAAGAAAATGGGTCAAGAGACATGACATAGCAGAATATTATTTCACAACTTCCCAGCATGCAACAGTTAGAATGTTCCAGTCATGAGCAACCACTCATATGTAACTGGATCAACACAAAACCATGATATTCTACAACACGTCATCGAGGATAGAGTAGCTTTATAGATATACAGTTGAAAGAGTAAGTCAAAATAAAGTATTTGACATAATATTGTAGGTTATATAAAACAAGAGATTATTTCAATTTATTTGTAAACAAAACATCACCTGATTTGACTCACTGACTGAATTTTTTATTTTTATTTTTGTATTTCCCACATGATTACAAAGCTCTGGGGAAACTGTCATGTATCAAAAATTAGCAATACTTACTAGTCATATTTATGTACAATTCAGTTTATTTATTTGGATGATTCGCTACATATTAGAGATGTTATTGTAATATTTCGAAGATATATTTTCAACACCCAGAATTTATCATCCTTGACCTCTGACCTCCAGTCAATTTTCTGAAACGAAATTAATATAAAATTGATATGTTTTGGCAGTTATTTATAAATCAAGTTTATCAAATCATTGGAAATAATTTTATATTTAAAATAGAATCTACATTAACAGTTAACAATACCCAACTTAATAATAAATAGCAAATAATATTTTCGATTCGGAAGTTTGTCATTTTCTTTTTCTTTTTCACAAGGTGTCCGCCATACTTGGTAAGAATTTTTCCATACCTTCCCAAAATCGATCAACATCCCGCTTCTATGTTTGTCAAACTCCAATTTAATTGATTCAAGTGGTACGTATACAACTTCTTATCCCGTATAAGTGCATTTTGAATAATAATTTAATTTATTTTCAGGTAAAAATGGGGCGCCGTCCAGCTCGTTGGTAAGTTTTTTCACATTTTTTCAATAATTTTCATGACTTATTTCTGAAACTTACAGCACAGGAGTGGTAAATATGAAGCTTGCTGGGAGGTTTATATTGTGACAAAATGATATGAGAACATTCATTAGAATTAAAAAGTGATATTTATGTAAACTTCTGTAGTCATTTTTAGTGAAAGTATCAATATTGTAAACGTAGGGACTTGTCCTAAGTTAGCCTATACTGCTGTGGTTACAGCGTATCATACATGTTCAAATGCCTGTTGTAGTGCCTCTGTAGAATTTCGACAAATATGGTTATTTTGTCATGTGGCTACAATGGAACGTGGAGCAATTTCGACATTGTTTTATCATTTCAATCTACGCAGTCTGCCATGTTTTAAAAATTTTAGAAATAAACTGAAATCTCCTATGTCTCAGATCTAAGTATCTCAAGCATACTGAAGGGCTGTAGACCTCAGACATATGATATGATTTTTTATTATTTCAGTTACCGTTACTGCAAAAACAAGCCATACCCTAAGTCTCGTTTCTGCCGTGGTGTCCCAGGTAATACAATTTGTTTTGTTTTTTTATTTATGACAGCTCACTGCTTAGGTGATATGTGTCATTTTCATTCTTATCAAATCAGAGCGAGAGAAAGCTAAGGAAAACCCTCAGATGTTCAAGACAATCCTATGCAGGGGTTTCATTATTAACAACGGGCAATATTGACCAGAACGCCTCCGTCCATCTGTACATACTCCCCTACGTACGTATGTCTGTCCGTCCGGGCAATAACTCAAATACCATTGGCCCGATTTTGTTCATATTTTGTATACATATACCCTATGGAGGCAGAAGTTCTGCTCGAAAGGTGATTTTCAAAATGGCCGCTCATTTAAAAATGGCAGCCATTTTAGTGCCGATTTTACAGTAATTTAGGTGCAATATGTAAAGCTGTAATAGCAATATGCTTTAAAGCTAGAAATGTAGATATTAAAGAAGCACATGGCAGCCATCTTGAAAAATGGCGGCCTTTACTCGTTATTTTACGATTTTTGCTGTAACTTGAAAAGTAGTGTAGCGATTTTTTCATATTTGGTATGTGAATACTATGAGCTTGGCACACTGTCTAAAGACACTTTTGGTAGAAGGTGGCCATTTTGAAAAATGCCCACCATTTTAACGTATTTTACTATAACTGGAAAAGTAGTGGAGCGATTTTGTTCATATTTGGTATGTGAATACTATAAGCATGGCACATTGTCTAATGATTCTTTTGGTAGAAAGTGGCCATTTTGAAAAATGGCTGCCGTTTTTGCTATGTACTTTGTAAAAATACCAGCCATGACTGTTCGATGGGATTTGCTACGCTTTGGCGTTACTGTTGTCAAGTTTTGCCTGTTGTGTTCATTTATTTAGCCTGTTATGAGAAATTCTAATGAAACCCCTGCTATGTTTATCTATATATTGGTAACTAGGATAATCTCAAAGGTGGAAATAAAGAAACATAAACATAATTCATTCATCTTCTGTTTTTATGATATTTCATATATGCCATTCATATTTCAGATGCCAAGATCCGTATTTATGACTTGGGACGTAAGAAGGCACGTGTAGACGACTTCCCTCTGTGTATTCACATGGTGTCAGATGAGTATGAACAGCTCTCCTCTGAGGCTTTAGAAGCTGCTAGGATTTGTGCCAACAAATATCTAGTGAAGAACATTGGAAAAGACGCATTCCATTGCCGCGTCAGACTTCATCCCTTCCATGTCATCAGAATCAATAAAATGTTGTCGTGCGCTGGAGCTGATAGGTATGTTTGCGTCAATGAAAAAAATAATTGGGCTTGTGAAATATTACTTGTTTGAAAAAAACATTCATTCCTTGCTTGGTTTGACAGTCTAGTCTTGCATCATGTCTTTTGAACTTGGGAGGCAGTTGATCTAGTGCCTGAACAACAGAACGACAGTTGGCTGGTGACGGTAGAATTAAAATCTGTCGACAGTTACAATCAGCTGTCGTTGTCGTGGACCTACTTATTATTGTCTTGTTTGTCGTCCTATATCTATACTGGGGTTGTGTTTCTTTTCCCCAATACAGGAAAACATTTTGATTAAAGAATTTTCCGCCATCGAATAAGTAGGGCAATCTGCAGCAGTTTTGTTTTTGCTTCAATTCTTCGAGCATGCCTAATAGTTTGAAATAAATTACATGCATGTGTGTTTGGAATTTAAGCCAATCAAATTATTCATTCTAATGCGCATGAACTAAATTCTGAACCAAGAGGAACTGGCGCAGATTGCCTCAAATGCTTAAAATCGCTCTTCAAAAGCTCTTCAAAATAGATCGGTGAATAAAAATGAATAATGGTTTATTTAGTTCGATGTCAGGATATTTCAAGTAAGTATTGATTATATAGACGCTACAATGATGATGTTTTGTTCTAGACACGCGGGGCAAGTTGTTTTAGCTCATTTTCACAGTTTTAGGGTTCTGAAGGATATTAAGTTCAATTATAGATGTGATTGAGCTTGTTTTTAGTTGATATCATTACCTTATTTTTTAACATACCAATTAGTTACTTTTAAAGTTACAGTTGTCTATAAACAAATTTCTAATTTCAACAAAAATGTGAGTTAGGACATTGTTATTCTAGTAGGGCATAAGTCTAAGGTTTGTGATTTCACTTCAGGCTCCAGACTGGGATGAGAGGAGCTTTCGGCAAAGCCCAAGGCACAGTTGCCCGTGTGAACATTGGTCAACCTATCATGTCCATCAGGGCAAGAGATGGAGCCAGAGCTGATGTTATTGAGGCCCTCAGGCGAGCAAAGTTCAAGTTCCCCGGCAGACAGAAGGTAGAATAGATTTTAAGTTACACAATGCGTCCCAAAAAACGCAACAAAGAAAAACATTGTAAAATCACAAAACCAGTGATGATTACATCAATTTCATTTAGTTTATCATGACGCCATGTGTCTCCCCTTTCCAACGATATGTCATTTGTTCATATCTGATCATGGACCACTGAAAAATCATTGTTTTTTCATCCATCCATGGGTGAAAAGGCCTTTGAGCCAAGTTATGAAATATCAATCAACTGATCCTTATTGCGCAACCAGGTAAATCATTATGTAATTGGTACTGGGGATTAAATTGTTGTCACAAGATTTTCATAACACAAGTTTCTGATTTAGATTTACTAAGAAAAAAGGAAAAATGAAAAGAAAATTTAACTTTAAGTGTTCATCGATATCCTTGTTGGTTCAGTTAACGAAACATATGGAAAAAGAAGTGGCATAAACAGTTGTTGTCCATCATCTTATGAAAGATTACATTCTATGCCCTTTCACATGACCACTATTCCTCTGCACACAGAGACTGGCCTGTGTCTCCATGTCACACACCTCTTTGAATCATCTGGGGTTCTAGCGGAGAGCAGCAACCTCATTGGTGACTCTTTGTTAACATTTGCAATGTCTAAAACTAAAACTTGATCCAGAGATTTTGGAACGTTGTGCAAAGGGAATGATTATTCAGTGGTCTGGAGTCGTATATGAATAATTGAGATACCATTGGAAAGAGGAGACACGTGGCTTCCTGGTAAACTAAATCACATTGATGTAATCACCACTGGTTTTGTGATTTTACAATGTCTTTGTTTGTTGCGTTTTTTAGGGACACACTGTATATGATGACTATAATACATTTGTGGGAGATCAGTTCAAATATCAGAAGTTTGGGGAAAATGTACAAGTTTGTTGTTGAGTAAGTTAAAAGTAGAAATAATCTTGATTTACTTCATTAACTATTCAAAAGTTATTTAAAGAGATATCATATTTGAAGCCTACATGTAAAATTGCATAAAGAAATGTGGTTAAAAAAGTATCAAAGTTTAGAATATGATTTCATTTCCAGATCCACATTTCAAGAAAGTGGGGATTCACAAAGTGGGATCGAGAAGATTATGAAGTTATGCGTGCTGATGGTCGTCTTATCCCAGATGGTGTATCAGTCCAATACAAACCACACAGGGGGGCACTCCAAGCCTGGAAGAACCGCCAGTCATAACTTAATATCAGAGACTATCAATTTTATTGTAAGGAGTGGCAAGTCAAATAAAGACTGTGAAATGAGAAATAACCAAGTTCCGTTTCTAATGAGTTGGAGCAGTTTAATGAATTAACGTGATTAAGGATTGGTATTCAAGTAGAATCCATATCGTATTCTCATTATGTGTATCCATTTTGGTGACCAGTGTAACAATAACTCACTTGAGCAACTTAACATTTTGTCATGATATAATACCCCTTTTTAATACCCCCTTTACTTATTTTTGTAAATTTAAACCCTTAAACGGTTGGGAGTCGGAGCTGGTCAAAGTTATTGAAATAGTCAAATTGTAGTTTTGACTTGAAACGACAAACCCCTATGTTCTTAGAATATGAATTTCTTCATCAGTAATGGCTCAATATAGTTACAAGTAGGTTCAAAATACTGGGAATTGAACAAGCTCTTTCCAATGATACCTTTGGTGAAATTCTCTATAGCCTAACTGTTAAGGGTTAATTTACACAAAAGTTATTCTGTGAAAATATTTCCGATTACCATTTGATGTTCCATCCTTGTTGCCCATAAAGACCACTTGTGTAGAATCCATGATTTAACTTAAAATCAATCCTAGTCATTGTACCATCTGACCATGTGCTTACAGCAACATATTTAATAGTACTTGCGTTTGACATTACAAAACTAGAAATATAGCAAATCCCTCCAACATAACATATTTTATCAAATCACTCATCATTTTGAAGATAAAATGAAATAACCAGGAATAAGGTTAACCGTGTCTTTATGCAAAATGTACACCCCTGGTGTAGACGAACGGAACGGAATAAAGAGGATTGGCTCCCAGCGTTCAATCTTGATACTCTGCCATATATGGTGTCAATACCTTGGCCTAATTAGCCGCCATCTTCTCATTTCTGAACTGTAATTTCAATTTTCTTGTTTCCAAACAAAAAATTCAAAACTCACAAGAAGTGATCAAGATATTAGTTCATATCTCTTGGAGCATGATCATGAATTTATAGTCCGTTAGTGTCCGTAAACAAAAATATTTTCAATGTTGTGGTCAATCAAGGTCAATGTTGTGTTGAGAACTAAACTTCGTTGCTTGAATTATATTGGCCGCATTTAGACAGAGCATGCCAAAAATAATATTTGGCTATTTTGAGTTGAAATAGACTTTACATTAACCTGTTAGATGCTGCACATGACTGAGCTCATGAAAAATGAAAATAAGGAGCTGCTTGAAACTTGGAAGGGTTAAACTTCATCATCCCATCGAGTATAAAGTCTAATAGTTCGGGGGATATAGAAAACGTCTGTTAGGGCAATAACTCAAATAAAAAGTCCAAACATGTATTGTTCACGAATGTGAGGCATGGTTGCTTTTAACTTTATTAATAGAATGCTCATACACACTGTAGAATTTTATTGACAACTTTTACATAAGTCTATTGCAGTATATTACATTTGTGATGCCTAGGTCACATTTGCTCCGATTCAAAGGCCGGTCTCCGGCCGATTGAGTATTTTGTTCAAAATTGAAGGTCAGATATCAATTTTGAGGTCAGATGTGAACTCCCGAGAACTTGTACATGATTTTAAAAAAGGTTGCTCAATTTGAGGCAAATTGTAATCAGTTTGAACAAAGTACTGCAATCGGCCGGCGGCCTATGAATCAAGCCGAAATGGGACCTAGGCATTACTATACCTCCAAATGATTTTAAACGGACACGATTTTGTGTTAAAATAATTATTTTTTTCGGTCGAGTAAAATCTATCAAGTGAAGGCACCTCATAAGTGGAAGTTATTAAAATTATAGTGATCCAGATCATAGGCTTCATGTTATGCCTTGGTCACATTTGCCCCGATTTTCACAACGGCGCCCGGCCGATTGAGTATTTTGTTCAATATTGAGCTAAACACTTAATCGGCCGGGCGCCGGCCGTTGGATCGAAGCAAATGTGACCCAGGCATTAGTGATCCTCTTGTAAGGGGGGCACCCCAGTCTTTCGGTCATTAAAACCGAGTCCTTGGAACACCTACACGTATTTGCATATCTCTGGCAAAATGCATATATTTTCAATATTCGAGTCTACACAAAGGGAGGAATATTCAATAATTTATAGGACGACCATACGTACAGCTGGTCACCTGTACAACGTACTAAGTGAAATTCGTCTCAAATTCAATAAATATCACTCATGGGAATTTTAGTTCCTGCTATACTTCAGGCCCGTAGCCGGGAGGCGTTGGGGAGCGGAAGCTCTCCTAGACCAGCATGCTGTTTTTCACCATTCTGAGCACCTTTCGGATATTTTTCAGCCAAAACTGTCAAAAAGCTCCCCTTGGTAAAAGCTGGCTACGTGTAATAGTACTTCTAAGTGTTCAAAGAATAGTTCATGGCTTCTGTATCAGATCTGTTGCTGTTGTCAAGAATCCAAAACGTTGACGAATTCTAAAAAATAAAAAATGATATGATGATGAACTTTGATTTTTAATTCAAAAAGTGAAAGGATATAGAAATGTCCAATTTATTCAAGAATATCCATGATAAAATATGGTCCATAATTTCTGCATAAGAGAAAATTTCAAAAATGGCCACCAGATTCAAAATGGCCTCTAGTTTTAATTTGATGGATTTTACATACTTTAAATTATCATGTATCTACGAAATACATTTATTTTTTTTCTAAATCGCACTTCTATCAAAATGGCTACCAAGCTAGGCTCATAAAATGCCATTTTGGCTTAATGAAATAGCCTACTTAGTTTATTTAAAATGGCTGCTCAAATAAAAATGTACAGCAGACAGGGGGACCCTAAAAATGCAACCATCTAATCTTTGATAAGTACTCAATTTTTGTGCATTTTGTGCAATCCAGTTCAAGAAATCAACCGTCTAGCCATACTCTTATGATAAATCGTTCAAGCTTCAGGACTGTATTCAATAAGGAAGTCATCTCTTAGTACTGACAAAGCCGTCAAGAAAAAGTGGGTAAACTGACGGATGGAATTGCAATCTTGAGGAGATCAAACTCAAATACTAGCACAGCGGTGAAAATATAAAATCGTATTTAGGAATTGCATGTTTCAGGCTAGAGCATAACACAAACGGTTAGGGGGGGGGGGGGGGATTTGCCTCCCCCTATGATCTCGGAAACGAACCCATTATTTTGAGCTTACTTATGGCTATATTGAACCATTATAGCCTATGTATTACCTTCAAAACTTATCTTGCCATCCCTGTCTAAGTCTGCCTGCCGGAGCATCAGATCTAACATTTCATCAGAAACGCTAACCCCCAATAACTGGAGACATTTCGATAACTCAGCCTGCGAAAAATCAAATAAGAGTCATTGGGAGTTTCTCACCCAACATGCATTGTCCATTTGTTGGTGTTTCAGAATTAGGAACCCAGGCCCGTAGCCAGGGGGTGTTCGCAGGATTCGGGCGAACCCCCCCCCCCCCCCCTCCCCGGGCCAAGAATTCTTTAAAAATCATGCAGTTTTTCACCGTTTTGGGCACATTTCAAGTGATTTTAGCCATATTTGGACCAAAATTGTCAAATGTGAACCCCCCTGGAAATCTCTGAAAACTGAACCCCCCCCCCTTGGCAAATCCTGGCTACAGGCCTGGAACCTATTCACTTTAAACATTTACACTGATTTAAATTTACTGAATTTCAGATTTAAGGAGTTTGGATTCAACTCATAGTGAATGAGGTAATGGTTTTGTATCACAAAATTGGCGAGGTCTATCAATAAGATTATGCTGCGCAATGTAGGACAATAAGAAATCATATCACACGTGTCATTAGTTTTTATTTTGATACAGATAAACATGCTTTGGAACAAAGGGCAACATTACAGGCGGATACACAAAACAACATAAAATTCAACAAAATATATGTGAATTGGCGTTTATACCTTACTAATATAGCCATCGTTATCCCGATCGAACGCGCTGAAGCTGGATTCGGTGACATTAGCTGACTGCACGTTACAATTCCTACACATCCAAAGGATAAATTCATCTTCGTCTACGCCTAGCTCTGAAGCATACATCATATGATCACACGTTACGATTCCACGCCAATCAAAGCTAAGAGAAACAACCTTGCTTGTCATTTGATAATTACTCGGAATACCTCTTTTTGAGGTTGCAATTCGAAGAATCATCACCAAGCCACAGACACATATAATCTATGATGTGGTAATCATAATCTAGCATTATTCATTTACTAATGAGTATTCATTTGAGACTTGTTTGTTAAATCACTGCGTCCGTGACATACCTTGTGACCCTGCCTGCTTCACAAAGTTTTGAACTTGAGACCAAGTGGTGTCAAAACCCAAACTAGAGAGCATGTGCTTCAGTTCTGTACTCGAGACAAGACCATCTCCATTCTGATCCAGTAACTGGAACGCTAAACTGAGTTCTGAAAAATACATTTTACGGGAGCTAAATAAAAGTATGGATATAGGCCGAATAGAACTCAGACCGTAAAAACTTGTTGATTTTTATGAGCGTTGTTGACTTTGATTCATAAGTTATTCGGGAGATGGTTTCTGATCATGATCACCACTGTAGGTGTCTAGCAGGGAGCATTCTGAACAACTACAATTTATTTTATGTTTTACACACGTTACGAACGCCGGGGTTAACGAGTTATAGACAGGTTCCAATTTCAGAATATCTCAAGGGAAAGGGTTTTTGAGGCATTTTTTAGAAAAAGCAACAGACCTATTTTTTCTGAATCAGTTTTTCATGCTGATAAAGATATTAAAAGATGACAGCTCAACGGGGTGGCGATGACACTGATTTTTAGCGTTTTTACCCCTCTAGGAAATTATTCTTGGGGGTACTATAATATTAGTTCATAACTCAAAGGATATATGAACTATTGCTCTGAGTTCTACAGCATATATTTTTAGTACAGAGATGAATACTATCCTAAATTTATAGGTTGATATCTTTGTTGGTTTCAGAAAAATACAATTAATTAGAAAAAATATGCAGTTTTTGTCATTTTTTATTGCTTATTTTATTTTTGTAGCTTCAAGCAAAATATGATAACTTTAACAGCTCAAAGTAGTATTCTTACAACATTCCCAAGCTATGTGTGATATTGTAATACATCTATTATAGTGATGAAAAACTATTTTGTAATTTTAATATGACTTTATAGTGCCCTACCCCTGGTAAATAGAAGAAAGTTGGTGTGGGTTTCTTCTGGTTTTAACATTTTATTGACTTCTTAGTTGAAGATACAATCAATTTTGTCAGTTTACCATGAGTAGCTTTACAATGGTTAACTATTCCCATGAATAGAGGGTTGGGACCTCAAAAATACCAGAACTGTTGAGTGGCATCCTTGGGCAAACCTCTTCAGAGTATTTCCTTACACTCCAATAAAATCTGCAGGGGATACTATAAGAAACCTATATATCTTAGATACTAATGAAGATACTGACTTCAAATTTTCAGGATTTGGTCCTGGTATAATAGGTAATCTGTATAACAAAAATGACAAAAAGAAAAAACTCTGTTGCCATAGTAACAAGAATACTACACTATTTGTTTCCTAAGAAATGTGTTTTAAGAGGTTTTGTCATTCTCTTCATATTTTTAATTCTAAATATGTCTACAATGTGGAATGATTAAAATTATGGTAAAATAATATTTTCTATTGTTCATGCAATGTCTCTAAAACAGAATTTGCTATGGCGACACATAGATCATATACCTTTAAGGATAGTCTGAGTATTGGTGAACTTTTTAACCTAATTGTACCCCTCCCCCAAAACCCCCAAATTTTGACAATTGTCGAAAAGTGGCAAACAACATTCATTAAAGTTCAAGATGGCTATTTCGCTTCTATGGCATAAAGATATGGTACGATCTCAGGTCAATCAATAAATTTCACAAGTGACACCCTATCTTATGCAGAAAATACTATCGTATTTGAAGACATGTCAAAAATCTGGTGGAAATAATTTTGTCACTCCTGATTTGACCTGGAAAGCTTCAGGTAAATTATCACTAACAATTTCAGACAGTTAAATCTTTGATTATGACTATTTCTGACCATGAGGACAGGTATACAGGGATAATAAAGTCAATCGGACTCGGAGATATTTCACTAGCAATCAATCCATCAATATATTTTTTTCAAAGTTGTTGACCTCATTTTCACCAAAAATGCAATCATTTTTTACAATGTTTAATGCATTACTATTCTTTATTTTAATGTATTAAATAGCTCTTGAAAGGAAAACTGAATTCCCCTAAGATAAGTGTTCCCAGTGTTATTTCCCCATTGAAAAAATTTATGCTATCCATTGGTTTCAGTTCATTTTGGTCATCCAAATTCAGTCTCTGGAGCAATCCACTTTTCCTCTTAGGAATTAGAACATGTCTCAAAGCACATTCTAATTAGAGGTTGCATTTTTGGTAAAAATTAGGTCAACATTTTTAGTAAAATGTTGATTGGGCCATTCCCTTTAATATCATTTAAGTCTGATTAACGTCATTATCATTATATTTACTTTTCTTGAAGATAATGAATAGTTCTAAAAGAAATACCCACGTTCATGGTGAGCAAATATTCATAATTCAAGTTAGAATTGTCTGAAGTTGTTTGCGATAACCTACATGCCCCTTTTATGCAAATACTATCAAATGCTGTAGTCATGACAGTTGAAGTAAATTGAAGTCTTGGTATTTAAAGGCAGAATCAGATCTATATAGAGTAAACAAAATTGAAAGCAACATGTACAGTTGACCTACCAATGAATTCTTACAATCTCAAATATAATATCTCCCAAAAGATCCAAAATATGTTATTAATTGGTAATGTTGTTTAAAATTCATAGTGTAAAAAGGGGGATATGTTCAAATTCTCCAAAATAATGATTAATAAGTTACACTAAGTTATACAAGTGTGAGGCACCATCTGTGGTATCTGTGTCTGGATTAAGTGATGTTGGCACTGTTTGACAATCTTACCACCATTAATAAGAAGCAAGTATTGGCTGCAATGCTTGTACATGGCTCCACCCCTACAGCTATGAGCAAGAGGCAAACCTGGTCTGATTTTGTGCATATTGCAGCTAGGTTGACTACCAGAAAGTCATCTTTGGTTAATAAAGATTCTTAGCTACTTTTCTAACATCTGGCTGTGATGCATCATGGCTTAATGAGGACTCTGCTATATGGTCAGATGATGAGAACTAACAGTTTTACGGAACTTTGCCATGTTTTGCACATTGTAAATGACCCTTCTGAATGGGTTGTAAAGGTATTTACCAGGAGGTATATATGGCTCAAATTACTCATGACCTAGTACGTGGGACACTGTAGTACATTACTTGTGCCTGATGACCACCAAAGTCTAGTTGCTCAAATGAGATCAATTGATGATTATAATGTTGAGACTTTATGTCAATGTCCAGACTGTTTGCCAACCTCTCTAGTATGTGATTACACTAGATTTCATTATGATACATGTACTAAATTGAAAACTTATATATAAAATATCTTAAGTCCTATATTCTAGTAATAAATTAATTAGAATGTCACCTAACATTTGATGATGGTTTGAATTCATTGATTTGGTGTCTATCAACTTAATGCTGCAAAATGTTAAAATTCACCACATCCACTTTCTTCAATTTTCCAGGGGTAGGGCACTATAAAGTCATATTAAAATTACAAAATAGTACTTCATAACTAAAATAGATGTATTACAATATCGCACATTGCTTGGAAATGTTTAAAGAATACTACTATGAGCTGTTAAAGCTGTCATATTTTGCTTGAAGCTACAAATATAAAATTGGCAAGACAAAAATTGCGTATCTTTTTCCTGTTTATTGTATTTTTTCTGAGACCAATAAGGGTATCAACCTATAACTTTGAGATAGTATTCATATTTGTACTAGCAATGTATTGTGTAGTTCTCAGAACAATAGCTCAAATATCCTTTGAGCTATGAACTAGTTTCATAGTACCCCCTAGAATATTTTCCTAGGGGGGTAAAAATGCCAAAAATCAGTGTCATCGCCACCCCGTTGAGCTGTCATCTTTTAATATCTTTATCAGCATGAAAAACTGATCTAGTAAAAATAGGTCTGTTGCTTTTTCTAAAAAATGCCTCAAAAACTTGAATTATCTAAATTGGAACCTGTCTATTATGCATGTAATCGTATTTCTCTATTTGGCGTTTGATTATAAGCGAATGATAACTTTATAACTTATAAAGTATATACCTTTTAACTTTTAAAGTATGTGAAGAAGTTTTTTCTTTTTATTTACCTCTTTTCTCTTGATCTGTAAGGCTCTCTACCTAAAATCAACAACGTTTATACTAAATACACACGAACATTACCAAATGAATACAATAAAAAAGGATTTTAAGTAGTTTACACTGGTTTCTTTAATTTATATACTGAATACGAGTCACTACTGAGATGTTTATTTCATTTGAAAACAATAAATCTTCACTATTCAGTGTGGGCTCACACAATAAAATTCTATATTGTATATCGATATATTTATCACGCACCTGAGGTTTCGGCATATTATAAAATATTCGGCTAATTCGAAAACTATAAACGCTGATTCAACCAAGTAATGCAATAAAACACGTTATGGTTTTACATCGAGGTGATGAAAATACTATGGCGACGTATTTTGAAAATTGGGAGGGAGGCATTCGATATTTAACAACCGAGTGTGAACAAATCTCATCAATCATATTTGTTGTAGCGCATGTTTACCCTAGATGCTTTCAGACAACATCAGTCCTTATAAAAATATATTAAAACATTGATTATATTTCAATCACTAGTATAACTTGGCACATAGACATCAGCCAATCTTGCCAACTTTTTGATGTCTGTACCTTGTTGCCAACCCAATAATAAAAAGATAATGAAATATGCAAAACATCATAGATAACCGTACATTGATGGACGATAAAATTCCATTTATATCTTTTAACATGTTGATCTAGAACGTCAAAAGACCTGAAGATGTATTTGAAAATATATTTTCTGTAAGTCCCTGAATAAGCTGTATTCAATGTGTGCAAAATAAATGTAATAATCCTACTCTGAGATCAATAAATAAGTACCCTGCGTGCAGAGTCTAGTTAAACTACGAAGACGAAGCTCTCTTTTAAGAAGTGAAGTCAAACGAATGCAAAGGGTAATAAATAAGCAGTGATCATCATACCATCTTTGCAGCTCTGGATGCAGCTGATCGTGACCTGGATGTCATCGTGACCGTCCACTATCTCTCAGTTGTGGGATATGTGTGCCAAATTCGTTCCTCGGAATGGTCTCTCGAACACTTTTACGGGCAGTTCTCTCTCTTCTTTCTAGACGATATTTCCGGGCGATTTTTCTCGAGCATCCAGGCTTTACAAGCTATTGCGATTTATTTCTACGTAAATGAGCGTCTTGGTTGGATGCACCCCTAGTTAAATGTACAGTGTTCATATGGCATATGGTCAATGTCTGGTCTAAGACTACCCGAAGCAGAATACAACTACAATCTGTAAATGTATGTGGTTATGTTTTAGAGTTGTATTTGGTAAACTATTTCACGACGTCTGATGATGCCGTGTTTGAACTTGTGGTTTTTATCCTCTTCTAAAGCTTTCACGACTTTATACATGCTGTGCTTTTTGAATTCAGAGCACACTGTCGAGAGTTGTCCTTTTTGTCCCTAAAATCTTTACAATAAAGTTAAGTAATTCAACATTCGCAAATATTCCTTTTAATCGGCGAAGAAATGAACTTCGGTTAAAGCCCATATAGTGTGGGTAGCTATAAATATTGTAAAGTATATGTATTTACAATTGAGCTTACACACTGATTACCGGTCTGTTAACGCACATAGCATTGGCCTGGAATGCCTCTTATCAATGATAAATGATAAATATATCTGTACCTTTAATTTGATTATACGTCAAGATTATATATCACCCGTAGTCTCAAAGCTCATCGATTCTATTTATCTTTGGTCAGTTTTGGTCAGATAAACACTGTAAATATTATATACTTTACTTTAAGTAGCTCAGTCGCTAGCTAGGCCCTTCGAATACGCCAAAAAACTTAGGCCTCAAAGCATATCACCTTCTTCATGTTGTGCACGGGGGCAAAAGGCCCATTCAAAAATTATTCAACCTTCGGGGCTTTTTCATCCTCAGAACACAGGGCTGCAGAAGAAAAAACTATTCTGCATCTTTGAGCCCTGCAAAAACGGATGATGCCTTTCATTATGATTTTCTTGTACTACAATCGACAGTAGAGACGCCTCAAACGTACATTATTGCCATGAAAATAATTCAAAAATGTGCGTCACTACTCAAATTGTTTATCGATATTTACCGCTACGCTTGTATTTCCTGAATGAACTGATAAACCTAGAGGTCTGAAATAAATGCTTTATGGATATCTTCCTACAATGAACCCTAAATATGAGCAATTCTCATTTTGATACTCATAACATCTCTCTGTTGCATCCAGACTCCTGCAGAAGGAAATGGATGGAAAGGGCGGGAGCCATTCTAATAATCGGCCACCCTATACGGCGAAGGGGACCATATGGAACAGGATACTGAAAAGGATGAGAAAAGCTGAAAAAGTTAAATAAGAATAGCACCACAACTTTCAACAGTCGTATATTAGATGATAACTATATCAGATTCTTACTATTTTATAAGTAGTAGTAAGTTATTGAATTATATGAACGACATTTTCTTTCAATGTTATCAAACGTAATGAAGCATAAAGAACTGAAAAAATGTGTATGTAAACTGTGGTATGCTTAGTGATCCGTGATCTTGCTATATGTAACATCTGTTATGTAAAGAAACCGGAGCCAATATACTATATTTTCCAGATCTGGTAGTTGCGGGGTAGTAGCACGGTCGTATGAAAAATGATTGAGGGGGACGATGCGATGTCTGCTAGAAAACAAATATGCAAGATGCAAGAGAAAGTAGGTAATAGTCGCTAAATGAACAGATCATAGGCGCACGGTATGATATTAACTCTGAAGGTATATTCTATGATTTTAGAACCGATACGCTTACTCATGCCTGAAGGCGCAACGTCACCACTGGCGTGCAAATGGCTTTTTGGTATAAATCAAACAGTGGAGTTCTAATAAAACCCAGACACATAAAACAAAAAAGTAGGCTATGCCTTGACTGTTATTTGAAAATGAAACGATATAGCCCTAAACAAAATAATCAAAGTAATACCATAGGAGTAGCTTAATACAGTGGGTGGAGGAGGGGATGGTAATACCGGTTTATATAGTAAGCTTATAGCCAGCCCATAGCTACACCTTGTCCCCCTCCACCCCGGGCCCTCCACTAGTATATCTAGCTAGTAACAATATTATTTTGATTATAAATATGAAACGTTTAGAAACAGCAACGGCATACATTTTGTGATCGTGTACGGGCTAGACCTGCGCACTGCTTGATTTATAGCAAAAAGATTGACTTTTGTACACTTGTGGCATTGCACCTTTTAACTCTGTTCATTCTAGGTTCATTATGCTATATTAAGTTTAGTCAACAGATTTGTTTCTTAGGGGTCGGGTAAAACGAATCACATAATCCCAACCCACCATTGGTTCTGTTCCGATTTACGGTCTGTGACAGTCTTGAAGCAAGACTAACTGTAAACGTATCTAGAACTCCAGGGGGGGGGGTCGCTGTAGGCCTAGCCTAGGGTCCTAGCCTGAGGGTTCAGGCTAGGACTGAATCCTCAGATATCAATATGTTCCCATACCAACAATCAAAATAACACCCAGAAGACGATGTCCTATATAAGTCCAATGTCATAAAGTCCAAAAGTCTTGAAAGCCCATGAGAGGACCAATGCCAGATGTAAAACCAAGGCCATTCAAAAAGTCTTGAACCCCGAGAAGAAGGCAGATTGGATCTTTCAGAAAAACTATCCAAAACAAAATTAAGGATATGTGTAGCTACAGAAGCCTACTAAGGTTTATATCATGGGCTTTCAACTAGATTATGTTTATATGTTTATATACAGTGAGAACCCTGGGCTACAAATACATGGACAAGATTTCGAACGCATATTGTTCCAAAAATACATTCACGATTAAAAGATGTCGCGCATATAAACTATTTGCTTTTTCATTGGATAATAACTTCTCAATCAAAGATCTGTGATTGGCTGATTCACATACACTATATGACCCTCTTCCTTTCCAGTTTTCCATTCTTACAATCAACGTGTAGTTAGGAACACTCCGGTAAGAAGTGATTTTTCTTCTTTTGTAGTACATCATGTACATTTATCTATTGTGAGAGGTTGAGTTATGTTTAAGTTGATTTATTGACATCATTTTTGAAAGACATAACAGTTAGTGATTAGAGAAAACGGGGAAAATGTTCTTGCAAAAAACTTACATCATCACCTGAAAAATATGGCGCGAAATCTGAAATTTGTAAACAAATATTTTTCCGCTCATAATAAATGTTGATACTTTTGTTCATTTGATTTAACTTCTTTCATGAGGCTTATTTTCGAACTTTCGATCTTAATATGTAGGCATACCGATTATTCTAGGCTATAGATATGGACAGGGATCTAGTCGAAAAAAGTTTAGGCTGGGAAATAGGCTACAGTTACTTCGGTCCAAAGCCTTCTCTATATTCCGGCTTTGAGGAGGAAGATTGAGCTGCCTTAGTATTATAAATATTGTAAATCATTGTGTCACACGCACAGTAAATATGGCATAATAATATGAAATATACCTTTATGTATAGATTTGAAGAACATCAGCTCACATCCCCGTCTGAATCTATTGTTATATTTGATTTCAAAACTGCGAGAATAATTTCAAACAATTCAGACAAGCAACGCTTTATCCTAAATATGATTAATATTCTTAAAAATATTTATAAAATTTATTAAAAATGAGTTCTAGGTGCGTGTAGGTGCGTGTAGCACCTTTTCTAGAGTACATACGAAATCAATGAAGTTTCGTCTAGCTGTAAGCTAGAGACTCGAGTAAGGCTACAGTTGTGTAGATCTAACTAAGATCTAGGCTAAGTTAGTCTTGTAGGGAACAGCACCATTGGACGTCTTTTGAAGTCTCGTGCACATTGCTCATGTCTCACTTTTCCCAAAGAATGGCACAGGACGTTAAATTATATATCTGCTTTTTATGGGCTTATTAGTAGTGTTGTCGCGATGTGCCATAATCGTACATCGATGCATCAGCAATATTCAGTAGTAAACATCGATGCACATCGAGAAAAAGTTCGAGAAAAGTGCACTGAAATACCGGACGCTAATGCACTAAAATATCGAACAGAACAAATTAATAAGAGTACGCTTGTACATCCGGGAACATAGTAACGGTGAAATGAAAGTAAAGTAATTTTTTTAGATTAATGGTTCATTTGGACTAGCTAAAACAGTTTTAAAGCGAAAGAATATCAGAAAACATTTGAAAATGAAATAAGACATGAAAAAAGGTAAGCAATTTGCGTCAAAATAAGATAAGAAAGGGCGATTTTTAGCAAATTAAATTTTTTAAAAACATCGATGTTTTGTTTCAGACATCGATGCATCGCCAGAACCAGCTTTGGCGATGTATATCGCGATGTATCGATTAATCTCGACAACACTACTTATTAGCCTTTGCAGATTATTGACATAGACATATCGGGAAATAACACAATGTGCATATTCCAAAATCAGAAACTGTGCAGTAAACTGGACAGGTTTTGCATGCATGAGCTTTCTAGAGACTCGAGATACGTGCATTAAGATGAGATTTCAAAGGATGTGAAAAGGTATCTCTTGTATTAGGTCTATGACATAACAAGTATAGGGACATTCCATCCAGATTCAACCAAGTTCAAAGAAAGAAAGGCAATATATAAAAAATCAAGAAATTCATTGTTTTGTATACTTAGTTTGAAAATAGTCTTTTTTTACAAATTTTTAATGTTAAAGTAAAACTTTATTAAGATAATCATTATTGATTTTGTGTTCCAGATAAACCCTTATTACAATATGGCTGCTATGGACACGGATCAACAAGCCGGAGGTGATGGCTGGAACCTCCAAGATGACATGAGCAAGGATGATCCTGACATGTGGGAGATATTGCAAAAAGAAAAGCTCCGTCAAAAAAGAGGGCTTGAGCTGATCGCCTCTGAGAACTTTGCGAGTAAATCTGTGTTACAAGCTTTAGGCTCTTGCTTTAATAACAAATACTCTGAAGGGCAAGTTGGTCAAAGGTGAGTTCATCTTGACATTCAGTGTTTAAGTAATTTTTGATGAAACATTATTGAACACTGATGTATTTACATATATTTGTACTTTGAAAACTGGAGTTCCTCTAATATTTATACTTTTCAGTGTTGGACTAGTTAACATTGCGTTCTTCCTCTCCCCAAAATAATGTAGATATTAGTTAATATATGTCCTATATATCCTATATGAATACAATCTTTTTACTTTTGTCATGTGACCTTCTAGCTGTATTAATTATCTTCAATAGGCAACCTGTCTCGTCTTGAAATGTATGAAAATCTCAAAGTACAGTCCAATGTGCATAAATGAACAACTTTTAAAGCTGAAAATTCACAAACTCACAAATTGGAGAAACCATTATCTTTCATTTGGTTTCTCTAATTCCTTATTTTATTTTAGACATTCTCTAGAGACATGGAATAGTTTGTGGTACTGGGTTTAATTTCACATTTTCCGATGCTTTAAATTGAATACTGTCAGTCGTGTGAAATCAGTTGAAAATGATTGTTGCTCATTTGCTTATTGGCAGATGATTTTTTCAATTTATTGATGAGTCCTAACAATGTATTGTCAACATACATGTCATGTACTGATGCTGTACATTAAAATACATGTATGTGTACAATGTCACCTTAGTGCTATTCTTAATGGGCTGTATGTTAGCTACTGTATGTCAGTACTATAGTAAGGCTTTTTGATGAATCGGTATTTAGTTAAGGCATTAGAGGGATTGTTTGCAGGAAAGATTTTTGTCCTTATGTCCTCCATCTTTTCAGGACCTGTTTTTTATGATGTTGACATATGTAGAGAATACCAGTACACCTGTGCTTTGTGTAGAACTTAAAGAACCAATATGATATTTAACATACACTATCAATAGACCTGCACCTTTTTTTCAGAAAAAATCAAAGCTTGATAACATTTCTCACTAAGTAAGCAGAATATGTTTCAAATTGAAAAACTACTGGCACCTATTTCAATTTTAAAAAGCAGCATCAACTTGCTCCTTGAAATATTTCTCCAAGCTCACGAATTACCAAAAGAAAATTTATCTTAAAGTATTGTTTGTGTTACTTATAATATACAGTAAAGTTGTCGAATCCGAACACCTCTTGGACCAGCCAAAAGTGTTCAGATTAGCAGGTGTTCATAGAAAGGTGTCCAAATATGCAGGTTTCACTGTATATCATTATGAAATGAAAACTATTTAAGGTCATTTAGGATGAAAATTAAAGCTATAAGCCAACATTCAGAATCATTTACTAAGGTGAAGGGGGAGGGTTGCAATTCAGTAAGATATTCAGGTGAAAATATGAAATATGAGAAAAAATTGAATGTAGTGTTTTGGTAAATTAAAAAGATACGGAATATAATATGAAGGCAAAAATGTGAATATCATGAACAACTTCAATATAAACAATATAAAATATGTTAATCTGTTTCAGTTCTATTTTTATGTCACAGCTAGAAGTTGTTATAGGCTCTAACTCCGAAGGTGTTCAGCTGCATTTGGCATCTGGTGTTTGGCCTTTGTAAAAATTTGCAATAAGTGAATAGATGGTGACATTTTGTCATACTTGTAGAGTTTAATCTGACTTTTATATTATCAGAACCAGGCAATGTGAGCTGCTTATAAATTCATGTTTCATAATGCAAAATTGGAAAACATGTTTTGCTGTCAACAGCTTTGTCAAAGTTCCATATGAACTGATAATAACAGAATTTTTAATTTATATTTATGCAACTAGCTTACTGCCTAGGGCTTGAACATTGACTATTGTTTCTATTTGTGTGTGCTTATAAAATGTAACTTAAGATAAATCTATCTAAACACCTTACGAAATGTATAATTGATAGGCCTTGTTGCCACAAGTTCACACTACTGTAACAGGTCAAACTCCTTCTGAGTGACTTAGGGACTGTCTCAATGTGCTTAAAGTAGTGCAACATAGGGAAATGTTGGATTGGGTTGTCACATTACTGATACTTTTTAATCAGATCTGTGGATTTGTAATAAATTGTTAAGAAGGTTGACACCCTCACAATGCTTCTCATAGTACAATCATGAACTTCTGCTTCATTCCAATAAAATACTAGTATGCATTCATTTATTTAGGAAATCATGACTATGGCTTCAGTATTCATTAAATCAATAAATGAATACATATATATTGCATTTTATTCTTCAGGTATTATGGAGGAAATGAGTTCATCGATGAAATGGAGACTTTGACAATCAACCGAGCTCTCCGGTGTTTCCGTCTGAATCCCGAAGAATGGGGCTGCAACGTTCAGCCTCTTTCTGGATCCCCTGCCAACTTTGCTGTCTACACAGGAATCGTAGGACCTCATGGACGTATCATGGGATTAGATTTACCAGATGGTGGACATTTATCTCATGGTTTCATGACTCCAACAAAAAAGATCTCTGCAACATCGATATTCTTTGAGTCTATGCCATATAGAGTGGATCCCGTCACGGGGCTTATAGACTATGATCAGTTACAACAAAATGCAAGACTTTTCAAACCAAATATGATTGTAGCAGGTAAAAATAGATTTAGAAAGGAATAAGTTGGTAGGATTGATCATTCTCATTTTTTGTTGAAATGATGTTATGAAATATGAGTGTTTTGGATTTGACATATTTTAGTTTGAGGATGTGAGAGTGGCGATGATCTGATTTTTATCGCACTTTGAAAAAGTGCTATATTGTCGTCGTCTTGTGCTGTTGGGCGGGCGTGCGGTCGTGCGGGCGTGCGGGCGGCACATAAACCAAATCTTGTCATCAAATTTCCAGGATAACTGCTTACCTGTTCAACTTGAAATTTTTACAGATGCAAGAGCAGACTAGTACCAAGATCTGATTAGGTTAAGGGCATGCTGGGTAAACTACGTGGCGGCCATTTTGAATTTTTCAACAAATCTTGTCATCAAAATTCCAGGAAAACCACTTATCCGTTCAACTTGAAATTTTTACAGATGCAAGAGCAGACTATAGCCAAGATCTGATTAGGTTTTGGGTATGCTGGCTGAATGACATGGTGGCCATTTTGAATTTTTCAATTTGGCGGCCATTTTGAATTTTTCAACTTGCTCCAAATTGACCAAATTTTTTTTTTAAAAACATCTTCAAGTTCTCAGAAGTTCAAATCTGACCTTAGATTTCAGATTTGACCTTTCGTTCACCTTCAGTGACCTTCAAAAGGTCAAAAAAGTTGATTTTCTAAATTGATATTTTGGATTTAAATTTAGGTCAGCTTAATTACAAAACACCTACTGAGGTCTGAAAAAGTGAAATTTTCAAGGTCGAAGGTCAAGGTCATTAAACTAGGTCACAGATTTGACCTTTCATTCACCTTCAGTGACCTTGAAAAGGTCAAAAAAGTTGATTTTCTAAATTAATATTTTGGATTTAAATTTAGGTCAGCTTAATTACAAAAGACCTACTGATGTCTGAAAAAGTGAAATTTTCAAGGTCGAAGTTCAGGGTCATTAAACTAGGTCACAAATTATGTTATCCAAGTTTCTCAAAGTTTGAGACTACAAATCAATTCTTGTCATCAAAATTCCAAGAAAACCGCTAACCTGTTCAACTTGAAATTTTTACACATGCAATAGCAGACTAGTGCCAAGATCTGATTAGGTTAAGGGCATGCTGGGTAAACTACGTGGTGGCCATTTTGAATTTTTCAACAAATCTTGTCATCAAAATTCCAGGAAAACCACTTATCCGTTCAACTTGAAATTTTTACAGATGCAAGAACAGACTATTGCCTAGATCTGATTAGGTTTTTAAAAACATCTACAAGTTCTCAGAAGTTCAAATCTGACCTTAGATTTCAGATTTGACCTTTCGTTCACCTTCAGTGACCTTCAAAAGGTCAAAAAAGTTGATTTTTTAAATTGATATTTTGGATTTAAATTTAGGTCAGCTTAATTACAAAACACCTACTGAGGTCTGAAAAGTGAAATTTTCAAGGTCGAAGGTCAAGGTCATTAAACTAGGTCACAGATTTGACCTTTCATTCACCTTCAGTGACCTTGAAAAGGTCAAAAAAGTTGATTTTCTAAATTGATATTTTGGATTTAAATTTAGGTCAGCTTAATTACAAAAGACCTACTGATGTCTGAAAAAGTGAAATTTTCAAGGTCTTAGTTCAGGGTCATTAAACTAGGTCACAAATTATGTTATCCAAGTTTCTCAAAGTTTGAGACTACAAATCAATTCTTGTCATCAAAATTCCAAGAAAACCGCTAACCTGTTCAACTTGAAATTTTTACACATGCAATAGCAGACTAGTGCCAAGATCTGATTAGGTTAAGGGCATGCTGGGTAAACTACGTGGCGGCCATTTTGAATTTTTCAACAAATCTTCTCATCAAAATTCCAGGAAAACCACTTATCCGTTCAACTTGAAATTTTTACAGATGCAAGAACAGACTATTGCCTAGATCTGATTAGGTTTTTAAAAACATCTACAAGTTCTCAGAAGTTCAAATCTGACCTTAGATTTCAGATTTGACCTTTCGTTCACCTTCAGTGACCTTCAAAAGGTCAAAAAAGTTGATTTTCTAAATTGATATTTTGGATTTAAATTTAGGTCAGCTTAATTACAAAACACCTACTGAGGTCTGAAAAAGTGAAATTTTCAAGGTCGAAGGTCATCAAATTAGGTCACAAACAATGTTATCTAAATTTTCCCAAAGTTCAAGACTACAAATAAATTCTTGTCATCAAAATTGCAGGAAAACCGCTAACCTTGTCAACTTGAAATGTTTACAGATGCAAGAGCAGACTAGTGCCAAGGTCTGATTAGGTTTTGGCCATGCTGGGTTCATTGCATGGTAGACCAGTTTGCTCTTCAAAGTGCGATATTTATCACTGTGTGTCTTGTTTCACATATTGTCAATGATGTTTCTCATTATTTCACTTATAAGGAAAATACTTTCTCCAAAACATCCCCTCAATAGTGTAAAAGGATTATATTTAACTTAATATATAGCTTATGATATGTGGCACTTAAATGTAGATTATAAGAACAAACATTTTAATTACAGGTGTGAGTTGTTACTCCCGTAACCTTGACTACAAGAGATTCAGGGAGATCGCAGATGAGAATGGCTCATATCTATTGGCCGATATGGCACATATAAGTGGCCTTGTGGCAGCTGATGAAGTCCCAAGCCCATTTGTGTATTGTGATGTTGTTACCACGACAACTCATAAGACTCTCAGGGGACCACGCTCAGGGATGATCTTTTACAGAAAAGGTATTATAAAGTTATGAAATAATTTGTATTATATGTGTATAAGTAATTAACTGGACAAATTTTATTATTATGAAGATTATTAAGAAATGGTGGCATGTTGTTAAAGCCACCTTTTTCATGAATGGTGTCCTGCATCAGCTATTGGTCTCGACTATTCTTACAGTTTTTAAAATATATTAAAACATGACCATGCTCTAATTGAGTTTCTCAACCAATCAGAATGCAATCTCTATACATGAATGACAGTGCAATATGCACATCCAGGAATCTGAATATGTATTGCGACGTCACATCTGGGAATGGCGAAATTGACAACAAGTTGGTTATTTCATGGACCTCAATCCCCAATTTTCTGAACAATACTTTCATTCATCACTCATTTTACGGAATGTCAGTACAAAGGCACTCACCCTTGGTTTGTGCTTTGTGACATTCTGTCCAACGAGCGATGACTTTCACCATATTCAATGGCCTATCATTATTTATTCCTTAGTTAAAAGACAGTTATTTCCTTTTCAACATGTATAGTTCTTTCAAGGTTTGATAATAATTTACATAACAAATGGTTCACATGTTGTGTAATATGAGGTTATATAATGGTTGATTCGGTATATCGTGTTTATACTCAAGTGAGTATATGATATATTCACGAGTGACTGAAGGGAACGAGTGAATATATCATATACTCACGAGAGTATAACGATATACAGAATCAACCATTATATGATCTTATTATCCCACCCTAATCTTTAATCAATAAAAGGTTAATCTAAATTCAGCAGTTGTATATCAAGTCGAAGAGTTGTATACGCTGCCCAGGAGTTGTATACGCTCTCCAGGAGTTGTATATCGTTCTCAAGAGTTGTATACGATGAGTGTTGGTTTTATATTGCAGTTATACAATGCTATTATACAATCATATAAAGCACCTAGGGTGGGATAACTTGTTATATATGCTTCTTTCACATATACAAGAATATAGATGTCACCATATATTGGTTGAACACAATAAACTTCTTAAATTATACCCCAGCATCAGCAGCAGCAGAAAACATCGTTTAGCGATATGTTATGTAAACAAAAACATACATGATGAATTAATAATATTTTCAGGTTTTTGAGAATGAGAATAGCAGCTATTAGCCTTTAAATGATAAATAATGAACAAATATTGAATTAATCATTCTTTTTTGAAGGAGTGCGAAAGGTAACAGCAAAGGGAGACAAAGTGATGTACGATATCGGGAAGAAAATTGACGAAGCTGTCTTTCCAGGTCTTCAAGGAGGACCACATAATCACGCAATAGCTGGTATGTAAAGAGAAAATGTCAGAGTTGTCTAATTAAAAGATATTTTACCTTTTTCACTTAACATTGGAGTTTTGTTTGAGATACTTGAATTTTTTATGATGACACATCTCTGATATATTGCCCATGGGCTTTTTGTTATTAAAAAAACCTGCAGGTATTTCAGGGTATATTATTGACTTTTTGGCCAACTATGGTAATGACTGTAAAAATATGTAATAGTCATATTTGTCTGTAACAGAATTTAATTCAAAATATCTGCTTAGTGCATGAAAGCATACATATAGTGTGATATACAATATATATAATTGGATCTTAATGAGGAGTTCTGGTATTCTTCTTGAGAAAGAAGTTACAAATCTTTTATAACGTCTAAAACTTTCTAGCATTTTTCAGTTTAAATTCAATGTTAAGAAAACTCCATTATATGTGCTACATGTTTGCCATATGATTATATTTGCTATACATGTTTGCCATATGATTATATGTGCTATAAATGTTTGCCATATGATTATATTTGCTATAAATGTTTACCATATGATTATATATGCTATACATGTTTGCCATATGATTATATTTGCTATACATGTTTGCCATATGATTATATGTGCTATAAATGTTTGCCATATGATTATATGTGCTATACATGTTTGCCAAATGATTATATGTGCTATACAATACATGTTTGCCATATTGCCATATGTTTGATATAAATTGCTATATTTATTTCTTTTATAGGAGTTGGAATTGCTCTGAACCAAGCGATGAGACCAGAATTCAAAACTTACCAGAAGCAATGCATGGCTAATGCCAAGGTTATGGCTAAAGTCTTCATGGAAAGAGGATACAAAGTTGTCTCAGGTACAGTAATTTACAAGGACAGGAATACAAGATTGGCTAAGAACTATATACGACCATCATAATAAATAAATTATTTCGCTTCTACGTCTTATTCAATGAATACCAGACTACTGTTTATTTTACTTCCAATGAAATCCAAATCCCTCACCATTTGTAAATAAATTAGGATATATTATCCCACAATGAATTTATATATCACACTTTCTGATCTTCACATGATGTGATTGAGGAGAAATTCACTGATAGCTAGTGACATCTAAATTTCTTGTTCAGTGTAAACATCCGGCATCAGTTTCTTCACCCTGATTTTTATAATGGTCAAAGAAATACCTAATAGTATCTACAATCTTTGTCACCACCAGAATTTGTGACATTGTTATAATCTGAGACTTTATCGTGGATGGTGTTCAGCATCAGTAACAGGTGGTTTGCATGTTAATGCCTTTTTTTAATATTCTGTTCAAGAAAATAGAATTTTGTTTGCCATATGTCAGTGACCATATTCTCACCATGGTTTCTTGAATCATTAAAATTATGTCATGAAACTGTCTTAAAAAATATTCATAAACATAATTCAGAGAAAACATACTGTGATTTAAGTAAAAATTGAACAGACATTGTGTATCATTATAGGTGGTACTGACAATCATCTCATCCTTGTTGATCTGCGACCACAGAAAACAGATGGGGCTCGAGCTGAGAAGATTCTGGAGGAGGTCAGCATTGCAGTGAACAAGAACACATGTCCCGGGGATAAAAGTGCATTGAAGCCAAGCGGTCTGAGACTCGGCTCTCCTGCTCTCACCTCAAGAAACTTCAAAGAAGCGGAGTTTGAACGAGTTTCTGATTTTGTAGATAAAGGTATGTAATGTCTGAATACTTAAGTAACAGATTGAAAACACATTGAAATAAAGAAAAAATTCTGTTTATGAGATTGTGTGTGAGATTTCTGAAGTATCTAATGAAAAAGTGATATCTAGGAGTCCCTATGTACTACCATAAAAACAGTATATTCTCACTCCTCATTAAGAGTTTTTTTTCAAAATGGATAGGATATATCTTTTATATATTTCGCACTGTTTCAAAGTCACTTCATCAGATTTACTTTATTATTCACAGTTTGCCTAACATATGTGCTTTAAAGATATGCACAATATTCATTGCTTATTTTCTTAATGTTCCAGCAATTAAACTGACCCTAGAGATCCAGGCAGACTGTGGTCCCACCCTCAAGGAGTTCAGGGCCAAGGTTAAAGAGGATCAAGCTGTACGCGAAAAAATAAACACTCTCAAATCAGAAGTTGAAGCTTTTGCTGAAAAATTCCCCATGCCAGGTTTTAATGAGTTGTAAAACTTGCCCAATATATCTCTGCCTATGAACAATGAATTTGAGGGATAACAACATTGTATGGAGTATCAATGTGGCAGTAATAGTTCACTCTGAATGGAGTATCTGAGATCTTAGTATTGTGTGCTGACTAAATGAATCAGTTTATGTATTCGATTCATTTGTTCCTTCTAAGTTACTCTTTCTGAAGCCTTTTTGGAATGACAAAGCAACAGCCACCATGATACTTCAGGCATTGTGTTTTTTAGGGAACAATCGTGCGAACATACAGTATTTATCTGCCATAAAATTTTGAATTTTATGATAAGGAATAGGAGTAAATTTTGCTCAATAATTGTTAAGGTATTAGTTAATGTTGATTTCTCAAATGTTAACACACCATAAGTGAATGCACGATGTGAACAAGAACACTATTAGATGCTTCTGCACAATTTTTTTATCATGTTAATTTTGTTGAATTGTGATTGTTCTATTTTGAAATCGAACAACTTCATTTTATTACTGTGATCACATTGCAGGGTTCAAAACTCACAATTGTGCGACTGCCAATGGCAAGCACTTTTTCATTTCTGGCAATGAATTTGGATAATTGAGTTGCTTATTGGGCAATTGACTGAATGCCAATATTTTAAATTGGGCAAAGGACTGAATGCCAGTATGTTAAACTTTGGCAATCACCTTTATCTTGGACCCTTTGGTCAGATTAGTACTATTTACATTATTTTGTGGGAATACTTACTATGTAGTTAGAATTGTAGCCAGAGCGGAGGTGCTGCTATAATTATAGAGACAGTACTGAAATATTAGGGTAAAAGAATCTTACTTAGACGTGGCTTAATATAATGAACAATACAATATATATATGGACTCTCTCAGGAGTTTATAATGGGTGTTTAAATGGATAAAGTTTTTTTGTTCAAATATATAATTATTTCAGTTATTGACACATCATTTTAACAATATTCTAAATATTTATTTATACTATTACTATTATTACTATGTAATGCATGGTGTGCGGAACTGTCATATTGTTATGTGTTATGAAAAAAGGTTTTAATTGTCACAAATCCAATTATGTTAAACGATTGATAATTTTAATTAAGAAAATATTAAAACATTTTCTTTCAATGAAGATTTTCAGGTGCACTAGTTTTTTTTTATTGTCTACTTATGTTTATACTTATGTTTAGGTATTTTTTGAAGTGTATTGATAATGTATAATATGAGGGATTGTAAAATCAAGGTTATGGAATCAGGTAAAATAAACTTTACATGACAATAAAAACTATTTTTCGACTTGCAAAATTTGAAAATCCTATAAAAGTAAATCATCAATCATCAGTCACATTTGCTCTAAGGCAGTTGAGCATTACAGAATAGATAAAGGAAATTGACATTTAACTGTTTCTCCCTATATTTTATGCTGCTTATCTTTGGGAAGCTATGGCTGCAGTAACGTAAGTGTCGCCGTAGATCAAACGTGACTGAGGTATTAAAAATCGTGTTTATAGAATATAGGCGCGAGTTAAATGTTTGGCTTCAGTGTCTCTAAATCCAACACTGGGACATGGCAAAGACCAAAAAGCTTTATTGCAAAACACTCCAAGGAAAGGAAGTACATCCTGTCCTTTGAAAGAATCGAAGACCCCAAATTACCCAAACTAAGATAATGCTCAAGGAAACCATTTCTATCACCCCTCAGGAATCATGACAAGCCAGTATCTCGAGACCATGGGACAAATCACTTGCTGAAGTTTGACAAAGTAAAATAAAATCAATAAGTCACACTTTTTTACATAATCATTTATTCCATATGTATATGTTATATAGAAATTACTAATTAATACTGTTCTCACAAAGTTTCTCATTTAAATGTTTTAATGTCAGAATCAAATATAAATGATGAAAATTTAAATTAGAGCTTCCCGTATAGTCTTATCTCATCATAAGTATAAATGCACTTTATGATTAACAAACATTCTCCAATTTATGTAATTTGTCACTTCAATGAACAAATTGGTAATGACTTGATTTAAAGAGTTAAGGATTGGTTTTCCAGCCTTCGATGTCTTGTTAGTGCTGGGATCCCTAAAAGGAGTACACCTTTCATGTTAACAAGTTGATTACTTGATATTTTATTGTTAACGAGGGTGGATCATGTTAAATTGCTACGTCACAGCCATAGTGGTCTCCAATCCAACCTTTTGGGAACGGCGTTCGGCGTCTGTAACAAATGGTAGATGGTGACATTTTGCATAACTTGTATGACGTATATATGTCACTTTGTCCATTATAATAATATGCTTATTAATGACTCATGCGAAGGAACTGTTTTACACATAGAGCTGGCTATCTTCGAGAACACACCCAGACATCTCAAAACATTGCAGATATGAATATATCTCATTCTGTACTTCAACAATAGGTTACGTTAGTATGTCAAATTTTGTATTTGGAATATAGCTGGTCGAGCTGGGTGGTTGACTGGTGAACTATAGCACAAATGCTACTAACTTTGTGCATTTTTCTTTAGGCTCTGGATAGGAGAAATACTCGTAGACAGTTCCAATTCTGGTAAGATCTAAAATGTTTTCAAAAGTAGCTGTCATGGCCTTTACGAGGGTTTCAATATGGAATATATGTCCGGTAACTATGAAAATGCTATTTTGATTGGCTCGCTAGATTTCCATCAACCATACTCCCAGTATTCTGATTGGCTACGGTTAAATCAAATTTTATCTTCCTCAGAGTGTCGATCCCCTGGGTGTCGATGAAACGCTTTATAAGGTACATTCTTTGACATGTTGGACGATAAATATTGGTAAATACATCGTTTTTTTCAATATATCTTGTGTGAAAATATGACTAAATACTCATAAACGTGATAAAAAACCTGATCTGTTTTTATACAAAACAGTTCATACCTCTAATCACCGATAGGACATGCATATGTCTAGTGCACATTAAGCTATATCGGATATGTCTATGTTATTGAATGTGTTTTTCCATCACCTAACGCTCAACGTTTTGTTCAGAAGTATCGTATCGTAGATAAGACGTAAATATACGTTTTGCGTTCAAATATATGCTATTATCGTATATGATTTGTAAAATGTAGCCCTCTGATTGGTCAGTTATTGTGCTGTACCAATCTGTATTGCTACTGAGATTGTCCCCGTTGATCATCTCCGTCGCAATACAGAAAATATTGGTGCGGAGGGGACAATCTCAATACAGAGGATCACACGATAAAAACGTTATAGAATGATTTGAAGTGCAATACAGGATATATTCTGCTCGAGAAATTCTCGTATTGGTACGAGACGAAGTCGTATTGCACTTCAAATCATTCAATAACTTATAGTATTAAATCACAAGAGCTCATGCTTTAAACCGAGTTCATCCTGGTTGAAAGGGGTGATGTGGTAATATACTCGAATACGTCCTTGCACATTTGCTGCATCGTATTTAAGGAGTATATTTTGGCTAAGAATGGCATTTGGAGTTTTTTAATTGAAACTCCCCAGTCTATATTGTGATTTTTATTGGGTCCCTTTTGCACTGTTGAATCCGTCTTGAGCTAGAGCAACGATTACTCCCATCACCTTCTCCCATGATGTCTTTTGGAACGGCGTAATGGTCGCACTCATCCTCTCAACGAGAAAGGCAAGGAAAGCATCTCTGAGATTCTGAAACAGAATGTTTAACTTTGAGCAATGATAAGCTTGTAAGCGAAGTTGGTTGACCCGAAGATGGTAAAACTTTCGTGGCTTTTGTGAATCATAACTATATTTTGGGATTGGATAAGATATAGGGTACACCATAAAGGAGAATCCAAGGGAATTTATCAATATTTTCTCAAAACATGTTCTCCAAATACCAAGTACTAAATAACCGGATTTAATCACCAGAAAATAAAAATTGAATAAAGTAATATCCATTCACTGTTGACATGGCAACAACTAGAAAGCTGAATACATTGATATACAGATTCACTTTTTTGATATGTGTTTCAATTCAAACATTTATTTATCATTCATACAACAGCAATGAATCATTTGCGTATTTTTTAGGTTTGGAATTTTATTGCATCTAACATTGCAGATATCATATCATAATCATGGAATAAAAATTTGCACATTCTCACCTCAAATGCTTCTGCAGTAATACCATTGGGGGCGTGGTCAGAACCCACCCCTTTTATGATCCCCACGAGCTCCGGAACATTGTCCAAATTTTCAACCATGTTGTTGATCTGGGTAAACACTTTTCCAGCATGTAATTTAAACGTCGCATTTTCTTCAAGGTCGTTTAATTCAACATCTCTAAATTTGAAATAGCCCTGCATTTTCGGGAACATTTCGAAGAATCTAAAAAAGTAAACACATTGTTGTTACTGCTTTTACAAAAAGACAATAGGTTATGTAGAGTGACTCAAGAATTCATGTAGTAAATTCTTAAAGTCACGTACTTTAAATTTCCTTCAAGGTCTTTTCCAATCTCGATCATCAAATCAATAAGCCTACTACGTATCATTAACTATATTTTTTCGTTAAAAATGAAATAAATTCTTACTTTTTAAAAAAGAGGAATCCGTTTTTTCTTTTGTCTTGCATTACAACAGCCCAGGTGTCTCTGAGCGCGTTTTTCTCCCTTGGAGTGAGTCCAGTCCCGGGCTCAACCGTATCCATGTTGTCTCCTGAAACATATTTATTACATATATTCCAGATGTTATCGCCCATAAAGTGATTCCCCAAGGAAAAATAACACATGTGAAAACTTGTAATGATTAACATTAGTAACCCAAAAACATTATTAATTTATCGATGTGATTCATTTTCCACGCAATGATGTTTATTTGTTTGTTCTTTTAGAGACTCAATTGAAACGCTATGTGTATACCAAACATCGCCATAACCCAAATTGACCGTTGTGCATGAACGTCTATCTAGACCCTAAATCCGTTTAAAGTTTGTTTTTAAACTCTATATTAAAATCAAGTCTGTTAGAAACGTATTAATCACGTATGCTACCCCCAAATTACAGATACAGTGCTGGTATATATTAATTGATCAGTCGTTTAATTGGCATATTTTCTTGAATTTTAACATTTAATGTCCCAAACTCCCACAAACTGCTGAAAAGTATACCCCATAAATCATATTTACCAAAATGAGTGTCTCCAAGGCTTCACACCAGCGTATGCATAATGCATTTGTCACGAGTTTGAGCTGAAATTTCGCCAAAATGAAGTAGGCTAAGGGTAGTCTCTGCCAGGTTTGTTTATTGTGGTAAGCTTGTAAGTGCTCAGAAGCAAATAATTCATGTGCGCAGAATAATCAAATAATCTGATTGGTCTAAACTTTGCTGCACATGCGCACAATGTGTGCCATGTTTTTTCTAGTGATTTCGTTTCGTTTCATGGAGTTTGCGTTTCAGTGTAACTTCCGCAAAAATGGCGGACCATGGACAGAATTAAAAGGTAAAATCACTTCGAAATTTCAAGAGAACTTTTTACCTATAATAGCAAAACTTTTGTTTTATTTGTGCATTCTATCTATCAGATAAGAGTCTCAGGGGTATGTAGGCAAATTCATTTTGATAGGAGCACTCTGTTTAGTTTGAAAACGCACCCTTAATTATTATATATCAGCACTGTAAATAAAATTTACCTTTCTCATCATCTATTCTACTTTCTTTACCTGGCATGCACTCCATTACGTTTTTATAATTTTTTATGAAGTTAGTAATAAATATTCTATTGCCTGCTGTTTTTCAGATTTACTTCATATGATGTGGAAACGAATAATAATCACGCGAGACAGTGGTGGAACAAGGATTTTCCACAAGGGAGACCGGGGGAAAACGGGACGTCGGTTTTCAGTGTTTCAAAGACAGGCTGTGCCATAAAAAATGAGTACACACTCGGTATTTAACCATTTTGGCCCAGGGCATCAGCCATATTTGTTTTAAATATTTCAAAATATGCACCAGCGTCTTAAATTCATTTTCATCTATTTTAGGGAAATACATACTTTTTAATCTACAGGCAATCTATAAAACAGTGATAGGTATGATTCATCGCTGTGGTCTGAAAATTGGTCTTACAGCGTTCCTGGTGTTAGCAATTTCTCAAGATGGCGCGTCCGACGCTACGAACTCTGATGAGTGACATTGTCAAACGCTTCCATCTTTGCAAACGCTAGAGAAAAATCGGGTGTCCTTTCTTGTCCCGTGCCCTGTTTTGGCCCGATCTCCCTTAGTTTATTTGTGATATAGCCTTAAGGATTTAACAGATTTAAATCCCAAAACATTTTCTATTCGAATCACCACAACAAAATCATGTTAAATCTGGTTACATGATTTTAAGGGGATTTGTACTTGATAATTTATTGAAGCGTATGACGTTCGGAACAATGATAGTACCAAATATATTTAAACAGGATTACTGGTATTCCATTAGGAGTTATACAACAAGTAGAAGTCTACTTATTTGTAAGTTGTTTTTATCCTGGCTTCCAGAGCTCATATTTAAAGCGACAATGTGTACAATCCTACAGGCAATATTCTTTCAATGAACCTGTCAATGAGTTTCTTGTTAACTTAGATTTAATATTGAAAAATAGATTTGAAATATTAAATCATACAAGCGATTAAAGATACACCTCATGCAGATCGATTAAAAGTACATTTGTATGATGTGAGACTCGACATTCACTGGGAAACTTGAAATGATTTGTCACCCATGGAGCAAATTAATTTTTTACTGCTAAATAAATGGTGAATGACAGCTAAATTAAGTTTATAAGTATGAGAATAGCATGATGTCTTGATATTTCAAGGTAACGTCGTTTGAAAAGTGATGGTGGTGATTGAAAAAACGATGTAACTTAAAGATAAAACCGCAACGAAATATTTGTAGATTATTAAAAAATATACATCGCATATTTTCCGAAACATAAAAAAACATGTATAAATTGTAAGACCTGCTGGTCCGATTCTCCCAGGTAGCATTAACATTGGTCTCGTATATCACAATTAGTATTTGAAACGCAACTATTATTCGGACTTATGATCGGGCATTAGTATGATACTAGTATTACTTTATTACCTTGAAGTATACATCATACTTATGTCCGATCATAAGTTCGAATAATAGTTGTGTTTCAAATATTAATTGTATGACATTCACGAGACCAATGTTAATGCTACCAGGGGGAATCGGACCTGCAGGCCTTACTATTTATACATGTTTTATCTGTTTTGAAAAATTCGATATGTCATGTATATTTCTCATATGACTAACAAAGATACACAAGGAGGATTGGCTCCCAGAGTGCAACATCGATATTCTGCCCCATATATGGGTATGTCGTGCTACAAAATTTGAATTCCAACGACCGCCATTTTGTTCACTTCAACATTTGAATCGTGAATTTTGGTCTTATTTCCCAACGAAAAATTCCAAAACTCACAAGAAATGATCGAGATATTGGTTCGAATATTTTGAACTGTTTATTTTGAATTTATAATCGGTTATAATTTCAGAAAATAACGACATTTCGGCGTTTTCATTGTTGGAAAATATCGACTTCGATTCTGGGAGCCAATCCTACAGGTATCTTTACCCCATGCAAGATATTGCCATCTTTCATCCTAAAAAGTCACACGTGCAAGATGAGATTTACTTGTGACATCACTGGTCTATAAACATCAACAACATAGCAACGGGTACACCGTTACTATGAGTATCCATGCTCATTCTAAAATCCTAAGCTGTGACGTCATAACAATCGAGCTTTGTTGCCTCATGTATCCATGTATTTTCTACAATATTGTTATGACGTCATAACAATTGAAAGATGAAGTTCCATTAATCTGAACAAGGAGGATTGGCTCCCAGAGTGCACCACCGATATTCTGTCCCATATATGGGTATGTCGTAATACAAAATTCGAATTCAAACAGCCGCCATTTTGTTCACTTCAACATTTAAATCGTGAATTTTGGTCTGATTTCCAAACGAAAAATTCCAAAACTCACAAGAAATGATCGAGATATTGGTTCGAATCTTTTGAACTGTTTATTTTGAATTTATAGCAGATTTATAGTCGGTTTTAATTTCAGAAAATAACGACATTTCGACGTTTTCATTGTTGGAAAATATCGAGTTTCGATCCTGGGAGCCAATCCTCCTTGAATCTGAAGCTATTTTTCACCCAGTTTGCGACGAGATAAAGAAACATTATCAAAGCTCATCAAGAATGGACGATATTGCACAGGTAATAAGAACCTCTATTTCTTAGTTTTATCTTTACATCGTTTTTTTCAATCACCACCATCACGGTTCAAACGAGTTACCTTGAAATATCAAGACGTCGTGCTATTCTCATACTTATAGAACTCAATGTGACTGTCATTCACCATTTATAAAGCAGTAAAAATTATTTTGCTTCATGGGTGGCAACATTTTTCTAATTTCCCGGTGAATGTCGAGTCTCGCATCCTACGAATGTAATTTTAGGCGATCTTATTGCATGGGGTGAAGATGTAAGATGTGAAAATATCCTTTTAGGAGACTAAGCCGTTTTATAATCATTAGTCAAATAACTTGAAATTAACGTCTTTTCACGAAATACTATATCAGATCTTTTGAAATTACCAGGAAAAGTCACAACGATTAATATTGTATGAAAATCTTGGTAAGTTACAGTCAAAAAGTTACACTCATTTCTTGAAAGGCCCCTTGCAAAGTTTAGAAATTAGTCTTGCTTCAAGACTGTCTACACCCCCCATATGTTAGTATGTACTCACTGAGTGGAGTGACTATTTAGAAATGTATTTTCAATTTTAGATATACAGTCCCCTCCATAAGTTTTGCAACCTTAGCTCCCCCATTGAACTACGTGTTAAAGCCTTTTAAGTTTGAATTTTTATTTTCTTAACCTGCGATGAAATAACTTGTAATATTGATGGAAACGTAACTTGACTTTATTTTCAATACCTCCAAATTTTCCCAATTTTTTCCTCAATTACAATATGTCGAAATTTGATGAATTTTTAAAAATCATCATTCCCATGTAAACCAATGGGAAACGGTGGGTTCGAGGCAAATCAGAAATCAGGATATCTATTTAGTACAAGATTCAGCAAAAATATGTTTATATAGAAAATTGAATTGTCTAACTATTTTGTTCACTAAGTGTTTAGTTTACTTGATGAATACTAAAGTTACAGAGCTTCAGATTCATTTTGAAAATCATTTTTCAAAATGTTATTTCAATGGGAGAGGTTATTTGAAAATCAATTTTGACTTTAAAGACCTTTAACTTTATTAAATCTGAAGAAATGTATCACTTTTTTCGTTAAATTAAGTAACCTAACTTGTATTTTTGCAAGGACTCGGATAGATGGATATTTTGTCATATGACTTGCGGCAAACCTACCATTTCCCAATGGTTAACCTGGGAATGTAAATTTTCAAAAATTCATCTTTATCATCGACCTATTTTAATTGAGGAAAAAATTGAGAAAATTTGGAGGTATTAGTATTGGAAATAAAGTCAAATTACGTTTCCATCAATAGTATAAGTATTTTAATCGCAGGTTAAGTAAATAAAAATTTAGATGTAAAGAGGCTTTAACACGTAGTTCAATGGTGGAGCTAAGGTGTCAAACTTATAAAGGGGAGTGTATATT